CAGTCACCCTCAGTACCCACAGTCAGAGTATACATGGCAGTAAGTATAGCGTCCAAGTCGAGAGCAAAGACGTCCACCCTGTGTCGAAGCAGCTCCAGCCAGCTGGGGGGCTCAGCCTCGTCGCCAAACACCTCTCTCCAGGCGTCACTCAAATAGGCGAAGCAGCGGGGCTGTGAATGGCCAGGTGTCCCGCAGGTCTGCCCGGCCCGAGCACCTATGCAAATGACATACGGGCAGCGACCAGTACTCGGAGACTTCCCACGCTGGAAATACCACTCACGAAGCTGCTGGGGCGGAAGGGTGACGCGCGGACCTCGCTGAAGCTGCAGCTGGCCACCACTAGAACCTCCCCACCGAACAGCTCCACCTCGACTGCCGCTGCGGCCGCCTCCACCACTCCCACCACTGCCCCCACCGCCGACACGACTCCCACCACTACCACTAAGAGAAGCCATAGTGGGCAGAGGAAGGAGGTAGGGCAGGGCAAGGCAGGAACGGAGACGCACGGGCTGCAGAGGGCGTCGTGTAGGTGGGCAGGAGGCGAGCGCGCGGGCTAGGAGAGCGGCGCGCTGGCTTGCAGAGCCGTGCGCAGGATCCAGGACGGCGCTCGGCAGGGCAGGGCGGGCGTAGGGCAAGGCAGGGCCGGGCGCGCGGGCTAGCAGAGCGCTGCGCGGGCGGACAGGGCGGCGCGCAGGCTGGCAGGGGCGAGGTGCGGGCTCTGGGGCGGCGCACGGCAAGGGCAGGGGCCGAGTGCAGGCTCTGGGGCGGCGTGACGGGCTGGGCAGGGCGTCGCACGGGTCCTAGGACGACGCGACGGGCAGGGCAGGGCGTCGCGCGGGTCCTAGGGCGACGCGACGGGCAGGGCAGGGCGTCGCGCGGGTCCTAGGGCGACGCGACGGCAGGGCGTTGCGCGTGTCCTAGGGCGACGCATAGAGAAGGGCAGGGCGCCGCGCGGGTCCTAGGGCGACGCGACGGGCAGGGCAGGGCGTCGCGCGGGTCCTAGGGCGACGCGACGGGCAGGGCAGGGCGTCGCGCGGGTCCTAGGGCGACGCGACGGGCAGGGCAGGGCGTCACGCGGGTCCTAGGGCGACGGGACGGTCAGGGCAAGGTGTGCGCTGTCAGGGCTGGGCGTGCGCGGGGCAGCGCGACGCGGGCAGGGCAGCGCGACGCGGGCAGGGCAGCGCATGCGCGGGGCGGCACGACGCAGGGCAGGGCGTGCGCAGGGCAGCGCAACGCAGGGCAGGGCAGGGCGTGCGCGGGGCGGCGCAACGCAGGGCAGGGCAGGGCATGCGCTGGCAGCGCGACGCAGGGCAAGGCGTGGGGTAGCGCGGTAACCGTAGTCAGTCACTAGCTAATGGTGGGCCCGGAAAAAAAACTGTACTATGGACCTACTGCTTTGAAACCATGTCAGAATCAACGAGCAGGAATGTGTGTATTGAATGAAAGGTGGGTACAAGTACTAACCCTAACTTTGGGTTGTACCCCAGATGGGGTACCCCACTATAGCCTACACAGAACTAACACACATATATAGTTTGACACACCACCATAGGCGAAGTGGGGGAGAACAGGCGGTCACAAGACCAGTCAAGAGAAACAAAGCAAGCTCAGGGTGGATCACGAAGTCACCACACATTCCAAGCACAAGCAAGGGGCCACAAGGCCAGTTCACATGCAGAGTTATATAAAACAAAGCAAGCAGTACTACGATCACAACCTAGAAGGAGTAAGCATGCAGGGATATATTTAGATCACAGTAAAAGCACAGTCACGCAGTGAGCAAGTGAGAAAACGTAGGCACAAGGCCTAGCGCATTACAGAAACGCTGATGATCACCAGGCGGAAGTGCCTTGGTGAATATATCAGCAGTGTTGGCCCGAGTGGCCACGTAAGCAAGACGAAGCTGACCACGCTGCTGCAACTCTTGAGCAAGGAAGTAACGCAGAGCGATGTGCTTCGTTCTATGCTCCAGTCTGTGCTCCTGACACAAGGCGATGGCGGCCTTGTTGTCTACGTACAGAATTGGAGGAGAACTAGGCCGCTCTCCTAAGTCAGTCAGCAGGTAGGTGAGCCAGCGAAGCTCCTGTGCAGCCATGGCTCCTGCGTAGATCTCAGCCTCACAACTGGAACTGAGAACAGAAGACGAGCGAGTAGAACGCCAAGAAACAGAGCCGGAGCCAAGGCTGAAGGTGTAACCCTGTGACAACCTCATGAGGCAGCCCACAAGCTCTGGATACGGGCCACTCGGCTCTATGGACTCGTCCGAAGGTGGAGCTGAGAGCGAGTGACCGGTAGGCAGAGGAGTGGACTGTGGCGAGGAGAACTGGAAGCCGAAGCGCTGAAGGACTTGCTGCACCATGTGTGACTGAGTCAGGGTGATGGTGCGGCGTGCTCTGTCCCAGGTGATCTGCAAGCCAAGGTAGCTGCGCAGCTCACCTAGGTCTGTGCACGTCTGTCTCTTCTGCAGCTCCGACTTCACAAGGGCCAGTGCCTCAGTGTCAGCAGTGGCAAAGACCAAGTCGTCGACGTACACGAGGATGTAGAACGGCGGCAACGAAGTGTCGGTGCGCAGAAACAACGACGGGTCAGCAGTGGAAGGAGCAAATCCAAGAGCCGCAAGTGTCGTCCTCAGTGTGTCGTGCCACTCACGAGGCGCCTGACGGAGACCGTAGACTGGCCGCCGGAGGCTCTACTGGGTGCAAGGAGAGAACGACCCAGTGAAGCTAGGTGGGCGGCGCAGTCAGATCTCCTCGTACATGCTGCCCTGTAAGAAGGCTGTGCTGAAGTCAAGAGAGTGAAGCTCGTAGTCACGTTGAGCGGCAACGTGCAGCAGCACCTGAAGAGTGGTCATCTTTGGGGTAGGGGAGAAGGTCTGGAAGTAGTCAACTCCCTCTTGCTGACTGAAGCCTCGAGCAACGTAACGAGCCTTGTAGACAGGCGGAGAACCCGGCGGCCGCTTCACCCTGAAAATTCACATGCCATCGACAATGTTCGCCCCAGGAGGGGGAACGTCGTCGACGTAAGTGCCTGTGGACTTCCAGAATGCCATCTCTGCGTCCATGGTTGTCTGCCACTGAGAGGAGTAGGGACCCAAAATCGCCTCTGCGTAAGAGCACGGGGTCGGGATGTCCAGTGCATCCGGGTCTCCCTCAGGTGCAAGCAGCATGGCCACGAGATGAGGTACAGCAGCCGCAAGACACTCAAGGTCCTCCTGCCTGTCCTCAAGGACGTCCGTGCCAAGAGCACACTCACCCCCGACGGACGGACGACAGACAGATTTTGACTCAGCAACAAGGCTAGCGGCGTAGTCTAGACGACACGCAGCAGCAAAGTCCACAAGCCCTACGACCCCCCTCCTCCCCTCTACCCCGATTCTCCCCTTGCTCTAGGTGGCAGATGAGTCGTTAGCCCACTCCTTCCCGCTGCTAAGTAATACGTTGACATCCGCCTTTGTGCCTTGAGGGCTCACGTAAATTTTTGTAGGTAAAGGTTTTAGGGGAAACCCCCTTTGGTATTACCCCGGTTGTGAGTAGTAACCAGCCTACCCATTTGTTTACACGCTTCGCTGTTTATCGCTGTGAACCAGCTAACAGCGGACTTCAGGATCACGTACATTTTTGTAGGAGCCCTGATTTCAAGTTTTGAATTTGACCTGCGCCCGTGATCGCTAAAAAACGGTCACCTTCGCGAAAATCAGGGCCAAACTTCGAGCAGCTCAGGACTCAGGCTTCGACAGCCCTGATGTAGATTCGCCACCATCAAGCCATCAATTTCGTGGCGAGGCGGGGGTTTCTTGCTGATCCCGTCTTCTCCAACGTTCTGTTGCTTCCCCCCTCCCCCCCCGCCAGGGTAAAGCAGATCTGGTTCAGCAGCTCGAATCACTCTAGCCATGGCTGCTGTTGCTGACAAAATCGCTAGCGGTCCTCTTGCAGTCGCAATTTCTGACTAGCTGCACCAGTAAATGAGTGCCCAGCAGTTGCTCGCGCGATGTTTCAGCAGCCAGGCGTGCGACCGCTGTTGGCGTAAGTTCTTAGCAGCACCTCGGGACCGCTCACACGCTACGCGTTAGGTCGCCATGCGACTGCAGGTGGCGCGATTGATGCAGCAACTGTCGCAACTCCCAGTAGTATGTCGTAGCCTTCTCCAGCACGTCGTGCGACTGCATCAGCGGCATGGCGACGACCTGCGCGCCTGCACCGCCTTGCACCGCCAATGCCGCCATCTCATATGCAAAGCACCTGCAACAGCAGCCGCTGGAGCCAGAAAAACAGCCATTCATGCCAGAAAAGCAGCTCGTAGAGCATCAGAAGCAGCAGGGGAAGCCGCATGCTTCCTCTTCTTCCTCTGTCTGGACCTTCTCGATTTCTTCCTCTGCTACGTATTCTGGTTCTTTGACCGCTTGGCTGGCGAAAAGGCTCCTCCCTGCTACTGCAACCGCAGGAGGAGCAGTACCAGCAACGGTTGCAGCAGTGGAAGATCAAATTCCGGCGCAGCTGGTTCGGGTCATTCCGGTGCAAACGCTGCTGGAAGTGTCTTCTCGTCCGGAGCTATGCCGAACCTGATCCCCCCCAGCATCGCCCCGGACCTGTTTTATCGCAAGTGGCGGGTTCCAATCAACCTGGGGTTGCTTCGAACGGCGAGGGTTGCGCTGCCGTTCTCCCTGGACTGGAGGACGAAGCGGGTTCTGCAGTGGTGCGGTGTGCAGCAGATTGAGCAGTGGTGTGGCGAACGGCAGGTTGGGGAGTGGGCTGGGGCGAAGCAGAGTAGTACGCAGGGAGGACGGGAGGAAGAGGAGGTGGGGGAGGAGGAAAGGGACGAGGAGGACCCGAGACGTCTTTTGAACGGTTGTGGTTCCTTTCGAGAAGACAAGGTCGTGGATATTGCTCCTCGTGACATTGCTGCTGCTGCTGGCGCGGCTGGTGCTGCTGGCATTGGTGCTGCTGACGGTTGCTGCAGCAGGGACTGCCATCCTCTCTGGTCTCCCCCGAACGCCTTGACGCATGGCTCCATTCGCCATCCGCACTTCTCCTTCCCTCACCACCACCAGCAGCACCATCCTCTCCTCTCTCCCTGCCACGTGTCAACCGCTGATAGGCCGCGCATGCATGAGGTTGCTGGTAACCGCTCTGAAGCTGTACCTGGACTTCGTGATGTTACAAACCCCATCGCAGATGCTGACAGGAAAGATGCAAGTGATGCAGCAGTTGCTGCAGATTTGCACGTGATCAAGGACGGACCGAGAGCAGCAGGAAAAGCAGTGAGATCAGTAGCAGCAGCGGCGGCAGTGACAGTGGCTGCACCAGTGGGTATTGGAGTTCGCTTTGGTATGGTTGGGTCTAGTGCGGTTGGGTCTGGTGAAGCTGGGTCCGGCAGGGTGGGAGGCAGATGGACGGACTGTTACTGCCAGGAGTGTGGTGATGCTTATGAAAGGCAGGCGCTACATTTCACCGTGGTGGGAGGGAGTGCGGTGGGAGGGAGTGTGGTTGGAGGGGGTGTGGTGGGAGGGGGTGTGGTGGGAGGGGATGTGGTCAGAAGTGCTGTGGTTGGAGAAGAGAAGCCTACAGTTCCCAGCAGCAGCAGCAGCAGCAGCAGCAGCAGCAGCAGCAGCAGCAGCACCGCATCCCTTCTCTTGGATGCTGAATGCAAGGAGAAACCCGCAGTACTCCTGCTGCATGGCTTCTGTACTGCTTCCTCCTTTTGGACCGACACCGCTATGCCGTTTTCTTCCCAGGAGCTTCCTGGAGGGCAGGAGGGTGGTGGCGGTGGACCTGCTGGGGTGGGGCAAGAGCCCCAAGCCGAGGGAATGTGATTATAGTGTGGAGGAGCACGTGAGGTAAGAATTAATGTGACTACAGCGAATGTGGAGTTTCCCTGTACCAAAGGGTGGTGGCGGTGGACCTGCTGGGGTGGGGCAAGAGCCCCAAGCCGAGGGACTGTGACTATAGCATCGAGGAGCAGGAGAGGTGAGTCATAGATTGGCGTGACTATAATGAACATAGAGGTACTCCCCATACTGAAGTGTGTTGGCGGTGGACCTGCTGGGGTGGGGCAAGAGCTCCAAGCCGAGAGACTGTGACTATAGCATCGAGGAGCACAAGAGGTGAGACTGTGAATATAGCATTGGTGTGACTGCACATGATGCACGGTTACCCTATGCCGAAGCATGGTGGCGGTTGACCTGCTGGGGTGGGGCAAGAGCCCCAAGCCAAGGGACTGTGACTATAGCGTTGAGGAGCACGTGGGGTGAGAGTTGGTGTGATTATAGCGAGTGTAGAGGTTCTCTTCCCCTTCTGGTTTGGTAACGGTTGACCTGCTGGGGTGGGGCATGAGCCCCAAGCCGAGAGACTGTGACTATAGCACTGAGGAGCACGTTTGTGAGGCATGAACGGATGTGACTATAGCGAATGTAGAGGTATTCCCCCCCATACTGAAGTTGGTCGTGGTTGACCTGCTGGGGTGGGGCAAGAGCCCCAAGCCCAGGGACTGTGACTATGGCATTGAGGAGCACGTGAGGTGAGAGCTGGTGTGACTATAGCGAATGCAAAGTTGTTTACCTGCTGGCCCCACTTCCACCTTCCACATCATGGCCCACCCCAGCATGGGGTGCTTGATAGCTGCACCATGCATTCTCTACCATACGCATCCGCTCCCCCTTTTCTCTTTCACCCATTCCCCTTTCTCCCTTACCACTTGGGTAGAGCGCACGGTGCTTGCTTCCCCTTTTCTCTTTCAGCATGGGCTGCCTCATAGCGCGGTTCTGCCTGCTCCCTCTTCATTCCGCCCATTCTCCCCACATTTTCCCGCGCCCCCGTCCCCCATCCTCGTCCTCCCCACCAGCTGGATAGAGCGCACGGTGCTGGCCCCACTCAGCATCTCCACCTTCCACATCGTGGGCCACAGCATGGGGTCCTTGATAGGTGCGGTTCTGGCTGCTCGCAACCGAGACAGGGTGGTGTCTGTCTGCCTCTACTCGCCTGTGAGTAACCCCAGGTCACTGTATTCATGTAGTAGGTTGGCAAGAGATTAGGGCCACAGCATGGGGTGCCTGATAGCAGCGGTTCTGGCTGCTCGCAACCGAGACAGGGTGGTGTCTGTCTGCCTCTACTCGCCTGTGAGTAAGCCCAGGTCACTGTATTCATGTAGTAGGTTGGCAAGAGATTAGGGGCGCAGCATGGGGTGCCTGATAGCAGCGGTTCTGGCTGCTCGCAACTGAGACAGGTTGGTGTGTGTCTGCCTCTACTCACCCGTGCATAAACCTCTCTCATTATTGGAGTAGCAGGCTGCCACGACTCAAGGTTGGTGCCACAGCATTCTATTCTCTACGCCTTTCTTCCCCACCTCATCCCATGCCATCCCAGCCGTTCATCCCCTCCCGCCCAGGCCTAACACCAGCAGAGGAGTTTTACCGCCTGGTCACCCCGCGCTGCCTCTCCTCTGCACTGCTCCTGGGCATCAGCGTCATCTCGTGGTTCGAGCACGTGGGGAAAGAGGGAGAGGGAGGTGTGTGAGACGCTTCTCACAACAACCTCTTCAAAATACCGCTCTGCCTCAGACTCGATCTCTCCCTTTCCTTTCGCCTTCTCTTCCGTTCCTTGCTGTTCTGTTCCCCAGCCCTTCATCCCCCCTCGACCAGGCCTAACACCAGCAGAGGAGTTTTACCGCGTGGTCACCCCGCGCTGCCTCTCCTCTGCACTGCTCCTGGGCATCAGCATCACGTCGTGGTTCGAGCACGTAGTGAGGGAGAGAGAGGGTTGCAGGAGTCAGGGTTCACGCGAATTTTTACGTCAAGTCTCTCTATCCTCTCGTTTTCTCTCCTCCATCCCTCTGTCTTCCCTTCCCCAGCCCTACATCCCTCCCCGACCAGGCCTCACACCAGCAGAGGAGTTTTACCAGCAAGTCTCCCCGCGCTGCTTCTCCCCTGCACTGCTATTGTGCACCAGCATGGTGGCGTGGTTCGAGCACGTGGGCCGAGTCATCTGCGCCTTGCTGACGCAATTTCATTGGCTCTTGGACGCCCTCGCTGCTCTCCTGCTGCCCCGTTTAGGCGCCAAGTGAGTGTGGGGTTGTGGTTGGGGAAGCCTGAGTGAGTGAGAGAATTTGAGTGGTTTGGGTGGTTTGAGTGGTTTGAGTGGTTTCTAATGCTCCTCACTTTCTTCTCTCATGCTGGTCCCGACGCTCCCTCCCTATGATTCGTGCTCACTCTGTCCTTCATGCGTTATTTCACCCATCACACACACCACACGGTGTGGCACTGCAAATGCTCCTTTCCCTCACACTCCCTTCTCTCATGCTAGTCCCGACGCTCCCTCTCTATGCTTCAGGATCCCACCCTCCTTCACGTGGGATTCCACCCGTCCCACACAACACACCACACTGCCTGGCATGCACATGCTCCTTTCTCTCACACTCCCTTCCCTTATGCTCCCTCTCCCTACGTCAGGCTCCCACCCTCCTTCATGGGGGAGTTCACTTGCCACACGCACCACAATCGCATGGCACTGCCACATTTCCCTCGCTTCTCTTACTCTTCTCCTATGCTCCTCCCATTGTTCCCTATCTCTATTTGCTGCAGGCTCCCACCCTCCATGCGAGATTTCAACTGCCACACACACCACACTGCCTGGCCCTGCCACTTTCCCCTCACTCGTCAGTCTCTCCTCTCTTATGCCCCCCCCCCCCCCCCCCCAAAAAATTCCCTTCTCTTCTTACAACAGGCTCCCACCCTCCTTCATGCGGGATTTCACCCGTCACACACACCACACCGCATGGCATGAACATGCTCCCTTCTCTCATGCTCCCTCTCCTTACAACAGGCTCCCACCCTCCTTCGTGCGGGATTTCACCCACTGCACACACCACACTGCCTGGCAATGTTTCTTCAGCACCATCTGTCTCTCCTCTCTTATGCCCCCCCCAAACTGCTCGCTTCCTCTCTCTGCTGCAGGCTCCCGCCCTCCTTCGAGCGTGATTTCACCCGCCACACACACCACACTGCCTGGCACTGCACACACTCCTTTCCCTCATACTCCCTTCTCTCATGCTCCCTCTCCTTACAACAGGCTCCCACCCTCCTTCATGCGGGATTTCACCCGTCACACACACCACACTGCCTGGCAATGTTTCTTCAGCACCATCTGCTTCCCCTCACTCCTGCCACTTTCCCCTCCCTCCTCTCTCTCTCCTCTCCCTACGGCAATTCCCACCCTCCTACGTGCGAGATTTCACCCGCTGCACACACCACACTGCCTGGCACTGCTTTTTCAACACCATCTGCGCTGGCAGCAACTTCCTGGAACCTTCCCTGCACCTACTGCACAACCAGAGCCCCACAAATGTCCTCGCTACAAGCAGTGGTGCTTGTAACGAGACCAAATCAGCGGGTACTGTAGCAGAGAGCGGTAAATTATGTAACAGGAGTGTTCCTGTGACTATAGTGCATGGTGACAAAGACTTGCTGTGCCCGATTGAATCAAGCAGGGGGTTGGCTCGGCGGCATCCGAACGTGAAGCTGTTGGAGGTTCGGGGAGAGAACCACCTTGCAGTGGTGGGTAGGGAGAAAGAAGTTGCTCAACAGATTGTGGAGTTAGTTGAAGAAGCAGAGGCTGCAAGCATGGATGCATGAATGTGTTATTATTCTTGTGGCTTTACGCCACATTGGCTGCCTTCAGTAGGAAGCATTTGATTCTTCGTACTGCATTCACTTCAGCAAGCATAGCTTCTGCAATCTTCCTTAGCATGAACTTTTCTTAGTGACCATGCGAAAACACTATCTACTAATACGAGGTTCTTGTTAGTGGTCTCCTGGTTTGTTAGGGCGCGTGCGTTCCGTCAAATTTGACAAAGTTTATGTTTTGGGGGCGAATATTTGTTGAACTTAAGTCGAATGGAACTCGACTTTCCTTGCAGAGCAGTTCGAACACTGCGGGAATACACTGCAAAGATGTAATCACGCACGCAAGGTCGAACACCAAAACTCGAACCTTTATGTTACCCGGTGTGTGCTCGCCAAGTCAACACACTGCTATTTTTTGTTTCGCAATGCACTCATTTATTTCGCGTGGTATTCGTGTGTACCGAAAACACACACGCTCGCTTCAACGTGTACAAGCACGTTCATCTATTCGACTCGAGTCAAGTTCGCTTTCCACGTTCGAACTTTCATCAGCCAAAAAATTCACGATGTTCGTCAGATGTCATGAGCGAGATTTGCGAGACTAGTAACCACACAAAGTTCGAACTTTTTTCGAGCTTGGCGACGGAGTGCACGCGCCCTTAGAGTTGTGACTTCCTGAACGGGATGTGGGGTGTAGCGTGCTCCTTGCCGGCCAGACAAGGTGACAGTCGGCCTTCTTCAGTTCACACGGTATTGTGTGTTTCCGCTGTTTCCAAAAAACGGTTTTGTGTATTTGAGAACGGTTTTGTGCATTTGAGAACGGTAACGTAAACCCTGAAACCAGCTCCACACATGCTTCCTCTTCCGATGATTGATCAGAATGGGTGGAAGGGGTGAAGCAAACAAACCGTATCCGATTGCACAAAGACGTACTGAACCGTTTGGTACCAAACGGAAACTGAACTGACTATGACTCACCCCTAAAATCAATGCTCTCGATGGTCAAATCAAACCAGCATTTGAAGCTCCTCCCCCAACCCAATCAGCCATACTCCAAGGCATCCATGGTATGACTTCTAGGTTCCTCCCGATCAAGCGACGTACAGTTTCCAGTCACTGGCTGAAATGACGACCTCAATTTGCGAGTGAGCAACCTTGGTCGCCTTTCGTCTGTGCTCGAAGGATTTGGATTATGGTCGTGATTGACTGACAATGGGTACGACTGATGTTTTTTTGTGAACTGTTCGGGTTAGACTTTCAGACGGTTTCAGTCTGAGACCTGAATGACGACGATCGGCGACGGTTTCAGTGTCATGACGTTCCGCGTTTGACGGACGAGTTGTCGACTTGATAGTACCGGCGACTAACCGACGGCGACGTTCCGCCAGCTTCGCGATGTTCCCCTCCAATCGCGCCGTTCTGGTTACCACGTCGACTAATTAGTGCTCGCTTCGCGGCCTTCGGCCAAGCCTCTCCCCCAAACATCTCATAATCCCCATCCCTCAACTCCCCATCCCCGCCTCCCCATCCCTTCCCTCCCCATCCCTCAACTCCCCATCCCCGCCTCCCCATCCCTTCCCTCCCCATCCCTCATCTCCCCATCCCTTCCCTCCCCATCCCTCATCTCCCCATCCCTTCCCTCTCCATCCCTCACCTCCCCATCCCCGCCGCCCCATCCCTTCCCTCCCCATCCCTCACCTCCCAGTCTCTCATCTTACCGTACCTCTCCCCATCCCTCATCTCCCCATCCCCATCCCTCATCTCCCCATCCCCATCTCCTCCTCACCCCATCTCCTCCTCACCCCATCTCCTCCTCACCCCATCTCCTCCTCACCCCATCTCCTCCTCACCCCATCTCCTCCTCACCCCATCTCCTCCTCACCCCATCTCCTCCTCACCCCATCTCCTCCTCACCCCATCTCCTCCTCACCCCATCTCCTCCTCACCCCATCTCCTCCTCACCCCATCTCCTCCTCACCCCATCTCCTCCTCACCCCATCTCCTCCTCACCCCATCTCCTCCTCACCCCATCTCCTCCTCACCCCATCTCCTCCTCACCCCATCTCCTCCTCACCCCATCTCCTCCTCACCCCACCCCTCCCTCCTCCTCACCTCCCACCCCTCTCTCCTCCTCACCCCATCTCTCCTCCTCACCCCATCTCTCCTCCTCACCCCATCTCTCCTCCTCACCCCATCTCTCCTCCTCACCCCATCTCTCCTCCTCACCCCATCTCTCCTCCTCACCCCATCTCTCCTCCTCACCCCATCTCTCCTCCTCACCCCATCTCTCCTCCTCACCCCATCTCTCCTCCTCACCCCATCTCTCCTCCTCACCCCATCTCTCCTCCTCACCCCATCTCTCCTCCTCACCCCATCTCTCCTCCTCACCCCATCTCTCCTCCTCACCCCATCTCTCCTCCTCACCCCATCTCTCCTCCTCACCCCATCTCTCCTCCTCACCCCATCTCTCCTCCTCACCCCATCTCTCCTCCTCACCCCATCTCTCCTCCTCACCCCATCTCTCCTCCTCACCCCATCTCTCCTCCTCACCCCATCTCTCCTCCTCACCCCATCTCTCCTCCTCACCCCATCTCTCCTCCTCACCCCATCTCTCCTCCTCACCCCATCTCTCCTCCTCACCCCATCTCTCCTCCTCACCCCATCTCTCCTCCTCACCCCATCTCTCCTCCTCACCCCATCTCTCCTCCTCACCCCATCTCTCCTCCTCACCCCATCTCTCCTCCTCACCCCATCTCTCCTCCTCACCCCATCTCTCCTCCTCACCCCATCTCTCCTCCTCACCCCATCTCTCCTCCTCACCCCATCTCTCCTCCTCACCCCATCTCTCCCCCTCACCCCATCTCTCCCCCTCACCCCATCTCTCCCCCTCACCCCATCTCTCCCCCTCACCCCATCTCTCCCCCTCACCCCATCTCTCCCCCTCACCCCATCTCTCCTCCTCACCCCATCTCTCCTCCTCACCCCATCTCTCCTCCTATACACATCCGCTTCTTTCCCCTTCCCTCACCCCCGCGTCCCCTCCTCTCCCAAGCCCATCCCACCTCACCACTTCCCTCCTCTTCCCATCCATCCTCTCCTCATCCCTCCCCATCCGTCCTTTTCCCATCCGATCCTCTCCCCCTCCCCTCCAGGTGTTTCCCACACCGCCCTCGGCCCAGCGGCACCTCTTCATCCCTTGTGCTTTTCTGCACCAGGGAGCTGCTTGGGGCGCTGTGGGCGGATGGTGGTGGGCAGAGTCACTTAGCAGAGGCAGTCGTGGTGCTGCTTGTCCTCCCTTTCCCCCCCGTCCTCCCAACATCACTTCCTCCCTTCAGTCACTTCCTCCCTTCATCGCTTCCTCCCTTCTGTCCTCAATCCCTTCTGCCCTCAATCACATTCTTCATCCTTTCTCCCATCCTTTTTTCCTCCCTGCATCCCTTCATCTGTTCCTCCCTTCATCCATCCATCCTTCCCTTCCTCTGTTCCTCTCTTCCTCCCTTCGACCCTTCCTCCGTTTCTCCCTTCCTCTGTCCCTCCCTTCCCCTGACGTCCTTCTGTTTGTCTCCTACCGTTCCAGGAGTTTCTCTTTATTTCTTCCTCTTCGTGTTGCTTGCTTGTCAGTAGTCATTCTTTTGTATGCTTAGTGGCTCGATTGTTGGTTGTTTGATAGTACTAGGTATGACACATAGCCATGGGAATGTTGTACGGTATGTTAACTATTATGACTAAATTTATATCCATGGAGTAGTGTGACCATTGACCACCTACGAAGTGCAACAATCTAGTTAAAAAGAACCAAGTTACTCATTAATATGCCTTTTCCCACTCTTGTCTGCATACACAGCAGCAAAAAGGCAAGACTTGTGGGTCCCTCCCTACACCTGGTGCTGGGCACCTGTACAGAATGAGCAGGAAAAAACAGAGTGCAGGGGAGACAGTGAGCAGGGGGGAAGAGAGTGAGGAGGGGGGAAGAGAGTGAGGAGGGGGGAAGAGAGTGAGGAGGGGGGAAGAGAGTGAGCAGGGGGAAAGAGGGTGGGCATGGGGGAAGGGAGTGAACAGGGGGGGAACAGAATGAGCAGGGGGAAACAGAATGAGCAAGGGGAAAGAAAATGAGCAGCGGGGAAGAGAATGAGCAATGGGGAAAGAGTGTGAGCATGGGGGAAAAGAGCAGGGGGGAAGAGAGCAGGGGGGGAATAGAGCAAGGGGGAAAAAAGCAGGGGGGATTAGAGCAGGGGGGAATAGAGCAGGGGGGGAAAAAACCGGGGGGAATAGAGCAGGGGGGAAAAGAGAAGGGGGGGATAGAGCAGGGGGGAAGAGAGCAGGGGGGAAGAGAGCAGGGGGGAAAAGAGCAGGGAAAAAGAGAGCAGGGGGGAATAGAGCAGGGGGGAAAAGAGCAGGGGAAATTAGAGCAGGGGGGAATAGAGCAGGGGGGGAAAAAACCGGGGGAGAGCAGGGGGGAAAAGAGCAGGGGGGAAAAGAGCAGGGGGGAAGAGAGCAGGGGGGAATAGAGCAGGGGGGAAAAGAGCAGGGGGGAATAGAGCAGTGGGGAATAGAGCAGGGGGGAACAGAGCAGGGGGGAACAGAGCAGGGGGGAACAGAGCATATAGCAGGGGGGAATATAGCAGGGGGGAATATAGCAGGGGGGAATAGAGCAGGGGGGGATAGAGCAGGGGGAATAGAGTGAGGAGGAGAGGGTGAGCAGGGGGAAACAGAGTGAGGAAGGGGGGAGAGAGTGAGAAGGGGGGAAGAGAGTGAGCAGGGGGAAAAAGAGAGCAAGGAGGAAACAGAGTGAGGGGGGGGAAGAGAGTGAGCAGGGGGGAGCATAGTGAGCAAGGGGGAAGAGAGCGAGCAGGGGGGAAGAAAGTGAGCAAGGGGGAAACAGAATGAGGAGGGGGGAAAAGAGTGAGCAGGGGGAAACAGAATGAGGAGGGGGGAAAAGAGTGAGCAAGGGGGAAACAGAATGAGGAGGGGGGAAAAGAGTGAGCAGGGGGAAACAGAATGAGGAGGGGGGAAAAGAGTGAGCAAGGGGGAAACAGAATGAGGAGGGGGGAAAAGAGTGAGCAAGGGGGAAACAGAATGAGGAGGGGGGAAAAGAGTGAGCAGGGGGAAACAGAATGAGGAGGGGGGAAAAGAGTGAGCAGGGGGAAACGGAGTGAGGAGGGGGGGAGAGAGTGAGAAGGGGGAAAGAGGCCTCCGCAAAAAGGAAGCAGCGGCGATTGAAGGGACAACAGTGCTAAGAAGGTGGAATGAACGAATGGGACGGTGAAAGGGAGGAATGGGACGGTGAAAGGGAGGAATGGGAAGGTGAAAGGGAGGAATGGGAAGGTGAAAGGGAGGAATGGGAAGGTGAAAGGGAGGAATGGGACGGTGAAAGGGAGGAATGGGACGGTGAAAGGGAGGAATGGGACGGTGAAAGGGAGGAATGGGACGGTGAAAGGGAGGAATGGGACGGTGAAAGGGAGGAATGGGACGGTGAAAGGGAGGAATGGGACGGTGAAAGGGAGGAATGGGACGGTGAAAGGGAGGAATGGGAAGGTGAAAGGGAGGAATGGGAAGGTAGAAAGGGAGGAATGGGAAGGTAAAAAGGGAGTTGATTAGGCTCGGAGGCTGGTAGGATGGGAGGAAAGAAGGAAGAAAGAAAAGCGGAGTAGTTTGTTCGCATGAGAGGACGAGGGTGAGAGTGAGGGTGGGGAAATGGAGGAGGTGGTAAACACGGGCACTGGGAAGGGTAGAGAAGGCGAGGGCGACGGGAGGGGGAAAGCGAGGTCGACGGGAGGGGGAAAGCGAGGGCGACGGGAGGGGGAAAGCGAGGTCGACGGGAGGGGGAAAGCGAGGGCGTCGGGCGGGGGAAGCGAGGTGGGCAAAGCGCTAATATCTCCTGTGCCGACCATATTCTACGTGCTTCACACTCGCAGTCAGCGCCTGCGATTCCCTTCGATTGCGTATACGCGCTGCACCTACTATTCGATCGTCCCTAAATTGTGTTCACTTGATACGCGTGGTTGGTGTGCGCGATGCGTTGGATCCTAAGAGCTAATGTCTGACTGCTAGCTTGTTCTGTCCCGCTGGTTTTTTACTCTGCTCCAGCCCTCTGAGGTTGTAAGCGAACTGTTGGTTGCGATGTCTGATATCCTCTCGTTGACTCACAAAAGAGTCGCATCATGTTTCGCTAACCTGCCAACTTTCGCAATTCTTCCGCACCTCATCTTGCCCGAACCCCAAACCTACCGAACCAAGCGTTGACTCAGTTTTTGTAATTCAGACGCATGATAAAGGAGGAGAGTCCAGCAGCGCAGCGCCCACGCCGAATCCCCAATCAGCCGCTGGCTATTCCCCGTGGTCGGACGTTTCACCCAGCCAATGCCCGGCGGAAACGCAACAGACGCAGCATTCCCCTGCAAGTGTACACACGTAAGCACATCCTCCTAACCAGCCCAGCCAGGCAAAAATGGCGCACGTGACCCACAAGCACGTCACACCTCCTGAGTCCTGACGTGGGATGAATATTCTACTCTCTGCTGCCCGAACTTTTGCTAGGAGGAATGTGAGAGTCGGAAACCTGGTTTGCTCTCTTGTACGACGCCATTGAGTCGAGAGAGTATGACGCCATTGAGTGGAGAGAGTATGACGCCATGTCAAGTGCCTGAGTTGCTTTGCTTGCCCAAAACATGAATATCTTGCATCTATAGTTCCTTCACGAGTCTGCGAGTCATAGTTGGAATTCTTAGTTGGCACCACCTCCAATACGCAGTGCGATTCCCACATCGCGAACGTGGCGCGTGCCATTTCCGTATTCTTCCTGCCGCAATGCTGTCTTTGGCGCGGCTCGAGCCGCCAAAGATGCGTTGTCCAGGAAAATGGGCCGCGGTGGAGGCAATTCTTTGCTCGTCGCCGCAAAACAGCAAGATTGCGGTTTTCGCTCCGCACCTTGCATCTTTGATACTCCAGCAACACGCGGTGCAATCAAATCAGCTACTTGGAGTTGAGGTTTCACATCTTCAGTGCCAGATAGTTCTCTGCTCGGCTAGATACTCTTACGTTGACGCAACTTCCCTTTCTCAGACGCTATGCGCGAAACAGATTACCCCAAATTGCTTGCCATGGCTGCTTCTGAACCATTCTGGTCTAATTCCACACCCCGTGCGCGACTCCTCCTCCTCCTCCTTTTCCTGACTTTCCTCTTCCCTCCCTCAACCCTCTCTGCACGCCACCTCTTTCCCCAAGCACCCGGCGAGGTTCTTCCGCTAGTCGCCACCACCCTTCCGCAAGCCGGCGCAGCCGCGGCGGCCAAGGTTCTCCCCCAAGCAACCTCGGAGGTCGACGCCGTGCGCAAGTTCCTGACAGCGGCGGGGGTCACCAACCCCGTCCCGGGCGCTCCCGCGACCGCGTGCAGCGTGACCGGCATCGGCTGCGATGCCAACGACTTCGTCACGTCGCTCAACTTCTCGCCGTGCTTCGCCTACCCGACACTCCTCACCGGCTCCATTTCGACCGACATCAAGAGTCTCGTGCATCTCACGCATGTCGACTTTTCGTGCAACAATCTGGGGGGGTCCCTGCCAACAGTTCTCGGGCTGCTGGCGGATCTGCGGCACGTGAACATGAGCGGGAATCGGCAACTTTGGGGGAGCATTCCCACCTCGATTTTTGCACTGCAGTCGCTGTCGGTGATGGATTTTCGCGGGGCGGATTTGCAAGGCACTCTTCCTTCCGGGTCGAACGCGTTTTCAACGGCGCTTAGGCACCTGGACCTGTCATACAACCGGCTGTACAATCCAATCCCATCAGCGCTTTCTCGTGCGACGCGCCTGGAGCGCCTGGATTTAAGCTTCAACAATCTCAACGGCTACATACCGAGGCAGCTGAGTAAACTCAACCGGCTCACCTATCTTAGTCTGCGCTGGAACAGGCTCACTGGAAGTGTTCCTACGGAAATATCTGGAGCGAGACGGCTGGAAAGGCTGCACTTGGAGGGAAATAGGCTGACGGGAAAGCTTCCCTATCAACTAAACCAGCTTCCGTATCTGGAGCACCTGGGCCTGAGTTACAACTACTTGTCTGGTGGTGTCCACCCTGCGATTTTTCGTTTGCCTGCACTGCGGAGGTTGGATCTTCGTCGCAACTGGTTCAATGGGACGATTCCGAGTGGGAAATCAGGTTACCAGATAGACACGCTTGAGCATCTTGACCTCGCGAAGAATCGTTTTGATGGAAATGTGCCTGCTGCGCTTGGCGTTGTCACCGGACTCACCCATCTCGATTTGAGCGAAAACAAGTTCTACGGTAACATTCCGTCACAGTTGGGCAATTTGACGGGCCTCCAGTTCCTGAACCTCGAGCAGAACCAGCTGAGTGGGTCGCTTCCAGGGTATTTCAGTCACCTTCGCAGGCTTCGCTCACTTTCCGTCGCACACAACAAACTGACTGGTGTAACTTCCAACTTCCAAAACAACGGAGACGAGTCGCCGCGAGTCGTTCTGGATCTGAGTTACAACCAGATTGGTGGAAGTCTGGTGCCCTTCCAGCATCTGGCGAGGGTTGCGAATCTCGACCTTTCGCACAACCGACTGACGGGGAGCATCCCTGCATGGTTTCTGACTGGATCGACGGTTCTCAAGCGAGTCAACATCAGTTCGAACTACATCAACAGCACTCTGTTTCCGATGACCAGCCTCACGAATCTCGCTTCCCTGGATGCGTCGCACAACCGGCTGCGCGGGTCCATTCCGACGGGGCTGGTATCGCTGGCTCATCTTTCGCACCTCAATTTGCAGGACAACGACATCGTAGACCATCTGCCCGACGCCACGTTCGAAAACCCTGCTTTACGCTTCGTTGATATCAGCTACAACGAGATCAACAGTGAGTGCATTTGCTCCAATGTCTGTGATCAGTTCAAGCTTGTTCTGGTTTATCTTTGCTAAATTACTTTATGCCCCTCCTACCCCTTCTGCAACTATCATCAGGTCACCTTCCTGAATTTGTGGAATGCCCACGAGCCGTCTACCTTGGTGGAAACCGCCTTTCGGGCACCATCCCAGCCTCTATATCCTCCTGCAGTGCCTCTCTGATCAAGCTCGACCTTGCTAATAACCGCATCAGCGGAACACTTCCAGGCGCAGCCCTAGCTGACCTCTCCTACCTCAGCTACTTGAACCTTCCTCGAAACCGCTTCACGGGCAGCATCCCCGAAGAATTGACTGGGCTGCGTGCCCTGACCTCACTCAATCTGGCCTGGAACCGGCTCACAGGGAGCATCCCAGAAGCTTTGGGAGATGCTGGTAATGGTGGTGCGAAACTTGAGATGCTTCGGCTGGCGGGTAACGATCTGGAGGGCTCTGTTCCAGGGCAGCTCTCGGAATTTCCCGTATGGTCGTTCCTGCCCGGAAATCAGAACTTGTGTGGCCACCCTGTGGGCAGCTGCTGAAGGGGGTCATGTACAAGAAGCTGAATTGGGAAGCTGGTTAACAACACTCCTATGGCCAGAGTGTACAGGGTAAGGGGGAATGGTTCTCTCTTAGCTTCAAGGCTTCAAGCACATGCTAAATAATTGCCGGCGTGTATATTCGGGGAACGGCATATTCACATTTTGAGGATACACCCAGCCAATTTGGTGTACAGGTGTTGTGGATGGGTAGTTTTCTATGTTGGGTGTACAAATTATGAGTAGTGAATAGGATCATGTTGTACCAGTGGCATACCAGTATATTTATGCACTGGTATGTAGCATTTACGGTACTATAGTTTAGAAATGTTAGTTCCAGTACTGTGGCGGTACCATACATTATCACCGCTGGTGTGGTTGCTTGCTACTAACTGACAACAAACTCTGCATGCACAGGAAAGACAGGGAAGTCCGACGAGAATGAAAACAAGAGCACACTCAACTTATTTCCAACTCCACAACTTGACAGTTCGCACTCCCTCCCACCCAAGTTATGAAAACGTAGCACTACACAACACAACATACACCATCATATGGGATGGCATGGCAGTGACATGTCCACCCACTACCGGTAGTAACAAACACATGTTCCATGATTAACAAATAAATAAAGCGGCGGAGTCATGTTACAGCTCGCCACACCCTCAAAAGGACATCGCGAGTGCAGGGAAGGACCCACAGTCTACTCGACAGTTCCTCTTCATTCCGTACAAGCATGGCAGCAGCACCCACATCCATATTGCGCGATGCATCTGCCAATGCAATCCCTCTCAGAACTGGTAACAGATGTTTCCAGAATTGCAGCGCCTCTGCTGATGCGTGCCCCTCTGCTGATGCGAGCTGCTGCTGCTGCCACTGTCTTCTCCCTGATGAAATATTTTCAAGACTGGCTCCAATATAGCCAAATGCCCTTTGGACGCCACAGCCACAATCCCAGCTGGGACTTGGAACCCACTACGACCCCCCCCCCCAACCGAGGGAGGCTGGCTTCCCCACCCCCCGTCAGACATTATAAAAGGCCCCTCAGTCGCCGTAGCCTCCCGCCCCCTTGAGACGCCGTAGCCTCCCGCCCCCATCAGTCGGCATAGCCTCCCGCCCCCTTGAGTCGGTGTAACCTCCCCACCCCCCCTCAGACGCCGTAGCCATATGGTGAGTCCTCCTGAGATGCCTCTGCCAGTGTGTGCTCCGATGCTTCTGCCAGATAGTCCTTGCTGCAACGTTGGAGGGAGAGACAGAGGGGCGCATGGGGAGAAAGAGTTTTTGAGGCGCCTCAAAACCCAGAGCCCGAGGCTTCCCGAGACGTCCCTGCCAGTGTGTGCGCCGATGCCTCTGCTACATAGTCCTCACTCCCCTCTCGCTCCCCCACTCCTCACCTTCTCCCATCGCCCTCACCTTCTCCCATCGCCCTCACCTTGCTGCTGCCACTTTGCGCGTGGTGTTGGCCTTGCCCTGAAACGCCACCACCAGACACTTGCTCCATCGTGGGCCGCCCGCATCCTCCACTGTCGCCGCCCGCACGGCCGCTAGCAAACGAACAAACAGAGCTCGGTCGGCAGTGGTGCTGCGGGTGGGGGCGAAAGGGGGTGCAACGAGGGAGGAGGAATGAAGACGAAGGGAGAGAAGGGAAGGGATGAAGAGCGAGGGAGAGCGGGGACAAAATGTTGGAGTGAAAGAAGGAATTAACTGACAGATAAAGAGAGGAGAGAGACCAGCCGTAGTAGGAACGGAAATTAATAGAGGGGAAGAAAAATGGGAGGGAGAGACTTCACCCTATAATCTCACACGGGAAAAAAACAGCAGAACAATCATGGGAGGGCATAAGAACAGTCACTAGAATTAATCACGAGGCTTGGTATAAGAGGCCAATAATGAGGCTCACCACAACGGGGATGACAGCCAGCCGAGGATATTTGGCAACTTCACGGAAGTGAGCAGGCGGCGCAGCGACTGCGGCATCCTCTTCTTCTCCACCAGAGCCAGCTGCGAGAAGCTCTGTTGAAACTCACTGCACTCTCAAGGCAGACTCCACAAGTCAACCACTCACCACAAGGGGGACGACAGCCAGCCGAGAATATCCGGGAGCTTGACAGACGTGAGCAGGCGCCGCAGCGACTGAGGCTTCCTCTTCTTCTCCACCAGAGTCAGCTGAGAGAAGCTCTGCTGAAACGCCAGGGAGATCCCCATGCTGTCCAACCACGCCTCCAGATACTCCCCTTCCTCCTCCTCCTCTTCCTCCTCCTCGTCCTCCTCATCCTCCTCTCCCTCTCCATTCGTATCGCCTCCGTTCACAGCACCACCGGCAGCAGCACCGTTCGGTTTCTCCGATCCGCCGTTTGCATACCCAGCAGGGGCCCCGGCCATTTCTTCCTTAGTCCCCTCATCCTCCTCCTCTTCCTCCTCCTCCTCCCTCCCCTCAGCCAAGGCAGCGTCTCTCTCCATCTGAGCTGCCTGCTGCCGGCCAATCACGTGCGCCCACGTGGCGCACTCCTCCAGGGGCGGCGGCCACAGGTCCTGCGGCAGCGGCTGGGGCGGCTTGGGCGGCCGGAGATTCTTGATGGATATGTTCTTCGAGCGCACCAGCGCCGGGCGGTCTGTCTTGGCGTTTTCCCGCATCGCCTTGCTGATGAACCGCGAGGACGCGAGAATGTCGTGCACGCGCGTGCTTGCGCCGCCCGGACCGCCGCCCGCCCCGCCGTAAAAGCTAGTGCTGCCGACCCCATACCGAAAACTCAGCGCTCCCCCAGCAGCAATATCCCTCCCCTCGCTCTCCTGCCCTCCCACCCCCCCGCCACCGGCGCCACTAGGGGTAGGCACAGCACCCATACCAGCGATAACAACCCCACCGGACGTAGTCCATATAGCCGGCACATCGCGGGCGTCGAAGGGCACGCGGGCAACAGGGCGCCTCCCCACCGCCGCACCCAGAACAATCTGATGCAGCGCGGCAAAGCGCTGCGACTTGTTCAGGTCCTTGATCCAGGATGTGTCTCCAAATTCCGGTGCCGGAACCAGGGCAGTGGAGGAGGAAGAGGCGGTGGCGGCAGCGCCGTTGCTGGTCTCAGCACCAGCAGCGGCAGCAGCAGCAGCAGCAAAAGCTGGGGAGTTGAGGGGGTAGCAGCAAGCCTCGTAGGCTCGGCGGACCTTCATGAGGAGCCTCCGCTCCTCCTCCCGGCCCGGGAGCAGGATGATAGCTGCGATGTGCGGGCGGAACCAGTCAAGCACATCACTTGGAGACACCTCCACCGCACCCTCCCGCACATGCTTCGGCGGCTTGTTGCTGGTCGCCCCTGCTCCAGGTTTCCCTGTCGCTCCGTCCCCTCCCTCCCCGCCCTCCCCTTCGTCGTCTAAAGCCCAGAGGCTCTTTGCTGCGCCGTGGAGTTTCCACACGAGCAGGTGGTTGATTAGCTCGTAGGAGAAGACGATGAGGGTGGGGACGCAGAAGGCGACGATGACGAGCGCGAAACCGATCTTAGGGAGCGTTTCAAGCTGCACGAAGTTGAAACCCATGGTGGCAATGATGAAGATCATTTCGGCGACAATGAGGATCGCTGCGAACGCGTCGTGGGTTGAGGCGACGAACGGGGAGGCGGCGAGCTGGAGGCCGATGAGAATGACTTGCACGGGGAAGAGCACAGTCATCTGGTGGTGGAGGGGAAGGCGGGTGAAGGGGGTGAAGGGGTGCAAGGGGACAAGGGGAAGGGGTTGTGGTTGATGTAACAAAAGGGAGGCGGCGAGCTGGAGGCCGATGAGAATGACTTGTACGGGGAAGAGCACAGTCATCTGGTGGTGGCGGGGAAGGTGGGTGAAAGGGGTGAAGGGGTGCAAGGGGAGAAGGTGACTTTTGAGAATTCTCAAAAGTGATTTCAATATGCACGGGGAAGAGTACAGTCATCTGTAGGGGGGGAGCGGGAACAGAGAGAAGGGGAGAGGGAAAAGATGGGGCTGTTTTAGAAAGCGCAGTCAATGAGGAAAACGAGAAGCGCCAGTGGAAATAACGGTACTCCTGTTGTGTCTGTCACCGTCCACCCAGGCAGAGCCCCATTGACATTGTGCCTACAAAACATACCATCCCCCCCCTCCCTCTAGCGCACAAACATACCTGAACCGGAGGCGAGTCAACGAGGAAGACAAAGAGTGCCGAAACCAAGATACGCCTGGCGAACAGCATGAGGTGCCGGTAGAAACAGCGGTACGCACCCTTCCCCTCCCTCTTCCCCTTCCCCCTTACGCTCCCCCTCCCCCCACAAGCACACATACCTGAACCGGAGGCGAGTCGATGAGGAAGACAAAGAGAGCCGCAACCAGAATCCGCCTGGCGAACAGCATGAGGTGCCAGTAGAAATAGCGGTACTCATATCGCGTCACCATCCACCCCCAGCGCGCGCGAAACGCCCGCGTGTCCAGCAGCTTCTGCTTCTTGCCGTAGAGCATGGTGAGCGCGTAGTAGATGGGCGCGCCGGCCACAAAGACAATGGTGACGGCGATGGCGAGCGCAAACAGTGTGATGCGCGCGCTGCTGCTCCACAGGTCCGTTGGGGAGAAGGTCATGACCACTTCATCATAGGTGCTCTTGGAAAAGGCCTGGGGGGGGAGGGAGGGAGGGGTGGGAGAGGAGGGTGGAACTTCTGAGGCCTTGCATGGGCTGCTGCTCCACAGGTCCGTGGGGGAGTAAGTGCTCTTGTCTTACTGGGGAGAAGGTCATCACTGTCTCGTCATACGTGCTCCTGGAAAAGGCCAGGAGGGGGGGAGGGGGGGGGATGGGAGAGGAGGGTGGGACTTCTGAGGCCTTGCATGGGCGAAAAGGCATGGGGGACGAGGAGGAGGCGGGAAGCGACAGAGTAGGGAGCGAGGGAGGGAGAAGAAGGGGAAGGAGGGGAGAGAGGCGTTCTGTGTTCCCCTCTCTCCCCTCCTTCCCCTTCTTCTTCTGTGGTCGTACATGCTCCTCTGCAAAGGCCTGCCGGGTTGGGGTATAGATTAGAAGGTGGCGGGCGGGAGGGAGGAAGGGAGGGGAGGTGGTGGAGGAGGGGAGGGAGGGATGGAAGGCATGATATGTGTGGTACAGGAATGGGGTGATACGGGGAGAGGAGACGAGACAAAAAGAAGATGTGAAGAGAAGAGAGGGAAGAGGAGGGCTCACCCGGTGCAGTGCAGGGCTCACCCGGTGCAGTGCAGGGCTCACCCGGTGCAGTGCAGGGCTCACCCGGTGCAGTGCAGGGCCCACCCGGTGCAGTGCAGGGCTCACCTAGAAGGGGAGGGCTTACCTGGAAGCAGCGCACGGTGACGGGCAGGTAGCACACGTCCAGCCAGTTGGCCGCCCCGTGAATATAAATATCCTCCAGCGGGGCAGGTGGGTTTGCTGACGGCTTGTCCCCCCCGACCTCCCCCCCTTTCTCCCCTCCCTTCCCCCCGGCGTGGCCGTGCGACTGGGAGTGGGCGGGTGAGGGGAAGAAGCGGCGGAGGGTGCCTTGCACGGCGAAGAGCAGCGCGTAGGCGGCCAGACCCACTGCAGCGACTATCATGGTGAGCGCCCAGCGGGACGTGAAGGGGAAGGAGACCTTGCAGTCCGGGCCGAGAATGTCCTGCAAGGGGGGGGAGGGGGGAGCATAGGGTAGGAGCAAGCAGGTGAGTCTGGTCCCAATGGCAGCGACTATCATGGTGAGCGCCCAGCGGGACGTGAAGGGGAAGGAGACCTTGCAGTCCGGGCCGAGAATGTCCTGCAAGGGGGGGGAGGGGGGAGCATAGGGTAGGAGCAAGCAGGTGAGTCTGGTCCCAACGGCAGCGACTATCATGGTGAGCGCCCAGCGGGACGTGAAGGGGAGGAAGGAGACCTTGCAGTGCGGGCCAAGGATGTCCTGATAGGGGGGGAGTAAGGGGTAAACAGGGCGGAAGGAGTAAGCAGGTGACTCTAGGGAGGAGAGGGGGAGGGGAGTGGTGCATAAGGTAGGAGGAGCAAGAAGGTGATTCCATGCCCACGGCAGCGACTATCATGGTGAGCGCCCAGCGGGAGGTGAACGGGAAGGAGACCTTGCAGTCCGGGCCAAGGATGTCCAGATACGGGGGAATGGTGTGACGGGACGGGGACGGAGGGAGGGAGGGGAGGGGAGGCAAGATGCTTTGGGAAAGAGACCTTGCCGTCTGAACCCAGGATGTCCTGAGAGTGCATCAGTGAGTGAGTGAGTGTGCGAGTGCCCAATCTACTCCCGATAGGAATGGGGCAGCCCCAGCCACATACCACGGAGAAGAGGCTAAGAGTTGAGAGCTCCACGACTTTTCTTGCCTAGTCGGGGAACTGCAGATTATACATGTGCAAAGCAACGAGCCGAGTTTTACTCGGCTTGTCCCTGGGCACACTCGTACGAGTAATGTCACGAGCCGAGTTTAGCTCGTCCGAGTTTTTTCAGGGGAAACTCAAGCTCGTGACTCGTCTCGTCACGAGCTTTTTAAGCGCTCGTCCGAGCTTAGATGAGCTCGTTGCCCTATACCACCACATACATGCCTAATTTTGTAAACCTGCTGCCTAATAAGATACCATCAAATAAATTTACCCATATCCAGACCAGGTATTTCGCCCTGGAGAGCGTCAATATTGGGTGGGGGATCGCAAAACCAGCCCAAGCAACGAGTGCTCGGCGAGTTTCTCGCCTCGGCTCGGACGAGTGATTTTTACAGAAAATCAAACTCGTCACTCGCCCTCGAACGAGTGCCTCGTACGAGCCGAGGCGAAAAGCTCGCCTCGTTGCACATGTATACTGCAGATCCACCGACCCCAGCACTGCCAGGATCTGCAGCTCACTGTTCATCATTGATACCGAGTGGAAGCGGTGCCATGTGTGCTGCTCTCTCTTGGTGGTTCAACTACGAGTGAGTGAGTGAGTGAGCGAGCGAGTGAGAAAGCGAGTGAGTGAGTGAGTGAGTGAGTGGGGGCTCAGTGACCATCCCAACACGTACCACAGAGAAGAGGCTGAGTGTTGAAAGCTCCACGACTTTCCGGGCCCAGTCGGGGAACTGCAGATCCACCGACCCCAGCACTGCCAGGATCTGCAGCTCACTGTTCATCATCGACACTGAGTGGAAGCGGTCAGAAAAGATAGCCGTCGCCACCCACAGCAGGATCACGAGCACGAAAAAGAACCAGAAGAGCTGCACAAGGGACGGAACGGGGCGGGGGAAGGGGGTTGGGTGGGGACAGAGGGAAGAAAGGGTTGAGAATGGATGGATGCTGAAAGCCACTCGTGGCTCACCAGCTCAGGAAGCAAGCGGTTTGGAGACAGAGGCCATGGAGCAGGGTACTCACATCACAGTGTCCATTCACGAAGTGCACTGGTAGCACGTGCCGATGACTGAGTAGTAGCCGGGGGCGGAGGGGGAGGAGTAGAGGGACCAGAGCAGGGGGAGCAGAGGAGAGAGAACAGGGGAAGGGTCTAAACCCCCAACGCACTCACAGTTTCCATCCAGGGGATGCACTGGTAGCACGTGCCGACGACCGAGTAGTAGCCGGGGGGGGCGCACATGGAGTAAGGAAGAAGCAGGGAGAGCAGAGAGAGCAGGGGGGGAAGAGCAGGGGGAAAGAGCAGGGGGAAAGAGCAGGGGGAAAGAGCAGGGGGAAAGAGCAGGGGGAGCAGAGCAGGGGGAGAAGAGCAGGGGGAGCAGAGCAGGGGGAGAAGAGCAGGGGGAGCAGAGCAGGGGGAGCAGAGCAGGGGGAGCAGAGCAGGGGGAGAAGAGCAGGGGGAGCAGAGCAGGGGGAGAAGAGTAGGGGGAGCAGAGCAGGGGGAGAAGAGCAGGGGGAGCAGAGCAGGGGGAGAAGAGCAGGGGGAGTAGAGCAGGGCGAGAAGAGCAGGGGGAGCAGAGCAGGGGGAGAAGAGCAGGGGGAGCAGAGCAGGGGGAGAAGAGCAGGGGGAGCAGAGCAGGGGGAGAAGAGCAGGGGGAGCAGAGCAGGGGGAGAAGAGCAGGGGGAGCAGAGCAGGGGGAGCAGAGACACGGGAGCAGAGCAGGGAGGGAGAAGTGGAATTGACTCACAGTTTCCATCCAGGGGATGCACTGGTAGCACGTGCCGATGACTGAGTAGTAGCCTTCGGAGCACATGGAGCAGAGGCGGTTCTGATTGTACCCCTCAGCACACTGCGTGTCGTTGGGGGACGCGTACTCGAATCCCGCACAGCCATCTGGTGGGGGGGAGGGGGGTGGGGGTGGGGGTGGGTGGGGGTTCAAGAGTGAGTGGGTTGTACCCCTCGGCGGCACACTGCGTGTCGTTGGGGGACGTGTACTCGAATCCCGCACAGCCATCTGGGATGGGGGGAAGAGGCGGAGGGGTTGGGAGTGGGAGTTCAAGAGTGAGTGGGTTGTACCCCTCGGCACACCGGGTGTCGTTGGGGGACGCATACTCAAATCCTGCACAGCCGTCTGGGGGGAGAGAGGGGAGGGGTTGAGAGGGAGGAGAAGGAGAGTGATACATGATACAGGGCGTTAGGCTGAGAGCGGCGGCAGCAGCACGTGGAGCAGAGGCGGTTCTTTGAAAATTCTCAAAAAACACGCGTTGCAACCCTCAGCACACTGTGAGTTGTTGGGGGATGTAAACTCGTAGCCCGCACAGCCGTCCGGATCGGAGGGAAGTGGGGGGCAAAGGGCAGTGGAAAAGGGGGTATGGAAGTGGAGGGAGCAGCAAAGGGGCAGAAAAGAGGGGGCGGCAGACGAAGGGGGGGCAGAGGAGGCAGAGAACATGTGAGGAGGAAGAATGATCGTGAGCATATGCAGACTGGAAGCCATTCTTGAGAATTGTCATACATTGCTCGCAGCTTTTGAGTCGACTCAAAAGCGTGATTGTGGGCATATGCAGACTGGACTGGAAGCAATTCTTGAGAATTGTCATAAATTGCTCATAAGAGCGGGGTGTGGAAAAGAGGGGCGAGACAAATGAGAGAGAAAGGTAAAGTGCGTGAGACAAAAGTGAGGAAGAAGATGTCAAAGAGGCGACACATACTCGACACGTCGCAGTAGTAGACCGCGGGGTTGTCACTGTCAACGCTCCCCGGGTCCAACCAGAAATCGGCAGCGATCGTGCAGGTCCCATTGCTGCAATCCATAGCATTGTCCCCAAAAATCGTGACTGTATTCGCGCAAGTCACGCACTCGCTCGCAGCTGGAAGAAAACTGAACGTCCCGTCCTCACACACCACCGACCCCTGCCCCGCCGGACACTTGAACCCCACCTCGCAAGGCAGGCAAGCAAGGTCATCCGGGGAGAAATAGCTCCCGGGATCGCACAACCCGAATTCGAGCTCGCGCGTGATTGGCGGGTACGCGTCCGTCGGGCTGCTGACGGTGATCGGGAGGGTGAAATTCGCGGCCTCTTCGGGCGGCAGGACGAGGGAAACGGGCGGCAGGACCGCCCGGCCGTGGAGCGCGGTGGCGCGGAGGAGACCGGAGATGCGCGGGTCGGGCTGAATGGCGATAATAGAAGAAAAGTCGTCGGTGGCAACGTTGCCGTAGGCGTCTAGGATGGTGACTGTGATGTTGACGATGGGCGTCTGCGTGTCCCCCATCACTGTGAACGGCTGCGAGGTGTCCGTGGCGTTACCCCCTTCCATTACATTCTTCTCCCACCTGCGGGTGGGGTTGTGTGGGGGGGCAGGGAGGGCGACGTTGCTTTAGGCGTCTAGGATGGTGACTGTGATGTTAGGGCACAGACTCACATGGCACAACTTTTGAGACGTCTCAAAAGTTGGGGGACACAAACTTACCACGGCACAACCAACCCGAACCAGGGCACGTACATGAGCGACAAGGACGTGGGGGGCGTGCCGATGGTGTCTCGCTTGCTACTATCAGCCAAGCAGATGGTGTCACTCAAGCCAAGCAGAGAACCAAGCAGCAGAGGGCACATACATGAGCGAGAAGGACGTGGGGGGCGTGCCGATGGTGTCCCGCTTGGTGCTGTCAGCATCGGCGCACGTGATGCGCACGCCCGGCCAGAAGGACGTGTCAAAGAACGCCACGCCCTGGCTGGGCACCGCGGCGTTGCCTTCAAACACCACATTCGTGCATGTCAGCTTGTTGCTCAGTGCTACAGCCGGCGGTAGAGATGGCTCCGATGACCCCCCCGCACTCCCACTATCCCCACTGCCGCTGCCGCCGCCGCTGCTGCTGCTGCCGCTGCCGCCGCTGCTGCTGCCGTCACCGGTGCCGTTACCACTGCTGCTGTCAGTCATCTCCCCCAAGGGGTTCTTCCGGAGGAGCTCCCGATCCACATACACAGCCGCGCCCCCCTTCTTGGCGTCGTTCCCCACAAACGAGCAGTTCAATATGCTTCCCTGAGAGTTGCCCTCGTAGAAAAGCCCGCCTCCTCCGAACGACGCTGCGTTTGAAGTGAAGTTAGAGAGGAAGACAGAGAGGGACGAGTTGCCAGTGGCGAGGGCTCCCGCGCCCTTGCTGGCGGAGTTTGAGGTGAAATCGCAGCCGTTGATCGAGACGGTCGCGAGGGCATCGGAGAAGATCGCGCCGCCGCTGCTCCCGGTGTTGCCGGCGAGAGTGGAGCTGTTTATAACGAGGATGGCGGAGTCGGTGACATGGAGCGCCCCACCGTTGCCCAGAGGGCTCGCCACTCCAGTTGCTGCTGCTCCCCCTGCTGCTGTTGCTCCGACTGCCGTGCTGTTACCTCCTTGACCGGTGGTAACATTCCCAGCCACACCGGCAGCAGCAGGAGCAGGAGAAGAAGCAGCAGCAAGGATTCTAGCAGTGAGGCCTTTGGTGTTCAAGCTGGCCGATTCGATAGAGGAGGTAACTGCAGCAGCAAAGGCCGCAGCCATCCGAATGGAAGGCGAGAAAGGATAGGCTAAGTCGGAAAATCCGGTAGCGGTGACGGCGGTGGTGGGAGTGGGAGCGGTTGAAGGGGAATCGGCAACTGCTGCAGCAGACGCAGAGGCGGAAGCGGAGGAAGAGGACGGGATGCTGGCAGCGGTGTTGTTGTTGAAGCTACCACCAATAATGGTTGCCACTGCCTGGCCTCTCACCATCACTGCATGGACGGCGTTTTCGGAAAACGTCGAGTTGAAAGAGGACAAAACCGCCCGCCCTTCGATCAGCGCTGCGCCGCCCAAATCTGCACTGTTTGCGATCAGTTTTGATCCAGTAAGAGCAACGCTGGCTGAATGGACGGCGTAGATCACTCCACCGTAAAACCGGGCAGAATTATTTCGAAACGTGGTGCCCGATGCATTCACCTGAGAATCCATTTCTGCCCAGACAAACCCCCCACCCCCGTCCGCGCTGTTCCCCTCTACAATCAACCCCGATACACTCAACTTCGCCGACCCGCTCGCACGAACCCCCCCTCCCTCACTCCCGCCCTCGTTCCCCTTCACCTCGCCCTTTACAATCACACCGGACGTAGAGTCAATCAGCGCCAAACACCCTCCCCCGGATATCGCCTTGTTGCCGTCACACACGCTCCTCTGCATGTCCAGCACACTATACTCCTCCAATGCCACCCCGCCACCTGTCGTCGCGTCGTTCTGCGACAGCTGGCAATCGGTGATTCGCGCTTCGCCGGTCATGGCGGCGTAGACCGCGCCGCCCGCCAGGTCAGCATGGTTGAGGGAGAAAGAGGAGGAGGTGACTGTAGCGACAGTAGAGACAGAGGGAGCGGCGGGAGCGGAGGGAGAAGAAGAGGAGAGAACAGAGCCTACGATGGCGAGTGCACCGCCCTTAGCAGCGGAGTTGCTTTGGAAGGAGGTGAAGAGGAGGGAAAGGGCTGTCCCGCTGTGGAACACACCCCCTCCTCGTGCCGCCATCGCCTTGTTCTGAGAGAAGCGGCTGTTGCTTATTGTCACGTCTGTGGCTTCGCCCTGATGGGGAGGGAGGGGCAGAGCGGGGGAGGGAAGGGCAGAGATGGTTGGAGAGTGAGAAAAGGGAGGAAGGGGAGGGAGGGGGGGTGGGGCACGTGGGGGGTGGTCGACAATTGTGGAAAATAGTTGCTTATGCGGAAAACAAAAAAGCGTGTGAGGAGCAGCCGTACCTCCGTTATAAGCACGCCTCCACCCTCCCCAGTAGTAGCCTCGTTAGCAACAAAGTCACAGTCGTCCACAGTGATGGGGTTGATCGTGTTGACTGCCATACCGCCTCCCCCCATGTCCCCCACGTTGCTCTCCACTCTGCTCTTTGCCATGCTGCCACCGTCCAGCCAGTACACTGCCCATGGTGGGCGGAGTGCAGGGAAAGAAAATGCGGTTGAGAGGGGTTGCAAAAGAGCAGGTCATTCGTATTTCCCTGTCCCCCATGTCCCCCACGTTAACCTCCACTCGGCTCTTCACCATGCTGCCGCCGTCCAGCCAGTAGACTGCACACGTGCATGTGGAGGGTGATTGAGAAGGAGGCTTCGAGAGGGGGAAGGGAGTCTTGGGGCGAAGGAGAGCAATAAAAACACCCATCAGGGTGATGGGAGCAATAAAAACACCCATCAGGGTGATGGGAGCAATAAAAACACCCATCAGGGTGATGGGAGCAATAAAAACACCCATCAGGGTGATGGGAGCAATAAAAACACCCATCAGGGTGATGGGAGCAATAAAAACACCCATCAGGGTGATGGGACCAATGGAAAGAGCACAAACACGCTGAAAGCAGCTCACACATCACACTACAACTGACAAGACTCTCTAGTGACAAACAGATTCATTGACTCAACGGACGAAAGAGACTTACCTCCACCTCCCGAAGCGACTGCATAGTTGTAGCCAAAGGTCACGTTGGTGATGGTGACTGCCGGCGATGCAATGTAGAGACCCCCGCCCATGTACGCCTGGGGGAAGGCAGAAAGAAGGAAGGAGAGAGGGGAAAGGAGAGGGGGGCAAGAGAAGGGGGAAGAGGAGGGGGAAGAGGAGGGGAAGGAGGGAGGCAAGAGAGAGGGGTTAAAGAAAAGGGCGGAGGGGAGAGGGTGCACAGACACCAGCCGCAATAACCACCACCATAACCATCAACACCGTTGCACCACACCACACCGCACTGCATTCACCCAGTTGTTGCTGACCGTGGAATTCGAAAGCTCAAACGTGACGTCCATCTTGGCAAACACGTTCGTGCTGATGCCCCCTCCCTGGGCTTTAAGCCCCTCCGTCATCACTACCAACACAATCCAAGCTGCTGTTATCAAGCACAACCCACCATACCGCACCGCCCGAACCACACCGCAATGTTCCGCACCTCCCCGCACTGCACTCACCGAATTGCTGCTGACGGTGGAGTTGGAGAGCTCGAACGTCACGTCCGTCTTGGAATACACGTTTGTGCTGATGCCCCCTCCCTGGGCTTTAAGCCCCTCCGTCATCAACCCATTGTTCCCCGAGATATTGCAACCGCGCACCACCGCATTGACATCTGATAAATACACCCCGACCCCGAGATTAACCTCCGAATACCCCGTATTATCCAGGATATTACTATCAATTAACTCCACGCTCCCTGTGATTGTTTCCAGGTTCCAACAATCCACACCAATGCCTGTCCCGCTCTCCATGTAATTCGTGCAGCGGGTGATTGTGGACCGTTGGATTGAGATCGAGCTCGTGCCCATGGCGTAGATCCCGCCTCCGCCATACACAGACGTAGTAGAGTCAATAGTGGAGTCTAGAACCACTGTAGATACTGTCCCGTTAAGGAAAAATCCGCCACCGTATGACGGGTCGTCGCTATAAGGAGCATAATCCCGGGACGACGCGGCAAAACACCCAAAGAAAGTGGAGGTTTGGACAGAGAGAGACTGAGAGGAGGCGTCGGATAAGCACCCCCCGGAGCTGCCGTTGGTGCTGGTGATTTGGACGGATTTGAGTGTGACTTTGGAGGAGGAGGAAGCGAGACCGCCGCCCAGGAAGCGAGAGGAGCATTCGGAGATGGAGGAGGAGGAGAGGGAGAGCGTGGTAGAGTAGATGGCGATTCCGCCTCCCACGCTCTCGTCCGCGTGGCATGACTGAATGTCAAGACCCGAGAGTGTTGCCTTGGACGCTGGGGGGTTGCCGGAGGGAGGGGGAGGGGGGGCCAAGGATGGGAGAGAGGGGGTTGTTGCAGGGAGGGGGAGGGATAGAGGTTGCAGGAGAGGGCAATGCCGGCGCCACCAACCAACCACCATCAATGCCTTTTTCCAAGTAGGATACAAAAGAGGGGAAGTGAGAGGAAAGGGCGGGCAATGGGGAGGGCATGAGAGAGACACATGCAAGAATTGGAAGAGCTTCAACCGCAGCACGCCTACAGATCTCACGGAGGGTATGAGAGGGGGCGAGTGAGAGAGGGAGTGAGAGGGAACGGAGGCCGACTGAGAGTGCATGAGAGAAACTCACAGAAAATGGCAATGCCGCCACCACCACCATCAATGCCCCCTTGGGTGACCTTCGAGTCGAACACAGTCACGCCCGTCATAGTCACATCTTTGGATGATGACACGGAGACTGCGCCGCCGTTAAGATACGCGATGCAGCTCGCGAAATCAACGCTCGTTAGAGTCACCTTCTGGTTCGCCGCTTCCAAGCACCCCCCTCCAGCCACCCGATTCAGCCCGCTCATCACAGCGACCCCCTGTATAGTCACACTCGCCTGCGCGCACGGCACAGCAGGAGCGGCACCTCCTGCACCCCCGTTAGAGGCACAAACGGCGCTCAAGCAGGGCCCGTTCTTGCAGTTGATGAGCGGCTTGGATGTGATTTTACCGGGGGGCGTGGGGGAGGGGGAGGAGAGGGAGCCCGCGGCTATGGTGAGGGAGTAGCCGCCGAGCGCGAGGGGCGCGGAGAGCGCGGAGAAGGAGATGGGGATGGTGCCGTTGACCAATAAGATCGTCGCTCCCTTGAGATTCGCGCTGGGATGGAGGGGGATTTGTGGGGTGGTGGTGCGGGGGAAATTGTGTGTTCGGGGGGAAGGGGGGAGAAGGAGGGAGGGGGGGAAAGGGGGGGGGGGGGAGGGGGAGGGGAGGGGGGGGGGAAGAACGACGAGGAGATGGGGATGATGCCATTGGCGAACAGAATGGTCGCAGGGAGAAGGGGACGGAGGGAGGGAGGAGGTACTGGACAAAGGAAAGGAAGAAAGGAGGCAGGAAGTAAAGGACGGCAGGGCATAAGTGGGGTAGGGCAGGGGAGGGGAGGGGAGGGGACGGGAGGGAAGGGTTACAAGCTCAGGGGAGGTAAAGGCATAAGAATGGTAGAAAGCAGGTGGAAGCTAGAAAGGGCACGAGTCAAATCAGATATAATCGAAGGAGCATGAGAGAGACTCACTTGGTGAGGGCGAGGTCGAGAGAGCCTGCGATACAAAGTTGACGAGACGGACAAAGGCAGAAAAAAAAAGGGGGCGAGAGGAGGGGGTGGGGGGGGAGGGGGATGGGGGGGGAAGGAGGGGAGGGGGGGTGGAGGGAGTGGGGGAGAAGTGGGGGAAAGGGAGGAAAGAGGGCGGCGGTTGGGGTAAGAAGAGTTGAAGGACGGACAGCGGGATGGGGGGAAAAGGGAGGGAAGACGAGGAGGGAGTTGGGGAGAAGAGGGGCGGGAGACGGTTAGAAAGCAGAATACGTCTGGAGATAGGGGGGAGGGCACACACGAAGAGCACACAACGCGCACGCGTTGACGCCGTAACGCATGAAAGCAGACTCAGCAGAGGGTGGATGCCGTCAATCGCTCACTTCCCGCGAAGGCGGGATGTAAGCAACCTGACGACACGACTCACCGCACAGCCTCTGCGCTACAACCCCTTCCCCCTCACCCCCTTCCCTCCACCGGCCTCTCCATTCCCATCCCTCCTCCCCACCCCCTCGCCTCCCTTTTTTCCCAGACCGTTCCCTCATGACTCGCCGCACGGCTTCTGCGCTATACACCCCCCTCCCCTTCCTTCCCCATTAACCCTTCCCCCCTCCCCCTTCCCCCCTCCCCCCTCCGCCCTCCCCCCTCCCCCCTCCCCACTCCCCCGTTCCGCCGTGTCTTGCCCTCACGACTCACCACACGGCCTCTGAGCTGTTCCGCAGCAGCCAGTCGCGGTGCCGGTTTCCGTCACGTACACGACGGCTTGACGGTTGCACACTGGTAAGGACACACGAGGAGCGCAAGAAGCACGGAAAGACGGCGTAGGAAAGAAACATGGCAGAATGACAGGACAGCAGAATGCCAGGCGGAAGAAGGTCGGGACGGCAGAATGGCAGGACGGGAGACGGACGTGCAGAATGAGAAGAGCACAAGGAAAAGGGATGCACGCAATGACGCATGTAGCATGCGTGCAGAGTTGACATCTTTTAGCAAAAGCGACCGAAGAGGAGAGAATGAACGGATGAGGGGAGAAAACGGACTGAACGGACGGAAACCGCTTCAGTTACGCTGGGATGAAACATTGACGGTCGAAACTCGCAGAAACCACGAACCTGATTGCGTCCTCGTTAAGAGTGAACTCGATAATAGCACAAACGTCACAACGGCGAGGCGGAGCATTTGACTTGTCGCAAATCCCCAGGAGTCTGGTCTCTGAGCTCTACACGTTTCGCTAAGATGTCGGTGCTTTACACTGCTAGCGGGACGACACATAGCGACGATTCTATTGCACGGCGACATTTTCGTCTCCCAGTCGTCGTCCGCAAAAGTTACGCGGAGCCTCGATACCGAGGCCGTCGACTCCGGAGCTACACCTTTTTTTTGTTTCAATATGTCACAGAAAAAATGGGTTGGAGTAGTGGCCGATGCCCTAATCGCGAGAAACGCGCGGGAGAGTTCAGAACGTGATAGGGCTAGCGTGAGACGAGGCTATATCGCCGTTTTGCAAATACAAGGTTTCCGCATGGTGTCGTTCTGAAAGAGCTCCACGCCGAACCTAGGAACAACGCTGAGGGTGATGAGTCGAGAACAGTGAGGCTGATAACCGTTGGGCTTTTCCCAAATGTCTCTATCCGTCCGTAACCCAATCCCGTTTTGATCCTACGCCGTGGACTAAGTTCGCGAGAGTCGATGACGGTCTTGGTACAGTACAATACAGCTATCTTCTCTCGCGACTCGCTAGAATCCGTTTCTTGCCGAATGCAGGTGAGACAGCTGACATCACAACAGAACCTTGCTCAAAAGTCATGCAGCAACAGCCAGTCACACACACCCCTGCACAATTAGGTTTGGTTGTCACTAGAAATTACGATGATGAGTTTGGAACAGATGTTACCGAAAGTGGTGGAGCTCCCAAGGAGTTCCTTGGGAACACGACGGCAATCCCAGGGTTGTTTGAGAATGTACATTTTTCTCGCTCTGTACGATACATAAAGTACAGGAAGCTCCGCGCCTGACAAAATAACGCGGAATTGCTGCAGTTGCTTCTGCTGCCCGGTTTGATGCAGATCGAAAGGTTGGCGTTGTTCCGAGTACAATCTATGCTGGGGCAGTAGGTGATAATACGCTGGTCCCTGTTTGACACCCGGGCAGCGGAACGTGTTGTCCTTTTTTTGTTGGGAGTGTGAACGCGGATCGACGGGCAGTCGAGCGACGAATCAACGAGACGAGATTCGTTTCGCCTTCACACACCCTTCACACACCACCACCACCACCCCAGTGGCCCTCCTGACTTCAGTGAGTGACCCGTTCGAATTCTTTCATAAATTTTTTTGAAACAAAAGTGTGTTACATCAATTCGAACGTAACCACTTATCTTTGCATCCAAAATGGTCGCGTATACAAGACAAAAGCCAGCAATCCGAAATTTAGTCCCTAAATCTGTATAGTGTTTCAGGGCGGGTCAACGAAATGATGAGAGGGTTCATCTGTGATAGCAAAGTTTCGAGTGTGACTACCCGTGATAGAAATTAGTGCCTTTGAGTGACGGCGGGTGATACCCGTGTGATGGTTCGTGATAGATTTGGCAGATTTTGTGACTGTCCGTGATAGATTTGGCGGAACATGTGACTGCTCGTGATAACTCCGAAATGTTTTGTGACGGCCCGTATAAAAACCCTTTCATGTCGCCCCATCCGCCCCGCCCCTCCACCCCCACCACTGACCCGACCCGATGGGCAGATGGGCAAATGACGACAAACCTCGATGTTTTGTCGGGCGCCCGACCTGAAACCGCGTTTACATGACCAGCCCGCACTGTGCAAGTGCAATCTCACCAACTAACAAGACCACCTGAAGGTCCGCATTCTCGGTACAGTAGCAGCTCGTCGTTTTAGACAGAACAATTAGCACCCTGATTTTGCAAGAAACCATAGATGGTGCCTTACTAGTTCATCCATGTTGTTCAAGGTTGGCACACCTTTATCCAACACTTCCATAGTCTGGGCTTCCTTACAAGCCTCGACTTTCACTCATATTTTTCTGCTCCTCGCAGCCCCATCTGTCTGTCACATGGCAACAGACATACCGTACCCATAAACCAACCTAGGAGCCTACAGTACCTCTCCTACCCACCGAATCAGAAGGCCCACAGGAGAGCTACCAGGCTCAGTACAACAACAAAACATTGAAAACACTTCTCTGCCCTAATGCCTGCCCCCACCCCAAGTATCGGCCACTGCCACAGCACGGCATACCTCTCCCCCCACCCAGGAGCATCAGTCCCATAATCCGCTCCATCCATCGGCCCATAAGTGGACACAAAGAGAGGTGGCAGCTCACGGGAGCTCGCGAGCAGCTCAAAGTCGCTGCGGCTGACATTGGTTGTGAGAGTGAAATTGAGGTGTGTTGAAGGGCTGGCCCGGGCGATGTATGCATAGAAGACCTGTCGTGTGAAGGTGGGAGGAGGACACAATAAGAGCAGGAGAGAGAGAAGGTGAGGTGAGGTGAGGTGGCTGCTTGAGGGAGCGCGCGGGCAGCTCAAAGGCGCTGCAGCTGACGTCAGCAGCTCTCCCAACTCATCCTCTCACCACTTCATCCTCTCACCACTTCATCCTCTCACCACTTCATCCTCTCACCACTTCATCCTGTCCCTCACCTCATTTCCAACAGTGTACCCCATTGCCCTGCAGCTCCCATCCTCACCTCATTCCCAACTGTGTACGCCTTGAGGAAGGTGGGAACCAGGGAAGGCGGCAGCTGACTCAGGGCCTGCTGCAGCTGCGCCAGTGTCATGCCTACCCCGCCCTGCCAGTCCCCGCTGGTGTGATTGAGCCATGCATCCGTCACAGTCACTTGCTGGGTGGAAGGGTCCTGTGCGACAGATAAGCTCACAGGGCGAGGCCCTGCAGGGGCTGAGGGAAAGGAGAAGGTATTGAGTCATTGAGACGTCTCAGAACTGCACCCACCTGTCGCTGCAGCTGCAGCCATCGGGTGGAGGGACCGCAACAGTAGGCGTCGTGAGGGACACCAAACCAGAGGCCCGAGCCACTCACAAATATTTTTTGAGAATTCTCAAAAAACAGAGGCCCATGCCACTCGCATTTGCCGTCCCCCTCAACCCCCAATCCCCCCGTTCCCAACCACCCATCCTACCTGCTGCGCCAGCTGCTGCCATTGCGAGGAGGGACCGTAGCAGTAGGAGGCGTTGTAAGGGACGTGAAATCCGAGGCACAAGCTATCGATCCGCAACCCTCCCATACCTCCATTTCCCCCACTCTCCCTTCCTTCCTACCTGTTGCGCCAGCTGTTGCCACCTTGAGGAGGGCACACAGCAGTAGGAGGCGTTGTAAGGGACACCATACACGGCCTCCACCCGTGTGCGTTTGCCTTCATCCCACGCTGGGTCAGCATGGAAGATGCCGCCGCAGTACAGCCCGGTGTATTCGGGGGTCGTCGCGTAAAAGCTCTCCATCTGGACCGGGCGGCAAGGATGGGCGGCAGTTGTCAGTGATGGCCTGTCTTCGCCGCCATGTAGTAATAGCTCTCCAGAAAGGTGGGTGACAGAGTAAATGCGTCTAAGCTCGATAGGTGCAACTGAGTGGGCGTACAAGGGACTTGAGAGACGATTCCAGAATCACTCAAGCAAGGCCAGGAGAGATGAGCACCTCTGAGCACCCCTGAGCGCACCTTAGCACCCCTGAGCACCCCTGAGCGCCCCTAAGCGCACCTGAGCGCACCTGAGAGGGATAATAGCCCTCGCGGGCGAAATGGTTCACTTGATCCTGGAAGTGCCGACCCTGGTCTATGCTCAATACTCAATACAGCTGTTGGGATGGGGGAGTGCAAGGGGGTACAGGGGAGTTCAGGGGGGCGTACAGGGGGGTTGCGCAGGAAAGTGCAAGGGGAAAGTGCAAGGGGAAGATCGATCCTGCCTTCAGCCAGCCGCCCGGGTACTTGTGCTTGAAGTAGTTACGCTGTGAGGGGGGGGGAGAGTGGGGGGAAGGAAGGAGGGTGAAGGGAAGCACAAGGATTTTCGGTAGAGAAATCAAACATGAGGCACACACATAACGCGGGCGCGAATCACTCCAACCTCATCAAACCTCATCGCACCTCATCCTCGGCGATTTCTGACGGCGCGCGTTTCGCGGGACGACCCGCGTGGAACTTCCGGATCCTAAGGCGACTCGGCGCGCTGTGATTTCCGTGCGACAAGAATACGAACGGTGTTAAGGTCCCACCGCCGTTCCTTCGCGGAAGGTTCTCCTCGCGGAATGCACCATCAGCGGTGCATCGGGGCCTCGGAGGTGGAAGTCCGAGCCGAATCCGCCGTGGAACGTGGAGGATGAGCACAGAGGAAGGGCCGCAACGAGGAGCACTAGAGAGAAATGCGCTGCGAGGATGACAGCCGCGCGAGAATCCATCTTAGGTACGGAACAGGAGCGAAACGCACGGAGTGATGAAGGGAAACAAAAGGGTAAATAAGGACACGGTAATACATCTCACTCAATATGGTGATTCTCCCGAAGCTGACCCGTGTCGCCTTCGTGCTTGGTGTCTAAAGACCCATGGTGTGCATGCTTCGAGAGAGTATCGAAATTGCGACATGAGCGGATGCGGTCGCGATGCCGATGCCATCTTTTTCATTCAAATTCTCGACTTGCTGGCGAACAGCACCGCTAAGATGATGTATCCTCGTCATCATTGTTTCCTCCTAATTGGGTTATCCCAGTCATGTTCTCGTTAGGGCTTCGATTCATCTACAGTAATTGTAGGGATTCGCGCACTATTTCATTTACAATAAATAATAATCAGTACCAAAAATACTTCTCTATGTTCCTCGTCATTCTGTATTACAGAAAGTGATATACATGGTGGACTGCACAGTGGTGGCTTTTGAGTCGACATCAAAAGTCACCTAGGTTCCTCTTCTGGTCCTTTTTTCACCCCCACTCCTCCCACCCACCCCATCCACCAGCCACGGCATACCTCTCGCGCGATCCAGGAGCATCGCTCTCCCCAGCCCCCCAATCCATGGGCCCGTACGAGGACACAAGGAGAGGTGGTTGGCTGATTCTACCGGTAAGCTAGCCTGACATCCTCTCCTGCCCCTTCCCCTGCCAATGCCTCTGCCCCTGCCCCTGCCCCTGCCCCTATCTCTTCTCCCACCCCATCTGCCTGCTGCAAAACAGCATACCTCTCCCCTCATCCACGAGCATCACTCTCCCCAGCTCCCCCATCCATCGGCCCGTAGGAGGACACAAGGAAAAGAGAAAGCTGCTTGAATCTACCATTAAGCTACATCCTCTCTTGGCCCTGCCCGTGCCTCTGCCCTTGCCCCTGCTCCTGCTTCGCCCACCCCATCTGTCTGCCACAGTGCAGCATACCTCTCCCCCGACCCAGGAGCATCGCTCTCCCCAGCCCCCCCATCCATCGGCCCGTAGGAGGACACAAGGAGAGGCGGCTGTTTTAGGGAGCGAGCTAGGAGCTCAAAGGCGCTGCGACTGACGTCAGTCGTGAGGGTGGAGCGGGGAGGAGAGGAGGGTGAGGCCCGGGCGATGTATGCATAGAAGACCTGTCGACGTGGGCGAGAGTTGGTGGGGTGGGGGGAACTTGAGTTGCCTCAGCAGTACGGGAGAAAAGAGGGTGCAGCACGGATAAATGGATTGATGCATGGAAGACAAGGGCGCCCCGCATGTACCACTGCCCCATTCGTCCCCTCATCCTCCCCTCATCATGTCATCCTCCCATCCTTCCCTCATCATGTGATTGAATAAGTGTTTTGAGACGTCTCAAAATACATCCTCCCATCCTCCCCTCATCATGTCATCCTCCCATCCTCCCCTCATCATGTCATCCTCTTATCCTCTCTCATTTCTCACCTGAAACCCAACTGTGTATGCCTCGATGAAGGTGGGAACGAGGGGAGGTAGCAGCTGAGTCGGTGCAACTATTGTTAGTAACCTGTACCACCATACACCGCAGTGCACTGCATTACCCGCAGTGCACTGCATTACCCGCAGTGCCCTGCATTACCCGCAGTGCACTGCATTACCCGCAGTGCCCTGCATTACCCGCAGTGCACTGCATTACCCGCAGTGCTCTGCATTACCCGCAGTGCTCTGCATTACCCGCAGTGCACTGCATTACCCGCAGTGCCCTGCATTACCCGCAGTGCACTGCATTACCGGCAGTGCACTGCATTACCCGCAGTGCACTGCATTACCCGCAGTGCACTGCATTACCCGCAGTGCACTGCATTACCCGCAGTGCTCTGCATTACCCGCAGTGCACTGCATTACCCGCAGTGCCCTGCATTACCCGCAGTGCACTGCATTACCCGCAGTGCCCTGCATTACCCGCAGTGCACTGCATTACCCGCAGTGCACTGCATTACCCGCAGTGCACTGCATTACCCGCAGTGCACTGCATTACCCGCAGTGCTCTGCATTACCCGCAGTGCACTGCATTACCCGCAGTGCTCTGCATTACCCGCAGTGCTCATGCTCACCTGATAACCAACAGTGTACGCCTTGAGGAAGGTGGGAACCAGGGGAGGTAGCAGCTGGGAGAGCGCCTGCTGCAGCTGCGCCTGTGTCTTGGCCACCCCGCCCTGCCAGCCGCCCCTGCTGGGAGCATCGTTCCATAAATCTGCTACATACACCTTCTGAGAGGAAGGGTCCTCCGTGAACGATACACTCAACGGGGTGTAGCCCTGCAGGAGAAAGGGGAAAGGGGAAAGGGGAGGAGGGAAGGAGAGGGAAGCGGACTTGGCCACCCTGCCCTGCCAGCCCCTCCTGCTGGGAGCGTCGTTCCACACATCCGGCACATACACCCTCTGGGTCGATGGGTCCTCTGTGAAAGATACACTCAACGGGGTGTAGCCCTGCACGTGGAGGGGGGGGAATCAGGAAGAGAGGAAAAAGAGGAAGATATTGGCGCATCGTTCCACACATCTGCCACAAACACTGTCTGGAAGGCAGGGTCCTCTCTCAACTACACACTCACAGGGCTGTAGCCCTGCAGGGGTTGAGGGGAGGGGAGGGGAGGGAAGAGCAGTTGAGATTGGAACACTGTTCCACATATCCGTCACATACACTCCTTTTCACCCCCACTTCCCACATCTACTTTCACTCCCCTCCCTTTTCTCCCCCAAATCCCTCCCTGCATCCCCCCTTCCCCCCCCCTCAATCCCCCTACCCATCTCCCCAACCTGCCACTGCAGCTGCAGCCATCTTGAAGAAGGATCACAGCTATTGGAGCCACGAGTAGTGAGGGAGGAGCTGCAATAGGAGGAGTTGTGAGGGATGCAAACCCGAGGCACGAGTGTATGTTTTTTGAGAATTCTCAAAAAACATACGCTGCAAACCCGAGGCGCATTTGCTGCCCCCTCACCCGCACATCCCCCTCTTCCCCCCCCATCGTACCCCCCATTCCCCCCCCCCATCCTACCTGTCGCTGTAACTGCAGCCATCGCGAGGAGGGACCGCAGCAATAGGAGGCGTCGTGAGGGACGCCGAACACGGCCTCCACCCGTGTGGAGCTGCCAGCTGGCCATGCCACGTCAGCAAGGAAGATGGCGGCGTAGTACAGCCCGTGGTGGTCTGCCACGTAGTAGCTCTCCACCTGTCACGGGCGGCATATTGGTGGGCGGCAGCAGAGAGGTGGGCGGCAGAAAGGTGGGCGGCAGAAAGGTGGGCGGCAGAAAGGTGGGCGGCAGAAAGATGGGCGACAGAAAGATGGGCGGCAGGGTGACTGCGGCTAAGCTCAATAAGTGCACCTGAGGAGACTCAAGAGTTGGCTCAAGTGTCACACAAGCATGCACCGAAGAGATGAGCACACCTGGGCACACCTGGGCACACCTGGGCACACCTGGGCACATATGAGCGGACCTGAGAGGGCTTATAGCCCGAGGAGATGTAGTGGTGCAGAGCGTCCTGCAACTGCTGGCCGTTGAGATTGAACACCATCACCCACCCCAGCTGTTGGGGAAGAAAGAGGAAGAGCAGGTGGGTGCAGGGGGGTGCAGGGAGGTGCAGGGGATTGCAGGGGACGGTTGAGCCATTTACAGAGCATCCTGAAACTGCTGACCGTTGAGGTTGAACACCATCACCCACCCCAGCTGTTGTTGGGGGATGTGCAGGGAAGTTCAGGGGAGTTCAGGGGAGTGCAGGGGAGTGCAGGGGGGAGTGAAGTCGTACTGCAGAGCATACTGGGCGCCATCCCAGCTGTTGGGATGGGGAAGAAGAGTGAAAAGAGGCTATCAACACGAGGAGAGAGGAGCAGAAGAATTTGAAAGGACATCAACACGACCGGAAGGGGGCTTACATGATCAAGAGAACAAGTGATGCAAGCATAGAAGCTTACGGGTTTGGAGTTGTGTTGCCAGAGGATGGAGAAGACTTTTGAGACGTCTCAAAAGTGTTGCCAGAGGATGGAGAAGAAGACGAGCGGGCGAGGCGATGCGATGGCGTACATGCTGACGAAAGGTGGGCACGTGGGAGCTGCATGTGTAACAGTGCATGTGTAACAGTGCATGTGTAACAGTGCATGAGCAAACAGCTGCACGTGCCACCGATTTGGAATTGGGATTACGTTTCAGTTTGACGAGCTCACCGACTTGGAGTTGGGCTGCCAGAGGATGGAGAAGAAGACGAGCGGGCGAGGGGACGCGACAGCGTATGCGCTGACGAAGGCCGGCACGTGGGAGCGCGTGCGCGAGGAGAGTAGAGCCGGCAGGTCTGAGGATTCGACTCGCGAGTCAAGGATGGGCCCCGCGCTGAACCACCCCCCTGGGTACTTGCGCTCGAAGTAGCTGGGCTGCTTGTGAGGGGGGGAAGCGTGTGGGAGAGTAAAGGGCGGAGAGTGAAAGGAGCGCGTGCGCGAGGAGAGTAGAGCCGGCAGGTCAGACGACTCGACTCGTGAGTCAAGGATGGGTCCGGCGGTCAACCACCCCCCTGGGTACTTGCGCTCGAAGTAGCTGGGCTGCTTGTGGGGGGGTGGGATAGTGAAAAGTGGAGAGTCAAAGCAACGCGTGAGGAGAGCGGCTGGTCGGAGGAATCGACTCGCGAGTCGAGGTTGGGGCCCGTGCTGAACCACCCGCCCGGGTACTTGCGCCCAAAGTAGCTGGGCTGTGAGGAGGGAGGTGAAGGGCGGAGAGTGAGGGGCGGAGAGCGAAGGGCGGAGAGTGAGGGGCGGAGAGCGAAGGGCGGAGAGTGAGGGGCGGAGAGCGAAGGGCGGAGAGTGAGGGGCGGAGAGCGAAGGGCGGAGAGTGAGGGGCGGAGAGTGAGGGGCGGAGAGTGAGGGGCGGAGAGTGAGGGGCGGAGAGCGAAGGGAAGATCCGACATGAGGCACACGCATAACGCGGCCCACAAATCACCTCAGCTCCGTTGATTTCTGACGGCACGCGTTCCGTGGGGGCACTCGTGCGGAACTTGCGGATTCTTAGGCGGCTCGGCGCGCTGTAGTTTCCGTGCGACGAAAATACCAGTGGCGTTACACGCGCCGTTACGGTACCACCGTCGGATAGGTTCCTTCGAGGAAGGTTCTCGTCGCGGAATGGAGCGTCAGCAGCGGCGAGGTGGAAATCCGCGCCGAATCCGCCGCGGAACGCGGGGGATGAGGACACGTGACGAGGAAGGGCCGCTGCAAGAAGCGCTAGTGATAAGAGCGCTGCGAGGATGTTGGCGGCTCGGGAATCCATCTTAGGTTCGAAACCGGAACGCGAAAAACGGAGTGCGGAGGAAAAGAAACCAAGTACGGCACAACAAAGAACTAAGGAGGACGGAATTCACGGGGCGAAGGGAAGGCGGCTGGGCTGGGAGGAGTGGAATGTTGGTTGGGGCAAAAAGTTGGGATGGAAGTAGTGAAGTGAATTCGGTACAATTGAAGAATCCTCGAGTCCCCGCCAATGAAGGTGGAATTCTGGCGAATTTACACCCCTCGCCAATAGCAAGCTCGATACAATAGTGATAACAAAAATGAAGCTCCTGAGCTTTCCTCCTGCTTTTGCTTGTACAACTTACATGACAATACATTCAGTATTCAGCCAAGAATGTACCACTTCTTGACAGCCCAGTATATCACTATGTACATGCAACTATTTACAGAGTGGATTGCATGCTACACCTTTTCATTGCTAATGCAATTTGCTTCTTACTGCTTTGCCCCCTCCGCTCAAGTTCCACCACAACCCAGCCGTGCTGTTGACAGCAAGAGCGGGAGAGAAAGAGAGAGAATACGGGCGAGCGAGAAGGTCAGAGGATAGGCGTTGGCAAAGGAGGCTGCGAATAAGGGGAGGAGAAGCGCCGTACATAGTACATTCAAATCTACTGTGAATGGATTGAAAGGAGCTTACGGATTTGGAGTTGGGTTGCCAGAGGATGGAGAAATACACGAGCGGGCGAGGGGACGCGATGGCATATGCGGTGATGAAGGCCGGCACGTGGGTGCGCTCGCGCGAGGAGACTAAAGCCGGCAGGTCGGACGCCTCGACGCGCGAGTCGAGGATGGGTCCATACCACGTGAACCAGCCCCCGGGGTAGGAGCGTTCGAAGTAATCTGTCTGTGGGGAAAGATACCAGGAACCACAGATAGATAGAGAGAGGAATACAAATCTGACAACGAAAAGAACGAGTTCGTGATTTCATGGAGGCGGCATGCGATGCGGCTCGGGTCCAACCCACCGGAGCGCCGACTCTCTCGCACGCAGCGAGATGCGAACGCGAATTCGACGCACTGGGCCTTCCCGTAAACGCAAACTCAAACGGCTCTAGCCGGCCGCGCACGGAAACGCGTATAACATCTTCACTGCTCGTACGGTTCTCGCCGCGACGCGAGATTCCGTGCTGGGTCAAGAGAGATTCTGCGCCCCATCCGCCGCGGAACGCGGGGGCAGATGATACACTTCGAGGAACAGTCGCGACGAGTAGCGTTAGCGGCATAAACACTAGAACGCAGGCAGAAATGAAATTCATATGACACGGGTATCTCGGGAGCACGGGCTTAATCGACGGCATAATCGACGGCTCACGCCAGAAGCTCAGGCTAGGAACTCTCAGAATATGGCGCAGAAACCGGGGATGAGAAATGGGCGCGAATTTGGGTGAATGTGGATTTGTAGAAAATGAAGAAACGCGATAATAGCAGTCACAGTAAAACAGGCATTATCGAGCTACATTGTACATAAGCTGGATGGCCAACTTCTAACAACAAAAGGTATTGGTGACTTTGAAGGGGCGACACCGCAGTGGTTGGCGACTGTTGACGGCGATTGTTGGCATGTTGGATAAGCAGTGGATGTTTGTTGTTGACTCGTTGGCGAAATTCGTGCACGCCAGCACCTCCAAAAGAGGCTTGTCAGGAAGTCTTTCTCGCTAATCGCAGACATCGCACGTCGCGAGTCTCGACAGAGAAATCACTCTGACCCCCAACCACGTCAGCAGCACATCACAAACATTACGCCAACATGCCAGGGCACCGAACTACCCGCTTTCACATCTGTAGCCAATCACAGCCCAATATGTTCCTGCCGAAGCAGGGTACTCGGCTCGTACGTGAGATGTGGAGGAGCTTGCTTTACGTCCGCCGTGCTTGGCGGGCGATGTGGAGAGTCAACCAAGCCAGAAGCTCCGCACCGCCTCCGTGCCATCAATGACAGGTGCAATTTCGGAATGCCCAATGTTATCCGAGGCGCCCCACTCGTGTGAATTTTGCCGAATTCCTCTGCTGCACCACCCCCCTTCTTTCAAGCCCCCTCCCCTCTTCCATCTTGCGCGTTAGCTGGCTGGGGTTACGCAGCCCAGAATCTTGATCAGAGTATCGAGTCAAACTGATCGAGCAGACCTATAACCGTTTCGGTTGTCAGGGTACCAAGGCAGTTTGATAAAGCAGTCGACTAGAACAGCAGTCTCGCATACGAGAATTTACGAGTCACGCGCAAAGATCACGCAGGCTAGCGCCAAAAAATAGAATTTATACCAGATTCAGTCGGTGTCAGATACGTCAGCCATTGTATCGCTTGTGTAAGAGCCAAGAGGTTCTCAGCGGACGCAAGTCTCTGCCTTCAATTAACGACATATTAACGACATAACACAGGGCACTGAACGTTACAAGCTCAATATTGAAATTCCCGACTATGGACTAACTCGTCGCGCACCAACGACTCGTCCGAAGTTCCCAAATGCGCGCAGCACTAGCTCCTCACCGTAACAGCTTCTCTCTGTCACTTGCGCTCATCACCAGCATATCCCTCAAAAGTATTGAGAGCACCATAAGAGGTTCCATTCTCGATAAGAAGTCTCTTCGGTAAAGGAAGCTTCTCGTAACCCATTTGGGAGTTCTAAAAACTTCCGTCATGGCCGTTCACGTCGCGAATCTCTGCTTCTTACCGCCCTTTCTCGCCCTGCCGTCACTCCTTCAACACCGTTCCGCCACCCTCGCCCATCTTCGCGACGGCGACGACGGCGACGAAACGTGTCGTACGAGCGACGGAAGCCGCTGCGACGAGTCTGGCGCGCATGTATGGATTACAAACCCCCTGACAAATCCCCTGAAAAATCCCCTGATGATGCCGATGCTGGAGCGAGAACCGTCCATGACTCACACGATCGAATGCTTGCGCGTCAATGGGACGGCTGAGAAGAAGGGCCGGAGGGTGTGGTGGGGAGACGAAGCGGGATTGTCGCTTACAGCTATTCGAGAATATGAGCCCAGGTGCGTGGTTTAACTCGGTTACTATTTAGTTGTGGTACCTATGGTAACTCCTTTTGAGTCTGGCTCTAATAGATCCATTCGAGTATGGTAACTCCTTTTGGTGGTGGGAGATGGAGAACGACTTTTGAAAGCTCTAATAAATCCTTCTCACCTCTCCCCGCCACCTCTTCCCACCACATCCCCCTCCTGCGACCTTGTATGCGTGCAGCGAGACGAAGGACGACTTTTGAGAGTTCTAACAAACGCTTCTCACCCCCCCACCACCTCCACCCTTCCGGCCATGTTTGCGTGCAGCGAGACGAAGCACCCGGATGACCTGGCGTGGTGGGAGATGGAGGACGACGATGATGACGTGTGCAGCTGCGCCATGCAGTGACGGCGGAGCTGCGCCGAGGGCGGAGCTGCGCTGAAGGCGGATCTGCGCAGAGGGCGGAGCTGCGCAGAGGGCGGAGCTGCGCAGAGGGCGGAGCTGCGCAGAGGGTGGAGCTGCGCAGAGAGTGGAGCTGCGCCATCTAGTGAAGGCGGAGCCGTGCGCTATGCCCTCCGGGCTGTCGTTCAGAGAGGATAAACAGTTTTAAAACATTAGACTGCACTTCATATACTGATAAAACTGTGCTTTAAGCACTCAATACGGTTCACACATTCACACTCCCACGCCCTTTGTTTACTCTCGGCGGATCAAGTATAATGGTAAACTGAGCCCGCCGGAGCAATTTTTGATATATGTGTTGTGGTTATCTCTGACGAGTGGTATGCAGTAGGGTCAATTCTCATCCAGGAACCTATGTGATCGAGGCTTTGCTTATAAAGTGGCCGGTGGTGTATAGCTCTCAAACTGTTATAGGGTCTGAGTTGAAGTGTACATCCTGCTATGAACGGTTTGCTTGGATTGGAACACTCTGTGTCAGGTACTTTCACCCCATGTCTAAACAACCCAAGCACCATCGCTTATATCACACACCACCACCATGCCATCCTTCTGGCACGCAGCCGCCAGCTCAGGCTGACTCCGCGAATACTCTTCCGCCACGTGGCGTGCCACGTCAGCAACCTTCTCTCGCTCCACCAGCGCCACACAGCACCCCCTGAAGCCCGCTCCGCTGAACCTGGCCCCGAGCACACCTGGTGTGGCCAGAAGGATTGACCGGAGCTCTTTGAGGGGTGGGCTGCCTGTGGTGGTGGGAGAAGGGGAGAGAGAGAGGGAAAAGGATGAGAGGGACGGAGGGATGGGAGTCTTGAGCATGAGTGATGGATGCGAGAGTTAACCGTGGCCCCGAGCACACCCGGTGTGGCCAGCAGGATTGAGCGGAGCTCTATGAGAGGGGGACTGCCTGTGGTTTGAAAAGATGAAAGGGGAGGTCAGTGGAGCGAGAGAGGGATGCGAGTGGTGAGCACGAGGGATAAATGCAATTGTTGAACTTGGCCCAGAGCACACCCCAGTGTGGCCAGCAGAGGCTTTTGAGTCGACTCAAAAGCTATGAGGGTCGGAGGCTTTTGAGTCGACTCAAAAGCTATGAGGGTCGGAGGCTTTTGAGTCGACTCAAAAGCTATGAGGGGTGGGTTGCCTGCGGTTGGAAACGATGAGAGGGAAGGTCAGTGGAGGGAGGGAGGGAGAGGTGGGAGTGGGGGGGAAGTGGGAGACAGGGGAGAGAGTTGAGCAGAAGCGAGCGGAGGATGAGTGGAGGATGAGTCCACTCGCGTGCTCTCTGAGAAGAAGCGATTTTACCCACCAGAACCCCCACCCACACAGACCACACTCAAACAGATCGATGCAGCTCTGCCCTGACTCCAACATGAGGCGCCACAACAGCACGGTAGCACATTTCCCTCCCCACCCCACTCGTACTGGTCCACACACTGACCGCACTTGTACTGGTCGATGGAGCTCCGCCCCGAATCCGACACGAGGCACCCAAACAGCTGCCAGTTGCCCTGCTGCCCCACTTCACAACCCTGCAGGCTGCTGCACCCCACCCACCAGAACCCCCCTCCAATCCCAACCCGCACTGACCGCACTTGCAGAGGTCAATGGAGCTCTGCCCCGGCTCCCTTCCTATCAGGAACCAGTAGGCCTGCTGCAGAACCTCAGCGCCCAGCAGCACACCTCCTCCTCCCCCCCCAGCCACACTAACCGCACTCGTACTGGTCGATGGAGCTCTGCCCTGACTCCGACATGAGGCGCCCGAACAGCCGCCAGTCGCCTTGCTGCAGCGCCTCAGCGCCCTGCAGCACTCGCGCGCTCTCTGAAAAGAAGTGCGTTGCGCGGCGGCGCAGCTCCTCAGGCAGTTGGTCCTGCCATTGGCGGAAGAGAAGAGCAAACCATGAGATGCTATTGCTGCAGCACCTCAGCGCCCTGCAGCACTCGTGTGCTTTCTGAGAAGAAGTGCGTTGCGCGGCAAGAAGAAATGGAAGGAAGAGATGTTATCTCAACCCTCCTCCAGACATGAACTGCTAACTGCAAAAAAGAAGGAAGAGTACGTTGTGGGACTATGAATGGCCAATCGCGACTGCGGAATGGTTCAAAAGCGACTGCTATTCAGGAAGAAAGGATTTCTATTATTACCTCGTGGGTCTTGAAGACATGAAGCGGCACTGCAAAAAAAGAACAAGAAGCCACATGTCATGTCAGACACACACATATACGAAGCAGCAAGCAGAAAAAAAGACGATACTGCAATCACGTCGGCTAGGAGGCTCAATGGAGCTAACTCATCCCTCGTGACTCAGACCCTGCAGTATCACACAAGCTTGTTACGGGGCCTAAAAAATCCGCCGTCCCTCAAGCCTGGGACCTTGCGACAAATTAGGAGCTTGTAGGCGCCTAAGAACAGCTTTCCAACTGACTATGAAGTTGCAGTATAACAAGGTTTCCTCATCACACTGAAGCGCCACAAAACCACGCCCTTCCTCGTGCCTCTGACCTTCCTTGTGCCCCTGACCTTACTCACGCCTCTGACCTTCCTTGTGCCCCTGACCTTACTCACGCCTCTGACCTTCCTTGTGCCCCTGACCTTACTCACGCCTCTGACCTTCCTTGTGCCCCTGACCTTACTCACGCCTCTGACCTTCCTTGTGCCCCTGACCTTACTCACGCCTCTGACCTTCCTTGTGCCCCTGACCTTACTCACGCCTCTGACCTTCCTTGTGCCCCTTACTCACGCCTCTGACCTTCCTTGTGCCCCTTACTCACGCCTCTGACCTTCCTTGTGCCCCTGACCTTACTCACGCCTCTGACCTTCCTTGTGCCCCTGACCTTACTCACGCCTCTGACCTTCCTTGTGCCCCTGACCTTACTCACGCCTCTGACCTTCCTTGTACCCCTGACCTTACTCACGCCTCTGACCTTCCTTGTGCCCCTGACCTTACTCACGCCTCTGACCTTCCTTGTGCCCCTGACCTTACTCACGCCTCTGACCTTCCTTGTGCCCCTGACCTTACTCACGCCTCTGACCTTCCTTGTGCCCCTGACCTTACTCACGCCTCTGACCTTCCTTGTGCCCCTGACCTTACTCACGCCTCTGACCTTCCTTGTGCCCCTGACCTTACTCACGCCTCTGACCTTCCATGTGCCCCTGACCTTACTCACGCCTCTGACCTTCCTTGTGCCCCTGACCTTACTCACGCCTCTGACCTTCCTTGTGCCCCTGACCTTACTCACGCCTCTGACCTTCCTTGTGCCCCTGACCTTACTCACGCCTCTGACCTTCCTTGTGCCCCTGACCTTACTCACGCCTCTGACCTTCCTTGTGCCCCTGACCTTACTCACGCCTCTGACCTTCCTTGTGCCCCTGACCTTACTCACGCCTCTGACCTTCCTTGTGCCCCTGACCTTACTCACGCCTCTGACCTTCCATGTGCCCCTGACCTTACTCACGCCTCTGACCTTCCTTGTGCCCCTGACCTTACTCACGCCTCTGACCTTCCTTGTGCCCCTGACCTTACTCACGCCTCTGACCTTCCTTGTGCCCCTGACCTTACTCACGCCTCTGACCTTCCTTGTGCCCCTGACCTTACTCACGCCTCTGACCTTCCTTGTGCCCCTGACCTTACTCACGCCTCTGACCTTCCTTGTGCCCCTGACCTTACTCACGCCTCTGACCTTCCTTGTGCCCCTGACCTTACTCACGCCTCTGACCTTCCTTGTGCCCCTGACCTTACTCACGCCTCTGACCTTCCATGTGCCCCTGACCTTACTCACGCCTCTGACCTTCCTTGTGCCCCTGACCTTACTCACGCCTCTGACCTTCCTTGTGCCCCTGACCTTACTCACGCCTCTGACCTTCCTTGTGCCCCTGACCTTACTCACGCCTCTGACCTTCCTTGTGCCCCTGACCTTACTCACGCCTCTGACCTTCCTTGTGCCCCTGACCTTACTCACGCCTCTGACCTTCCTTGTGCCCCTGACCTTACTCACGCCTCTGACCTTCCTTGTGCCCCTGACCTTACTCACGCCTCTGACCTTCCTTGTGCCCCTGACCTTACTCACGCCTCTGACCTTCCTTGTGCCCCTGACCTTACTCACGCCTCTGACCTTCCTTGTGCCCCTGACCTTACTCACGCCTCTGACCTTCCTTGTGCCCCTGACCTTACTCACGCCTCTGACCTTCCTTGTGCCCCTGACCTTACTCACGCCTCTGACCTTCCATGTGCCCCTGACCTTACTCACGCCTCTGACCTTCCTTGTGCCCCTGACCTTACTCACGCCTCTGACCTTCCTTGTGCCCCTGACCTTACTCACGCCTCTGACCTTCCTTGTGCCCCTGACCTTACTCACGCCTCTGACCTTCCTTGTGCCCCTGACCTTACTCACGCCTCTGACCTTCCTTGTGCCCCTGACCTTACTCACGCCTCTGACCTTCCTTGTGCCCCTGACCTTACTCACGCCTCTGACCTTCCTTGTGCCCCTGACCTTACTCACGCCTCTGACCTTCCTTGTGCCCCTGACCTTACTCACGCCTCTGACCTTCCTTGTGCCCCTGACCTTACTCACGCCTCTGACCTTCTTGTGCCCCTGACCTTACTCACGCCTCTGACCTTCCTTGTGCCCCTGACCTTACTCACGCCTCTGACCTTCCTTGTGCCCCTGACCTTACTCACGCCTCTGACCTTCCTTGTGCCCCTGACCTTACACACGCCTCTGACCTTCCTTGTGCCCCTGACCTTACTCACGCCTCTGACCTTCCTTGTGCCCCTGACCTTACTCACGCCTCTGACCTTCCTTGTGCCCCTGACCTTACTCACGCCTCTGACCTTCCTTGTGCCCCTGACCTTACTCACGCCTCTGACCTTCCTTGTGCCCCTGACCTTACTCACGCCTCTGACCTTCCTTGTGCCCCTGACCTTACTCACGCCTCTGACCTTCCTTGTGCCCCTGACCTTACTCACGCCTCTGACCTTCCTTGTGCCCCTGACCTTACTCACGCCTCTGACCTTCCTTGTGCCCCTGACCTTACTCACGCCTCTGACCTTCCTTGTGCCCCTGACCTTACTCACGCCTCTGACCTTCCTTGTGCCCCTGACCTTACTCACGCCTCTGACCTTCCTTGTGCCCCTGACCTTACTCACGCCTCTGACCTTCCTTGTGCCCCTGACCTTACTCACGCCTCTGACCTTCCTTGTGCCCCTGACCTTACTCACGCCTCTGACCTTCCTTGTGCCCCTGACCTTACTCACGCCTCTGACCTTCCTTGTGCCCCTGACCTTACTCACGCCTCTGACCTTCCTTGTGCCCCTTACTCACGCCTCTGACCTTCCTTGTGCCCCTTACTCACGCCTCTGACCTTCCTTGTGCCCCTTACTCACGCCTCTGACCTTCCTTGTGCCCCTTACTCACGCCTCTGACCTTGTGATAAAACAGGAGAAGAGGGCACTTCCAGTCCTGCTGTAGCGAGAAGCATCCTGGCAGCTTCCTGGCACTCCTGCACCCTGTTGTTGTAGCCTGAAGAGGAAGTGAGAGTCGCCTGCATGCCTGAGAAGGCCAGCATGAAGGCTACAGGAGGGATTGGATCTGGGAAGCACAGGGAGGCAGAGAAGGGGAGAGATGGGACGAAATTGGATGGGTTGAAAACGACAACTTTAAGATCACGCACCCGGTTGGAGGTTGCATCGTGGCAGAGAGAGTGAGTGAGTGAGGTTGTGCCATGTGAGCAGCACTCAAAACATCGTTTGTTGCATCAAAAGTGATACAGCCTGAGCACGGCACGAGCTATCGATTCAAACGCTGGACTCCAACATGCCCGGTTCTAGTAAGTCCTCATGCTCAGGCCTCATGGCCAGTTTTGAGTCAACTCAACAAAGTCCTCATGCTCAGGCCTCATGGCCAGTTTTGAGTCAACTCAACAAAGTCCTCATGCTCAGGCCTCATGGCCAGTTTTGAGTCAACTCAACAAAGTCCTCATGCTCAGGCCTCATGGTCAGTTTTGAGTCAACTCAACAAAGTCCTCATGCTCAGGCCTCATGGCCAGTTTTGAGTCAACTCAAGTCCTCATGCTCAGGCCTCATGGCCAGTTTTGAGTCGACTCAAAAAAGTCCTCATGCTCAGGTCTCATGGCCAGTTTTGAGTCGACTCAACAAAGTCCTCATGCTCAGGCCTCATGGCCAGTTTTGAGTCGACTCAAAAAAGTCCTCATGCTCAGGCCTCATGGCCAGTTTTGAGTCGACTCAAAAAAGTCCTCATGCTCAGGCCTCATGGCCAGTTTTGAGTCGACTCAATAAAGTCCTCATGCTCAGGCCTTATGGCCAGTTTTGAGTCGACTCAAAAAAGTCCTCATGCTCAGGCCTCATGGCCATCCGGCAGGGAGTGGAATGAGGCCTGAGCATGTGGATATTAACTCATATGCACCTTGTTCATCGGACCCAGATGCTGAACCTGCAGGGAGTGGAATGAAGTCGTGTCGACGATCCTGAGGAAGAGAGGGATTGGAAGTTAGGAGAATCAAGGAGAGATGATAAGGCAACCATGCAAGTGGAGATGAGGCACAAAATGAAAGGAGGGGCGATTAGGGTGTTGGATAGGGGGCGGAGAGGGAAAAATAGTGGATGACGAAGCAGGGTAAAGAACCGTGGAATGCGGTTATGCGAGGTGAGGTGATTCAGCAGACCTGGCACCAGATGCGTGTGAGGTGGCCAGCTTTTGACAGAACGATTGCTGATTGGTCCAGCACTCCGTTTCGTAAACCAAGAAATCCGTTCTCTATCAGCCTGAGCGCAGTGCACGCGAGGAGGAGAAGGTAGCAAAGGAAACATCGAAAGGAAGAAATGCAGAGGAGAAGATAGGAAAGGGATAAGTGGGCGAGAGAGATGGGGAGGGAAGAAGGAGCAACACTTCGCTGGGCAAAGGCAGTCCAGCGAAGTGAAGCCTCAAAACTTGATAGTTTAACGAAGTGGAGCAAGGGAAAGAGAGGGCGTGATGGAGAACGTGCGGGTGCAAGGATTGAGACGCAATGCGATAGCATGGAACAAGGTACAGTGCGGTGCAATGAGGTGTACCTGTCCAGCTCAATGAGCTCCGATGGAGAGAGTGAGAGGTTGTTGGCATCGGCGAGGGCCAATAGGAATGCGACACCTGTCTGCCTGTGCAGATGCCACAGAGAAACAGATCGGTGCGGTGACCCAAAGAATCTTAAACCCATGATTGCACTGACCCTGCTGTGAACGTGGGCACACATGTGAATGCTGTGGACTGTGGATATGTACACATGCAGTGGCATGGGCACAGGTGCATGTATGAGTAGGGGCACACAGCATAGGCATAGCGGGTATAGGTATAGCAAAGCGCCAAAGAACAAAATCATGCGCATTGAGGCACCTCAAGAGAAGTGGCACGTGGCCTAGACGGGCGCTTGGGTTGGGTGGGTATATCTCACAGCTGCAGAGGAGCTGACGCCCGCACTGTCCATGCCTGGCTGGCCGCACATCACTCCCACCAATCCCTGATGTATGCAGGGGGGAAAGAGGACACAGCACTGTCAATGATCGATAAACTTGTGAATCAACTCTGACGTCAGACAATGTCAAAGCCATTTATCCACCCACCTGCTCCAATCTGTGCCCTGCTTCTAGCAGCGCCCACACTGCTCCACGGCCAAAGTTTCCCCAGCACTGCTCCTCCTCCTCCTCCCCTGCTCCGCCTCCCCCTTCCTTCCCTTGCTTCTCTTCCGCGCCTCCATGACGATCGTTTGGCTGCTTCTGTCTCTTCACCGGCCTTGCTTGTGTGCTGCACGCACACATGCCATGCCATGCCATGCCATGCACATTGGGACAATCAACGGCAACATACATGTGTCCCAAGCAGGACCACGGGCCTTTCCCTATCCCGTGCATGCATGTAGGCACGCTTTAAATACTAAGCACAACTTGTTCTGTGCATCCACAATCGTCACCTGAAATGCGCGAAGAAACGAGTTGAGCATACCTGAAGGAGAATTGCACGGTGCCTTTGAATTGCAGCGATGCAACATTTTTGAGGCGCCTCAAAAATCGCCTGAGCATACCTGAAGGAGAATTGCACGGTGCCTTTGAATTGCAGCGATGCAACAACCACCTGCCAGCCCACCCCGCATGGATAGTTGAACATGAGGCAAACCTCTGATCAAAATGCAAATGCAGGTTGACTAATAAATCCGTAGAAGAAGGAGAATGGGTGTGAATCACAAGGTGAGAGGATGACGACGAGCAAACTAAGGGAAGAAGAAAAGGGGGAGAGGGGGATGTAGGCGGAAGGAGGCTCACCTGGGGAGTGGGAGTGGGGAGGAAAAGGAAGCGAACCCCCGTGTTGATGGCTGCTGCAAGCACTGATCCTCCCTGTTGTTGAGAGTGGGAGAGAGAAGACGAGAAGAGTGGAGAGGAGAGAGGAGAGAGGAAAGGAGAGAGGAGGAGAGGAGAAAAAATAGCAGGAGGATGTTAGGAGACGGACTGACATCCCAAGTGAGGAGACAAAAGAGACTGAACATCATCTAGTTTCGAGACTGGAATCATTGTCACGAAACATCATCATCACTTGGTGAGCACTCTTGGAAACTGTGGTGGAATTGTGCTCAAGGGACGCTACACGTTCTTCGCTCTCGAATCTCGATTGCTTCCTTCCATGCGGGAGGATGCGCATTCGAACGTCTATAAGAGAGCGAGTAACACATTCTAGATAGCAGAACGCGCGTCCATGCGTTCTGAATAAAACGAAACGCGATTTCGTTACCTGGTGGTCGATGTGAGCTCCTAACGGGCAGATTCTGTAGGGAGCGAACGCGGTTTTCGCTTTAGTCACATCGCACGGGAGGCCCCTGCTGCCGGTACTACCGAGGCCTGGAGTGGGATGGACGAGCGGCAGCAGCTTCAACAGCTCAGTACGAAGCTCCATGAAAATGTATTGCTACGGAACACTGAATGGCCGTGAAGAGCAAAGCATAGAGCGGCGACTCGGAATGTGGATGGTGCCGATTCGCGTTGGTAATGGGAGAATTGAAGGAACTGAGCGGATGCAGTGCAATGAAATTGTGGTGACGTGACGTGTTGCTGCTGTGTTTTGGCAGACAAGCATAGAAACAACTGGATTTTATCGATATGCAGCGCGGTTGGGCGCGGTTGAAACAGAGAAAAATCTCACCCTTGCGCACGTCTCATTATGATACACACTGGAGTGGGATGGACGAGCGGCAGCAGCTTCAACAGCTCAGTACGAAGCTCCATGAAAATGTATTGCTACGGAACACTGAATGGCCGTGAAGAGCAAAGCATAGAGCGGCGACTCGGAATGTGGATGGTGCCGATTCGCGTTGGTAATGGGAGAATTGAAGGAACTGAGCGGATGCAGTGCAATGAAATTGTGGTGACGTGACGTGTTGCTGCTGTGTTTTGGCAGACAAGCATAGAAACAACTGGATTTTATCGATATGCAGCGCGGTTGGGCGCGGTTGAAACAGAGAAAAATCTCACCCTTGCGCACGTCTCATTATGATACACAAAACTACTGATTTGAGCATGCCTTAGGACAGAAGCCAGCACATGCATGCACAACAAATTACATGAATGTTGTAGAATACAACACAAGCAAAATTGACTTGTACCTACCACATCTGTTTGAGAACAGTAATAAATAACAGTTCCTAGCCGCTTTTGCAATCTACAACAGATTTACCGCCTCCACAACCTACAGCAATCCTACCACTACCATACGTGCTTCTTGATGAACCGTTATGAACCACTTGGGTACCTGCTACCAGTCCCCCAGATACTACCAATATCCTTCTTTGCCTCAGCTCCACCAAGGGTGGTTGATGCACAACCCAAAGACATCTATCTTGCACTGTCCAGCCTTCCCTGATGCCAAAGAGCCCTTCTTGAAGTTGCAACCACTGCTGCTGCTTCCCATAACGCTTTCGACCAACCTCCCTTGCTCCACAATCCCACCGCATCACATCGCACAACCCCAGCCTTTTAACATTGCTCAACCACATCGACTGCAACTACGATACATCATCACCATCAATTCTCACAACTCCCAATGCCACCTTGCAGACTAACATAGCACACCAAATCCACCCTCACCAGCCATACTTCTTTACCCTACCCAACCTCACCATACCCACCACTTCACCAGCCCCACCCTTCGACCAGCCTTACTGCTTCACCCTACTACCTACCGCACCACCCTCAGTATCCCAACAATCTCCTCCTCCACGTTCACTACACCGTCAGCCCCTGCTGATTCACCCTGCCACGTACCTCAATACCCATTCCATTTCACCCGCAATGTAGCCTGACCCTGCTACCTCACCACCCCTTAACGATTTTCTCCCTCTGCTCCTCCATCCGCTGACTCATACTCTCCTTATCTTCCCTGGCCCCCTTCGCCAGCTCAAACCTGGAGGGAGCCAATGCGCTGGGTGTCTTTTTTCAGTCTACAAAAAACTCGACCCTACCACCCCTTAACGATTTTCTCCCTCGTTGCCCGCCTCTCCTCCATCCGCTGACTCATAGTCTCCTCATCGTCCCTTGCACCTTTTGCCGGGCCAATACCCGACAACCGATGCGCTGGGTGCTTCTCAGGGGGCCCAGCCGACGGGTCCAGAAGAGACAAGATATGCGAAGCCCAATACAGGGACTCCGGCGGGCCTTCGTTCTGGACTCTTTTCACTGCAACGAGTCCGCCACTAGCGAGGATGTAAGTCGCGGATACCTTGTTAGAGGACAGGACGTAGAGGGCCCACGCGGCATTCTTTGAAGCCTCGGGATGGTTGTTCTGACAGAGCAGGTCTAGAAGAAGGGGACACGCGCCTGCCCCCGCTACAGTAAGCTTGTTCTCGTCGTGATTCACAGCGAGTGTGCCTAAAGCGAGCGCCGCTTTCTCCTGCTCGGGAGGCGAGCCTTCTTTCAGCATAGTCACGAGAGCTGGGACACCCCCTGCTTCAGCTACAGCCGTCTGATTCTTAACATTGTTGGCCGTAAGCTGCGCTAGTGCCTCTGCTGCTTCCTGCTTCGCCTCACTCTGAGAATCCGATTGGATAATCGCGACTAACGACGGGACAGCCTCCGACGCGGCGATTATAACCTTATTCTCCGTGTTCACCGCTAAGTTCCACAGCACCCGCGCCGCGACCGCTCGCGCCTCGGGGCCCCCGGTGCGCAGGAGCGACACAAACGACGGCACGCACCCCGCTTTAGCGATCACCACTCGGTTCTCGTCTAAGCACGCAAGACGCAGCAGCACGCGCGCGGCGGCTAGTTTCGTAGGCTCCCCGGGACTGTCGGGGAGAGTGAGGAGGACCGAGAGCACTGGAACCGCGCCCGCCGCGGCGACGCTAAGCTTCCCCTCATCCGATTCCGCCAGTTCTAGCAGCGCCGCCAGCGCCGCGCGCTTCTCCGCGGGGGACCCGTCTATGAGCGCTGAGACGAGCACTCGCGCGTGGTCGGATTCCGAGCAAATGCTACTCACACTGGGGGGAGGCCGGGGGTACTCTGATGCATGCCTGACGCGCGATGGCGTGTAATCAGAAACCGTCATCTCTCCGTTAGCGTCTTCGTACATCTCCTCCGAGCCACCCGCTTGCCTGGCGGCATTCGCGCGTCGCACGTTCGGAATGTCCATCGAGAACTCCCCGGGAGTGCCGCGCGCCGCTGCCACGTCAGCAGCGTCCGTGGAGGAGAAAGATCGGGGCATCGGCATCGCCTCGCCCGCCGTGCCGGGCCGATTTAATTCCGGCATCAGGCGCCGCTGCTGCTTCTGCGAATGGCGATCCCCGTGACCACCGCCATAAACCCCGTGACCCCCGTGCGCGCCGCGGGACACCTGCTCTGGCAAGCCGTCGCTTCCGGACCGCGGAAGCGCGCGGGGCCGGGGACTATGGGCACCCGGTTGCCTGCCTCCGTTCCAAGCGCGTGGGGAGCGGTCTACCATGGGGCTGGAAGGGAGAATCACCTCAGTTGAAAAACCCCGCTGCAAACCTCCACCCGCGGAACCATAATCCGATCCTAGTCGCTCTGGAGCGTCTCCGCTGATGCCTCCGCCGGTACCTCCTCCGATACCTCCGCGGCCGGTGTTGGCGCCGCCTGTTGCGGGAGGGACGTCGGTAGCGCTGCGCGGCGCGTAGGTGCTTCGACCGTGGAAATTGTCCTGACCAATCAGAATGAGGCATTCCGTGTGGCACTGCCGGATCTCCGCTAAACAAGTCTCCAGCCGCTCCGCGATTTCCGATCGGCGCTTAAAGCGGAACATAATGCCGAGCACGGACGCCTTGGTGCTGGTCTCCAAAAGATGTTTCGCCTCCTGTAACTCTGTAACCAGACGCTCGAAGACGAAGGTGGCTCTGGGGTCGTGGATGAGGCTCATGGACGAAGCCTGCAGCCGGCGAAGCACGGGAAGAAGCTGCTGCGTACGCGTTGCAATCCGATCCGTTAGTAGCCGGTGGGAGCGGGACTGCGACGCCGTAGCGGCTATTTGCAGAATGCGTTCCGCGAGGGATATTGCCGTCGCCAGCTCGGCTAACACGCGACGATCAGCAGTGTCGGAACCTGTTTCGGCCTCCGCGACATTTTCAGCAGGGTGACGATTGCCCGAAGCACGGCCGTGACGGGAACTATCGTGATGGTTTCGTTGGTTGCGATGACGATTATCATTATCGCGATCTGAGACGGGTTGGATCTCGGCCTCCATTCTGTGCCGTTCTCCAAGCGGCACAACGCAAATAGCTTAGCTTGAAGCCACACTAAAGCTTCTGCCTTGGGAATAAAGCTTATTATAATCAAATGGGGGTACAAGCCTGAAAGTGGGTGAGGAGAATGGAAGTCCTGATTTGAAAGTGAAACCTACAGCCTCGGAGAAATTCTTCTAGAGACATGGTGCAAGACTAGACCATAACGAATTGAAGAAGGGGATGAGAGGGGGATGCGAACAGAACAACAATGGTTGTGGAGTGGACCAGAAACACTGATCAAAGGGATGATGATGGTAGGTCCAACAATACTGTAGCACATCCAACAATTTCTAGCGAATCGGAACGAAATTGCAAGCGATGTGATTCTTTCTTCGCGAGCCAATACAGCAAAGCACCCACATAACCAGGCCAAGGGGCAAGTGGACACGCATGTGGGCTGGGAGGGTGGCTTGTGACGAAGGAGGGAGGGAAGGGTCTGTTTCAGCCCGAAGCCTTGGGAGCTGTGGGACTAAAACGAGGTGTGGAGCTTGGGGTCTTGAGAGTGTCACCGCCGGCTGTAGGAGAGGGAAAAGGCACTTCAAGCAGACTTGCGGGTGTGTGATACAAAAGGAGGGCGGTGCCCGTGCAGTGGCGGCTGGCGATAATGGTGTGGGTGATATCGGGAAAATACCCTGTGAACAGTAAGTGACCTCAGTGGGTTGAAAAAAATTACAATCGATAGATTCAAAAACACTCTTATTGAAGCGTGAGGACTCAGAAAACCCATCACCTCAGGTCTCAACACAAACCTAGAACAAACCTTTTGCTTGGCACCGCCGTCATATCCTGAATACATCATAGTGAGATATGATTATCACATTCATTCAATAAATACCACCAAACATTCTCAGTGTGCGGAAGAAGCAAAGAAACCCCTTGTACCACTGCAGCCCTCCGGCTTCTGCTTCTGCTGCCTCCCTCATCAATCTGACCAACTCCAAGACAAGCCGTTGATCCTCCGCATTACTGCAAGGAACGGCGACAAAGTGTCGGAAAACCAATGAATACGGCAGGAAACATAAACAGAAACAGTGGGAGCTGCAATACCGATTTGGCTTACCAGTACGGCGATGTCAACCATGCAATGATGTCCTGCACCGCATCAGACCGCAGTAGAAGCCTGAGCGAGTCCTCCCTCCTGTGTGCCTCCACGCGCACCAGGATCGCCAGGTGGCGCTGAAACGTGAGAGTCAGCTCCGCCACACTCAACCGCGCCTCTAGATACTCGGTCTCACCTCCCCCTCCTCTCCCATTCCCTGCTGCTCCTCCTGCTCCTCCTGCTCCTCCTGCTCCTCCTGCTCCTCCTGCTCCCCTTTCTCCTCCTGCTCCTGCTCCTCTTCCAACTCCTCCTGCCCCTTGTGTTTCTGCTGCAGCAGTTTCTGATGCTGCTGTTCTTTCTGTGCTTGCAGCAGCAGCTGCTGCTTCTCCTGGCGTCGACGGTGGAGTGCTGTGCGGTGGTGTGCTCTGTGGTGCTGTGCTGTGCGGTGGCGTGCTCTGTGGTGCTGTGCTGTGCGGTGGCGTGCTCTGTGGTGCTGTGCTGTGCGGTGGTGTGCTCCGCGGTGCTGCATCACTCAGCGCACCACTGCTGGCATCATTGGGTGCTGTGTTGCTGGGAGTACACGGGCTGGAATCTGGAGACATGGATGGGGCTGGTACGGCAGTGGATGCTGGCTGAGGGCTAGACGGGGAGGGCTGCTGTGGTGATGACTCAGCTGCATGCGGTAATGAGTCAGCTGCATGCGGAGATGAGTCAGCAGCAGGAGAAGTGGTGGTGGCTGTCACTGCCCCACCCTCCCCTTCCCTCTCGGCAGCTGCACTGGCAGCACCAGCACCAGCAGCAGCGGCAGCAGCAGAACCAGAATCACTAGTAGTAGCAGCAGCAGCACCAGAAGCAGCAGCAGCGGCAGCAGCAGCAGAATCGCCAGCACAACTACTGCCAGGATCACCAGCAGAAGCAGCAGAGGAGTCACCAGCACCACTACCACCACCACCAATGGCAGCAGCAGCACCCCCAACATCACCGGCAGCAGCAGCACCCCCAACATCACTAGCAGCAGCAGCAGCAGCAGCAGCAGGGGCACCAGAATCACCACCCCGTACATCAGAACTAGCAGCAGCAGCAACAGAAGCAGCAGGGGCAGCCCAGGTGACATGGTCCTCTAGCCTGGGCGGCCACTCAGCACGAGACACCACCTACAACCCCCCCTCCAAAGTTACTACTCCCATCATTCCACCGCTCCCGCCTCGACGCACTCCGAGACAGTGACTTAGACAACGAGCGGGAGAGCGACCCTGGTAACCCTGCCGCTGCAAGCTCCCCTTCGATCTCCGATAAGATTTCCCGCCGCGACGAGCTTCGCGACATGGACTGCCGCACGACGGGCAAAACACCTGAGAATTCACCTGACAGGTCGCGGCGGGAGCCGCTACGGGACAAGGAGAAGCCGCCCAGGCTGCCGGGGCCAGGCAGGCCGAGGAGCCCAGCAGCGGAAGGGGAGGTGGAGAGGGCGGAGGAAGCGGGTGAGTCTGGGGGAGCAGCGCGGCGAGAAGCGCTTCTGGAGAAGGTCAGAGGTGAGTCGGGTACGATCTCTCTGCGGGATATCCCTGGCCGGGCTACGGGCGTTCCTGGCACTCCTACCGCCAGCACTGCTCCCAGACCCCCTGCTGCAACAGGTGCGCGGGGTGAGTCGGGGACGATCTCGCGGCGGGAGCTGCTTCGAGGGAGGCCGTACGCACCAATGGCTGAGGCCCACGCTGTTGCCTCTGCTGCTGCAGGTGGTGGTACGTCCTGTGAGCTGGACCCACTCCTCACAATCAATCCACCCGCACTGCCGCTGACCATACCTCCCCCTGCTCCCCCTGCTCCCCTGCTGCTCCTTCAGCTATGCCTGCTGCTCCCGCCCCTGCTGCCACTGTTGCTGCTGCTCCGGGCAGTTCGTGGCGGGAACTGCTACGAGACATGGAGAGAAGATCAGCGGCTCCAGCAACGCCAGCAACACCACCAACACCAGTAACGCCAGCAACACCAGCAAGGCTCTCTCGCTTGGACAGACTGCGAACCAGAACACTGATGTTGCTGCGCCGCCCACTCGTCGATCCCACACCCCCCAGCTCCATTGCTGCCAGACCGGGCATACCGCCACCCACAGCCACTCCCAGCAACTGCTGCTGCTGCTGCTGCTGCTGGCTTGCTTGCTCCTGCTGACTCGACTGCTGCTGCTGCTGCTGCTGCTGCTGCTGCTGCAGTTGCTGCTGGGTAATCCGTGAGCTGAGAACCCGGGCATCGCCTCTCCCTGCAGGCATGCGGGCGACAGTGACATCGCCTACAGCAGCGCCGAGAAGAGCCTGGGAGAGCACCGCGTAGAGCTGGGACTTGGCCAGGTGGTGCGTCCACTCCGTGCTGCCATGCCACGGGTTTTGCAGAGTAAGAAGCGGTGGTGAACGGTTAGGAGGAGTTGTGCCGGGTGCTGCTGCTGGGACGATGTGTTGGTTGCTGAGTTGGCTGGTTGTGAACTGGTATCAGCAGCAGTGCCAGGAGCAGCGGTAGCGGCAGTGGCTGCAGCAGCGGTAGTGGCAGCAGCTGCAGCAGCGGTAGTGGTAGCAGCTGCAGCAGCGGTAGTGGCAGTGGCTGCAGCAGCAGAGGCAGCAGCCTGGTTGCAGTGGAGGAGGAAGGTGTAGAGCACAGGTGTAGAGCACGAATACACCACCACCTCCCCCTTCTCCACACTCCCCGGATCCAGCCAATACCCCACCGCCACGTCAGCAACGCCGTCGGCGCAGGTCATAGCGGGGAGATGGGTCCTGTCGGCAGTGGTGTTGGAGCAGGGGAGGCAGTCACTGGGGAGGTGGCGCCTGGGCGGAAGGAGAAGGTGATGGTGGGCATGGGGAGGATGGGACGGTGGGTGAGGGGAGAGGAAAGGAGGGGATGGGATGGGACGGAATGAGTTTAGAGAGGTGTTGGAAAGGAGGGGAGATGGGAGAGAGTGCAAGATGGCATGGGAAGGGGCGTGTGATGTGAACAGCCGATGCAAGGACGGGGGGGAGTGAGTGGGGGAGGTGGCACCTGGGCGGAAGGAGAAGGTGCCATCGGGGCAGTGCTGCGCTCCCCTGCCTGGCCCGCAGTAACTGCCGATGGGACACGTGGTGCATCGCATGAGACCAGCTGCTGGGAGGGGGGTCGCTCCACTCGTGGTGGTGGTGGTGGTGCTGCTGCTGCTGTTGCCACCTCTGCTGCTGCTCCTGCTGCTGCTGCTGCTGCTGCTGCTGCTGCTGCTGCTGCTGCTGCTGCTGCTGCTGCTGCTGCTGCTGTTTGTGCTGTTCGCAGCTGTTTCGTAATACTGCCCGGCCGGGCAGAAAACGACCTCCAGCGTGCGCTGAAACGGCGGAAACGCGTTCAGCGGGCTGCTGACGGCCACAGCCAATGACAGCACGCCAGCTGTCGCGTCGGGAGCATCGGTGGGAGCAGCGGAGTAAGCAGCAGCAATGGGTTCACCACCGGTGGAAGCAGCGGTAGGGTTACCAGTCGGGGTATCGGAAGGGTTACCAGCAGCTGAGGGGTCAGCAGCAGGATTGAGAGAGGGGGGGACTTGGACGATGGTGATGGGTGGCACGGTGACAGTGCCGCCCACTGCTGTTGCTCGCAGCTCCCCAGAAATGTATGGGCTGGGTACCACCTCCACCAGTACTGAGTCATCCTGAAGTGATGTGTTGAGCACAAGGGGTAAGGGGGAAATGGAAGGCGGGATGAAGGCTTATGGCGGTTGCTCGCAGCTCCCCAGAGTCGAATGGGCTTGGCACTACCTCCACCAGCACTGAGTCATCCTGGTGTGATGGGGTGAGGGGGGGATGGGAGATAGAGGAACGAGGAGAGAGAGAGGCATGAGGAGAATGACCATTGGCATTCAATGTTCGATTTTTGAGTCGACTCAAAAAGAGAGAGAGGGTGAGGAGAATGATCATTGGCATTCAATGTTCCTTGTGCTGCTTGTGGCTTGTGGAGGGGCTTGGCTTGGCACCACCACCTCCACCAACACCTAGTCATCCTGATGTAAAGGTGGAGGGGGGTGGAGATGGGTGCAGGTGTGAAGGTGCAGAAGATCGGGGTTCAGGGCAAGGGCGGCCGCAACAGCAAGCACCGCACAGCACCGCACAGCACAGCACAGCACAGCACAGCACAGCACAGCACAGCACAGCACAGCAGACTCACACTAGGCGCCACGAGGCCGGCAGCACCAATGCAGCACAGCACCACACCGCATAGCACAGCACCGCATAGCACCATACCACAGAGCACTGCACAGCAGACTCACACTGGAAGCCAGGAGGCCGGCAGCATCGAGCAGAGTGACGTGTAGCCCTGAGACAGGGTTCGCCATGGCCCCCCCCCTCACCCTGTCTGTTTGTACCGCTCCCCATCCACTGCCCACCCACCTGGTGGGAACACAGCACCCATTTCCCTCTTGACTCACACTGGAAGCAACGACGCCGGCGGCATCGAGCAGAGTGACGTGCAGCCCTGCGACGGGGTTGGCCACGTCCCCCATCACCCTGTACCTCGCCTGGCCCCCTGCGTCCCGCTCCCCACTGCCCTCCCACCTGGTTGGGATACAGAGCACAGCACACACCACATACCACACAGGAGAGGGGTGGAGAAGGGATGGAGAGGGATGGAGGGGGGTGGAGAGGGGTGGTCGTGCCATTCCCATTCTTACTGGTCCGATGGGTCCTGCTCGTGCTGGCTGTCGTGTTGCCTTGGAAGGCCAGAGCCTATGCCCTACATAATGTCACTCTCTGATGGCACTCACTCACTCACTCACTCACTCACTCATTCACTCACTCACTCACTCACTCACTCACCACATCATGAAGGAAGTTGGCGGAGATCCCAAGGTGTCCCGGGGGTCGGTGTGGTGGCAGCGGAGGCAGGGCGAGCGCATGGAGGGCTCAAATGTGGCTCCTTGAGTGACAGATACTATCAGCTCAATACAGATTGTCACTCACTCACTCACTCACTCACTCACTCACTCATTCACTCACCACATCATGAAAGACGTTGGCGGAGATCCCAAGGTATCCCGGGGGTCGGTGCGATGGCAGCGAAGGCAGGGCGAGCGCATGGAGGGCTGGTAGGTGGCATCGAAGAAAGCAGAGCCCCCGAGGGTCGTGCCCGTGCCACTCCCACTAGAGCCGCTAGTCCCCGTAGACCCAGTCAAGCCACTCGTGCTACTAACCACAGTGTTGCCCAGGAAAGACAGATGGGACACCACCAAAGGCAGCAACCCCCCACCCCCTGCTGCTGCTGCCACACCACCACCAGCAGCAACAGCATCAGTAGCAGAAGCAACAGCAGCAGTGCTGTTGTTTCTGTCACCTGCACTCCCGTCCACCGACCCTGCCCAGGGGGCAGAAACTCACTCACAGCCTCCGACCCTGCCCCAGCATCCCCCACCTCCACACCCGCTGCTTCCCCCCCGGTTGATATACACCCCTGTACCCTCCCCACCTCCCGCGTTCCTCTTGAAAGCACACGCCGTGAGGGTGCCGTGAGCTTGCTCTAGAATAGCTATTCCTGCTCCTGAACCTCCGGCTTTGTTGTTGGTGAAGCTGGTGCCTGTGACGGTGATGGTGGCGTTGCCTCCTGCGAAGACGCCTGCTCCCTGCTGCTCTGCGCGGTTTCTTATAAGCCGTGGCCGCAGCCGGGCTTGTAACGAGGATGGCCCTGCTGCCTCCGCTCCTCCCGCTGCTCCGTCCCCTGATGCTCTTTTCACTCCTCCTGCTGCTTCTACCACTGCTGCTCCCCCTGCTGCCGCGCCTCCCAGCAAATCATCAGACAGAGTCAGGCTGCTGTCAGCATCGGCAAAAACCCGCCCCGCCTCTGTGCGCCCAGTTACTCTCCATAACCACCCCTCCCACCAGCACCACCACCGCAACATCCGACACCTGAATCGCCCCTCCGTCCCTCGACCCTCCCGCACCGTTCCCTCTGAACCTTGTGTCCTGAAACTTCGCATTGGTCTGTCCCAGCAGCACCACACCATGCTGCTCATTCTGCTCGAATCCCGATTTCCCAGTCACTGAAACCACCACCTCTCCTTCCGCTAGCAACCCTCCGCCCACCAAAGCCCGGTTTCCAACAAACTGTGAGTCGGAAATAGAGAGGTTTGACTTGTGGATAGCATACACCCCCGCCGCCTTGCACTTTCGCTGTGTTCCCGGTGAGATTCGAACCGGAGATCTCAACCTGGGCATTCATTTCTGTCCACAGGGCCCCTCCGTCTAAAGCGGAGTTGTTCGAGAGGAGAGACGAGGAGAGGGAGAGGAGTGTCTGGCCGGTCATGCGCAGCGCTCCGCCCTCGTTCCCCCCCGTCGTTGCACGTGACGTTAGACGACGTGACTGTAGCGGTGGAGAATTCGCCCAGGGAGATGCAGCCTCCCCCGGACGGCGCCTGGTTCCAGGAGCACCTGCTGCGGTGCAATCTCAGCCGTCCAAAGTCCTCGATCAGCACGGCGCCACCGCTGCCGGAGCGGCAGTAGAGGAGGGAGCAGTTGAGTGCGCTGAGTGCTGCCTGGGAGGAAAGGGAGATTGCTCCCCCGCCCAGATCAGCCCGATTGGAGAGGAAGCGCGAGTGGGCGACAGTGACAGGATAGAGCGTGCCGTTGGCTGCTGCTGTAGAGGCCACCTCAACTGATGCAGGGAAGGAGGGAAGAGGGGCGAGGGAGAGGGGAAGGGGAAGGGATGATGAGAAAGACGATAGGCAGTGAGGAGGGAAACAGACAGGGTAGAGCGTGCCATTGACAAGGGAGGGGGGAGGGGAGGGGGAGGGGGGAGGGGGGAGGGTGGAGGGGGGGGAGGGGGGAGGGGGGGGGGGAGGGGGGGGGGGAGAAAGGGGTAGAGATCTGGAACAAAGGGGGCAGCAGTGGAGGAGCGAGCAGTCGACTGCTGCTTGTGAGGAGAGGGAAATCGCCCCGCCGCCCAGATTGGACGATTAAAAAGGAAGTGCGAAGTGCGAGTGAGGGAAGGCGGGGAGAGTGGGTGCAAATGGAGGGAGAGTGGGTGCAAATGGAGGGTGTGAAAGGCATTCAAGAGGCTTTTACGAGGCTTTTAGAGCCTTTACATGGGTGCAAATGGAGGGGGAGTGGGTGCAAATGGAGGGTGAAAGGCATTCAAAGAGGCTGGAGAAGGAAAGAGAGGGTCAGATAGATGAGAGTGCATAGCTTCTGTTCCCCAGCAGTGCATAGCTTCTGTTCCCCAGCAGGGCATAGCTTCTGTTCCCCAGCAGGGCATAGCTTCTGTTCCCCAGCAGGGCATAGCTTCTGTTCCCCAGCAGGGCATAGCTTCTGTTCCCCAGCAGGGCATAGCTTCTGTTCCCCAGCAGGGCATAGCTTCTGTTCCCCAGCAGGGCATAGCTTCTGTTCCCCAGCAATGCATAGCTTCTTGTACCTTCCATGTGCTTCTCCTCCTCCTACCTGATATCGCGAGGTGACTTTCGAGTCGACTCAAAAGTCATGTGGTTCTCCTCCGTGTATGAAGAAGTGTTTTGAGACGTCTCAAGCCATGTGTATGAAGAAGTGTTTTGAGACGTCTCAAGCCATGTGTATGAAGAAGTGTTTTGAGACGTCTCAAAACACTGGTTTCTCCTCCTACCTGATATCGCTCCACCCTTGACCAGGGCGGAGTTGTTGACGAAAGTGGAGTTGTCTATAGTGAGTATGTTGCCAGAGAAAGCGATGGCTCCTCCCTTGGAGAGCAGAGCGGAGTTGTTGAGAAAGAGAGAGTGGGACACGAGGACCGTTCCCGTGGTTGCCTGCACGATGGATTAGCAGATGAAGGTGTTGAGGTGTTGGGGAGGGCAGCGACGGGACGAGGGAAAAAGGGATAATGTGACGAAGGGAGGGGAGCGTGACGAAAGCGGAAAAAGGGAGTGGGTCAGACAGAAGCACCGTGCCTGTGGTGCCCTGCCCTGCCCTGCACGCACGATGCAAGACTACACGTATGGAAGTTTCACTTGTCCCGACTCTGGCGACGCGTATGGAAGACTACATGAAGGACTGTGCCTGTGGTGCCCTGCCCTGCACGCACGATGCAATGAAAAGACGGCGAGAAAATGGGTGTTGTTCCCTCTTAAGAGAAAGAGCTTTGGAGAGATTCACAGAACGTTCCCACCTTACCCTCTCTGCTATCACACCCTCTCTGCTATCACACCCCCCACTAGGCCCACCTCTTGCACATAGATCGCCCCGCCCTCCCCCGACAGAGCAGTGTTGTTGAGAAAGGCGGTGTGGGTGATGTTGGTCGGCCCTACGCCCCCAGTTACTATGGCCCCTCCGTTGTGCAGCACTGTGTTACCACTGAACTCACAGCCTTCCACTGTTGCTTCCCGCAAGAAGAGCGCTGAGGGATGGGGATGAGACGGGAGGTGGGGGAACAGTGGGCGTGTTTTTAGGCGCCTAATCTTCCTAGTTGCTATGAACCCTCTCCCCTCCGTTGTGCAGCACTGTGTTACCACTGAACTCACAGCCTTCCACTGTTGCTTCCCGCAAGAAGAGCGCTGAGGGATGGGGATGGGACGGGAGGGGAACAGTGGGCGTGTTTTTAGTCGCCTACTCCTCCTAGTGGCTCAGAACCCTCTCCCCTCCGTTCTGCTGCACTGTGTTGCCTCTGAACTCACAGCCCTCCTCTGTTGCTTCCCGCAAGAAGAGTGCGAGGAGGAGAGAGAGGAGGGGGGTGAGAGGAGGAGGGTGAGGGGGAGAATGGGGAGAAAGGGAGAGGATGCAGAGGAGTGGAGAGGGATGCTCTGTTGAGACATCTCAACACTTTTTGAGGCGCCTCAAGAATCGCCTTACGACACGTGGAAAGGGAGAAGATGCAGAGGAGCGGAGAGGGATGCTGTCAACACGGCCTGCCGGCACCAACCATCCTGAAAGAAGTCAAGCTGGCCGAAGTCAAGCTGGCAGAAGTCAAGCTGGCAGAAGTCAAGCTGGCAGAAGTCAAGATGGCAGAAGTCTATGTTTTTTTAGAATTCTCAAAAAACATTGGTAGAAGTCAACATGGCAGAAGTCAAAATGGCAGAAGTCAAGATGGCAGAGGAATGTTTCGGCCGCAGGAAACAGGAAGAAAAAAAAAATCACCCAAGAAGAAGGAAAGAAGGAAAGAAAGAAACAAAGAAAGAAAGGATGAAGGAAGGAAGGAAGGAAGGAAGGAAGGAAGGAAGGAAGGAAGGAAGGAAGGAAGGAAGGAAGGAAGGAAGGAAGGAAGGAAGGAAGGAAGGAAGGAAGGAAGGAAGGAAGGAAGGAAGGAAGAAGAAGAAGAAGAAGAAGAAAGAAGAAAGAAAGAAAGAAAGAAGAAAGAAAGAAAAGAAAGAAAGAAAGAAAGAAAGAAAGAAAGAAAAAGAAAGAAAAAGAAAGAAAGAAAGAAAGAAAAAAGAAAGAAAGAAAGAAAGAAAGAAAGAAAAGAAAGAAAGAAAGAAAGAAAGGCAATCAAACTCCTGAGCATCTCGAAACGTGGTGGTGGTAAGCCGAGCTTGCAGCCATCGCATACCAGCGCCGGCAGTGCGGAAAGACGCCGCATTGCGGATAAACCGCGTGCGTCTAACCACAGCGTCGCTCTCAAAGCTCGCTCCGCCTGCAAACCGCGCAGTATTCCCCTCAAACACACAATCCTCCACCTCCATCCGCACAGGATCGTTCCCCATCATCCCCCACGCATGCAGCAACGCGCCCCCCCTGACCCGTCGCCGCGTCTGTCGTGTGCTTTGCTTCGTTCCCGATAAAAGAGCAGTTGGAAAGAAAGCTGGGGCAGTCTATGAGATAGATCGCGCCGCCGAAGGCCATCATGGGGGATTCTGCAACATTGCTGAGAAACCAGGAGTGCAGAATGGTGACATTGCTGTCCTGCCCTTCCAGTGCTGCTCCTCCCCCGCCCTGCGGAGTGAAAGCGTGGTTACCGCGAAACCCGCAGGCGGTAACCGTGAGGTTGGCGACTCTTAAAGCCATGATCCCCGCGCCGCCCATGGCGCTAGAGCCGTTGCGGAAGGAGGAGAGGGAGACGGAGAGGGTGGCAGTGTTGTTGGCGTGGATGGCGGCGCCGCGCATGTAGTTGGTGAAGGGGTCGATGAGTGGGTTGGCGGCGATGCAGGAGCGGAAGGAGCAGCGGGCGACGGCGAGGGAGGGGGAGGCTGTGTCTGCCATACAGCCGCCTTGGTGGCCTGATGGGAAGGAAGGAGAGGGAGGGAGGGAGGGTGGGAGGGAGAGAGAGAGGGAGGGAGGGAGGGAGGGAGGGAGGAAGGGAGGGAGGGAGGGAGGGAGGGAGGGAGGGAGGGAGGGAGGGAGGGAGGGAGGGAGGGAGGGAGGGAGGGAGGGAGAGAAGGAGGGAGGGAGGGAGGGAGGGAGGGAGGGAGGGAGGGAGGGAGGGAGGGAGGGAGGGAGGGGGGAGGGAGGGAGGGAGGGAGGAGCGGGAGGAGGGAGGGAGGGAGGGAGGGAGGGAGAGAGGGAGAGAGGGAGGGAGGGAGGGAGGGAGGGAGGGAGAGAGGAGAGAGGGAGGGAGGGAGGAGGGAGGGAGGAGGAAGTGTGGGAGAGGGTGAGGGAGGGGGAAGCGGTGTCTGCCATACACCCATGGGCACCCATCCATCCATCCCCACTGAACTTATTTTCTGAGAAGCTCACACCATCGATTTTTGAGTCGACTCAAAAATCGACTCATCACACACCCATCCATCCCCACTAAACTTATTTTCTGAGAAGCCTACACCGTCAATGCGCCCAGAGCACCCGTTAGTTGCCTGCTATCCCCTCTCCACCCATCCCCACTCATCCCCACCCATCCCATCCCATCCCCACCCATCCCCACCCATCCCCACCCATCCCCACCCATCCCCATCCATCCCCATGCACCTGATTTTCTGAGAAGCTGACACCATCAATGCGCCCAGAGCACCCACTAGTCGCCAGCCCCCCTCCATCATCATCACACGCCCATCCCCACACACACATCCCCACATGCACATCCCCGTACACACATCCCCACACACACATCCCCACATGCACATCCTCATACACACAACCCCACACACACATCCCCACACGCACCTTATTATCAGAGAAGCTGACGCCATCAATGCGCCCAGAGCAGCCACTAGTCGCCAGCCCCCCTCCATTCGCATCAGCCGAGCAGCGCGAGAATCCCCCTCCCCGCACCTCCAACCCACTGGCTTCACAGTAAACACCTCCCCCAACACCAGCCTTCGCAGTACACTCCTCGAACCAGCACTCTGTCACGCTCGCTACAGTCACGTTCTGTAACGCCACGCCGCCGCCGCCTCCTGAGGGAGACGAGACGGATGAGCCGCTGACGTGGACGCGCGAGAGAGTGACACGTGGCGCGTTGAGGACCGAGATCGCCCCGCCGTGACTGGCCGCCAAGCAGCCGGTGAAGGAGGCGTTGCTGACGTGAACGGCCTGATTCTCGACCAATAGGCAGCCGCCACGTGGCGCGCCGGCCTGGCCGTTCTGCACGGCGATCCCTGCGAGGACCAATCGCGCGGTGCCACATGGCACCACAGCAGTGGCTGGATCGCAGATGGCCGAAAGACAAGCCCCCCCTCCACAGTCAATAATTGGTACAGTGGGGACAGCAGGGGGAGCGGACAGAAGAGGAGATGGACGAAGAGGAGGAGGAGGAGAGGGAGGCGGAGGGTTTGGAAGGGGGGAGGGGAGGGCGGGAAGGAGAGAGATGGATCGAGCAGCGAGGGAGAGGCCCGCAGTGGGAAGGCGGTGGGCGCCCGGGGAGAGCAGCAGGGCGCCGCCTGATAGGGGCAGCCTGGGGGTGAGCATGGTGAGCATGGGTGAGCATGGGTGAGCATGGGAGAGCACGGGTGAGCATGGGTGAGCGTGGGTGAGCATGCGTGAGACGCCTCAAAAGGCATGGGTGAGCAAGAATGTGGGGGTAATACGAAGGAGTGTGAGTAGAGATGGCAGCACATGGGGGCGGTGTGCGAAACAAGTGCTGCTGCCTGTGGTGAATGGGAGAAGTGAGGGTGACTGGCCTGGCAGGGCGTGTGGTGTGGACTTTTGAGGCGAGGCGGAGGAGCAGGGAGGGCAGAGGGGGGATGAGATGAGAGAGACGAAGGAGTGGAGAGCGGTTGAGGGCATTGAGGGTGGGTTGCGGGGATGAAGGGCGGGTTGTTTTATCCAATGCGAGTTGAGCCACTCACATTGATAGGCCCAGCTCCAATGCACCTGCAAGCACATACATGCACCATGGCATGGCATGGCATGGCATGGCATGGCATGGCATGGAATGGCATGGCATGGCATGGCATGGCATGGCATGACATGGCATGGCAATGGCATGGCATGGCAAAGGCAAGGCATGGAATGGCATGGCATGGCATGGCATGGCATGGAATGGCATGGCATGGCATGGCATGGCATGGCATGGCATGGCATGCAATCAGACATGCACACACACAGAGAGCATAGAACAACACACGAGCAGCGCATGAGCAGGAAGGTGACGCGATTGAAGGCGTTCGTCAGGGGAAAGCTGCACGGGCGAAATAAAAAGGATAACACGTCAACCAGCAGGCTGCAAGGCAAGCACAGCGCGGCTCAGCTGGTAGGGGCACGGAACACACCACAGGGAGAGGCGGCGTTGCCGCAGCAGCCTGGTGCTGCGGACCCATGCCCGCCCGCGCGCACATGCACCTGCTCCAGCTGTGGACAGGCTGACCAGACGGGGCGGGTCGGGAGAGTGGGGGGGGGCGGGGGGGAGGGGGGTTGGAGCGCCTCAAACAGCAGCCTGGTGGTGCAGACCCATGCCCGCCCGCGCGCACATGCACCTGCTCCAGCTGTGAGCAGGCTGAGCAGACGGGGCGAGGGGCGGGAGAGTGGGGGGGAGGGGGGGAGAGAGAGGGGGGAGGGGGGGGTGTTTGAGCGCCTCAAACAGCAGCCTGGTGGTGCAGACCCATGCCCGCCCGCCCACACATGCACCTGCTCTAGCTGTGGACAGGCTGATCAGGAGCAAGGTGGTGCAGACCCATGCCCGCCCACCCACCCATGCCCCCATCCATGCCCCCATCCATGCCCCCATCGCGCATGCATGCAAGTGCACCTGCCATGGAAGTGGCCAACCTGAACATGAGAAAGTGAGACTGTGATTTGAGCGAGGGGGTGATTCAGATGAGGGGGTGATTAGGATAAGGGGGTTCATTCAGGGGGGGGCGGGGGGGGGGTGTGGGGGGGGGGGGGTGAATCAAGTAGGTGATTAGGGTGACGGTTTGAGAAAGAAAAATGATGCACCCCCACTTACCGTCACGAACGAACCCTCTCATATTAGTTGTTCCCCATCCCTCATCCCCTTTCGTTCCCCTTCAACGCCCCCTGATGTTCCACTCCCAAACCAGCGACCGCACTGCGTTTCCCTAACTACCTGACGCCGCGGCGCACGGCGAGATCGGCGCTGTACAGAGCAGGGCGATAATCAACGCAGCAAGCAGCCGACTGGCGGATGGCGCGCCACGCCGGGCCCCGCAAGCGCCGCCGCCGTCGCCGCCGCCCATCATCCGTTCAGCTGGGACCTCCGTTTCACGGGACTCTGGGGCGCTGCTTGACCCAGATATTCAGTTGACACGCGCCGCACCCGTGAAGCTGGGGGTTCGCGGCGGTTAGTACTACGTTAAACCCACGTGTACTGCATCCGCCGCCGGTGTTTGGGAATTCTCAAAAGCCGGTCACCGGGGTAGTAACGCCTGCAATGATCACACCCGTTTTGACCCAGTGGATAGCGGGGCGTAAAAGCGGGGGCTTTTAAAGCCGTGGTGCAACTATCAGCTTCAACTTGGAGGTATCATAGCTTGGAACTTGGTTGTCCAAGGCAATTCAGTGGCGGGGTTTGTCTTGTTGCGAGATTCCCGTTTTTCCGTCCAATAAGGGTCCCGTTACGCACATGCCATAAGTTGTCCTGCTACTGTTCCTAAAAAGTTGCACCCCGCCTTTAACTTTGAGGCTGCTCCCCCTCGTTCCCCCTCATAGCGTAAATGCGCGGACTCTCAGCGCCTTCCCTCTCCGCCACGAGGCGCGGACACCTCTCAGTCCTTTTCCCCTTGCTGCGCGCAAGCATACAGTGTAGGACCCATCGCCGTCGGTGCGTCACGACAAGGCGCCGGCCTCCTGCTTCACCATATGCTGCAGTCACCCAGGTGCCCGTAGCCTCTCGTTTTATGAGGTATTCCAGCCGTATCAGCTTTGATACAAGCTGGAATTGCGGCAGTAGCCTCTCCTTTTATCGAGAAAAACTACTACAGCGTCGCTCGCAACGGGAAAAGACGGCCGATACTTCTCGCGAAACTCGCCGCAGTCAGAACAGGCGGAGCTCATTCCCACAACGAAACGTAGGCGAGATATCTCGCACTCAGTGGCATTCGGACAATCCGAGCCATTCCTCCTCCTAATCCAGTGTACTGTACAATCACCGAGCTAGGGTTGCACTATTACTCAGCGCCAACTGAACGTGCGACAACTGAACAACATGGGGCAAGTTGTGCCAACAGTGTGTGGAGGCATGGGCTTTGGTTTGCTCGTCACGTCACTCGGTATTCCCGCAGTGCACTGCCGAGCCGAGCGGAAGAACCAACAACCACCGCCAACGAGAGGTGCCGAAGCTCCGCTGTGGGTGGCTCGTTACAGGGCTACAGTTTACAGTGCGTTCGAACGAAGTGGCAGAATTTGGCTCGGTGGGTTGTTGCGGCCACAGAAGCGCCAACACAACAGGCGCCGACAATATGAGCCAATTGGGCCGGTCTGGTCCGAATTAATAACAGTGAATCATGCGTCAAGAGGCCTCCGTTAACACCACGGGTGACACCATATGTATATACATAAAATAAATGCACCATTGAACCAAGCACAATAGTGCTCCTTTAGTGAAAAAAGAAATCCCCTATCAACTCTCCCATCGTCTCAATCCAAGTTATCATCATCCTCATAATCATCTGCGAAATCTTCTTGTACCCATGCAGCTTCGTCATCGTGCTGGCGATTCAAGTCCACCTTGTTCTTAGAGTCAGGAGCACCAGCTGCAGATGCCATGATTTTCTCTTCATATTCCTGCGCACAAGATAATACCCCCGAAAAAAGAAAGGTAACTATATCTTGTCCTCCCCAATAATCACGCAGGAACAAATATCAAGTGCAAAAGCTGGAGACTTACCCAAATTCGTGTCCGTTGTTCTGCCAGCAACTGAGCCGCCTCCAACACCGAAATCACCCGAGCACACCTTGCAGGCGCCCCAGCAGGCCCGGCAGCCCCGGCAGCCTCGGAAGCACCAGCAGCCCCCCCAGCAGCCCCCCCAGCAGCTCCAACAGCCACATCTACCATATCCTGAGCAGATTCTAGCCGAGCACAATCCGCAGCAACTCTGCCACCACCATCACCATCACCATCACCATCACCATCACCAATCTTTAACACCCTGCCGAGCCGGGCAGCTGCGCGCTCCGCCTCCCACGTCAAGTCCCTCCTGACCTTCTCCCGGGCTGCCCGAACACCTTCCGGCGAAATCTTTTTGTCCGCGCCCACACGCTCCAGCCTACCATTGTGAAGCCGATACATCCGCCCGTCCGACCGCTACCACCCGAGGGGCACTAGAACCAGCAGGGAGAGACACCCTCGTGCCAGCACTCCCTGCACTCCCTGCACTCCCTGCACTGCCTGCATTCTCTCCGCTCATTTCTCCTCCTCCAATCCCTGCACTCCCGGCACCGCCCGCACAGCCAATAACATCTCTCGCACTGCCAGCACCCACGCCTTGTTCCAGCTGGCCCGCAGCTTCCAGAGCCGGGTCGTCGATGGTGGTTTCCACCGCACGGTGCAGCGACCAGAGGCGGCGCATGGCAGCAGAGGAGCAGGACGGCTGGAAGGACGACGTGCGCGTTCGCACCGATGCAGCTGATGCTGATACAGCTAGCCCAGAGGCTGGCTTCATAGATGGCTTGAGGAATGAGCCTGTGCTGTCTGCTTCGCTGTCCGCACCTGGGTCTCTGTACCTGTAAATCTCCCTCTTCCACTCCTCTCCTTGCTCTGTGCCTGGGAGCTCTGCACTTTCCCTGCGCTCTGCTCCTTCCGCCACCCTGTTCCCCCCTGCAGGCTCGCCTTCCGCTCCGCCTGCGGTAACGCGTGCTGCAGCGACTGCAGACACAGCAACCGTTGACACCAGTCCGGTGCTATCTCCCACCCCTTCCATCACCTCCGCCATTCTGCCTTCACCTGCCGGCCAATCCCCTCCTGCTGCTCCGCCTTCCTCTCCCGTCGCGCCTGCCACTCCTGCCCCTTGTATTACCCCACCCTCTCGCCTCACCACAAGACTCGTTGTAGAATCGGCTGAATCGTCCACCATCCTTCCCATCATCGCCTTCCCCCCATCCCCACCCATGCTGTCGCCACCAGACGAAGCAGCAGTAGCAGCAGCAGCAGCAGCAGCAGCAGCATCACCTGTCACGTTCCTTGCCCCGCTCCCTCTCCTCCCCGAAACCCTGAACGCGAAACTCGCGCTGTCCGCTTCCTGCTCGTCCGCATCTCCCGCCACCTGTTGCGCCGCGTGCGCCGCTAGCAGCGACTCGACCTGCCGCAGCTGCGCCTGCAGCTTGCTCACCTGCGTGGACAGCTTCGCGCCGCCGTCGGGGAGCGCGAGCCGACCCGCAGTTACCCTCGACAGCAAATACTGCGCGATCAAGGGCGCATCGGGGAGGCAAGATCGGGGGAACCAGATGGAGGAATTTCGAGATTGAAAGAGCGACCTCCCAAGCGACTTCCGCATGGGTGACATGCAACATACGCGATACGATCGTAACCGATGTGATGAGACCCGCCAAAACGAGGCCTCTGGTGTGCGCTTCGCTTACCTCCTGTCCTTTGAGCTTCCGCAACAGGCGCCTCTTTTCCTCCTGGAGCTTGTCGCTGCTGTCATCCCATCCCGCGGATCGCAGAATACCCGTGGGGGTAGCGACGTCGCTGATCGGTGCGACTGCAGCTGTGACGACGACAGGAAACTCGGCATGGCGACGAGTAGGACGTGCTGCAGAAATCTGCGATGCTATAAGCGAAGTCTATACAACGTTCTGCGACGCTGCGCGATGCGACTAAGCGGACGATATGTGCGACGACTGCGCGACAACACTACGTGGGATCTAACCAGAGAAACTAACAACGTGGGTGCTGGCGAAAATGAAAGTGCGTGTCGGCGAAGTCAAGTAAACTCCAGACAGGAGTGAGCGGCTATGAAGAACAACTTCGTTAGTCGGCTTCTCGAACGCCTGTATATGCATCCGGTTCTCACCATCTAATAGTAAAGCATTCTTATATCTATAAAACCAAAATAACGTACTCTGAGACTCTCGTACATTACTCATCATTTTAATTCCTTTCAGTTGTCAAGTGTATGACGCGATATTGATTCGCCGTCAGTACCTGTAGCGAGCACGCTTTTGTTCCTGGGGTTGGTGGTCAGGAAGGAAAACATCTCCTGGTCGGACATCTAAGTAAGGGAGGGAGATTTGTTGGTTTGGGAATGGAGGGCTGGTCCGTGCATCTGAGGCTTTGCACCCAAAAATGCAGAAACAAGGCGCAGGTGTCGATGTATGCGATTCGACTTCGCAACTCAACCTGTGAGAGATTCGGTTTCTGTAATTTCACCTGCAGCAGTCTCTCATTCCGCCAAGTCCAACACCCCTAACTTGCCCACCAGGGGCAAATCTGGCTCCCTGCGGCGCGTCTGTCTGTGCTTGGCTGCTTGGATGTGATTGTCTGTTACCCTGCGTATCACAATTTCCACCTGAGACCATGTTCTGATACGGGCAACAAATGCCTGTGCGTGTTGCAACCAATCGTAGCTCTGCTTGGCTCCACGTCAACAAGCCTAACCCCTCCTGGTGCTCTTCAAAACCAAGACCAACCCACCTGAAGTTTACCAGCAGAACTTGAATCAAAACCAAGCAGGAGTTTCCACACTCAGAGCTCGCAGTAGCTTGAGAGGAGCAGGCAAGAAGCAGATTGAAGCAGAGAAGTCTACGACATTCAGTGTAGAGCAAAGGGCATAGTTAATTTTCCTCTCCAGACTAGCTCGTTAGCATCGCCGCCGCCATGGCCCGTCTGAGCGTCGCGTTCCTCGCGCTGCTGCTCCTTGCCGTAATCATCTGCGCAGAGGCGGGCAAGGCGAGCACGCTGAGCAAGAAGGGCAGCAAGGACAAAAAGGGCGGCGTGAAGAAAGGAGAAGTGAAGGCAGGAGGCGAGGTCAAATCAGGCGTTAAGGCAGGAGGCGAGGTCAAATCAGGCGTTAAGGCAGGAGGCGAGATCAAAGCAGGCGTGAAGGCGGGAGGCGAGATCAAAGTAGGCGTGAAGAAGGGCGGTTCCAAGAAGGGCGGTTCCAAGAAGGGCGGATCGAAGAAGCCAGTGACGACATCCAGGCAGGTTGGTGCTTCTTCCGCTAAGGGCGCCGAGCTGACGAGCAACTCGGATTCATACAACACCTTCGACGCGGGCGAGGTTACGATCAAGGGCGTGTCGTGGAATGCGAAGCAGTGCCCGAACGATTTGGCTAAAAAGGACTGGGGCGGTTGCACCGCCGTCAACTGCTCCAAGGGCGGCTGGCCCGCCAAGTTTAAGACGTCGATCATTACGGCGAAGAAGGGGAAGCACTGGGCGACCATCCTGCCCAACGGCGGGTTTTCCAAGAAGAAGGCTAATCCCGAGGCGTGCTGCAACCAGTGCGCCGCGAGCCACGACTGCACCTACTGGCAGTACATCCCAGGCAACGGCGGAGAGTAAGCATCCCGGTCGTACCTTCAACTATCGTACTTGTACTAGTCCTTCCCTCCGCAGTTGCTACTTGATTCCTGCTGGAGCCTTCTGTCATGCTCAAATCTTATTTTTTTTTTTCCCCTCTGTATGTTTCTTGAGCGCAGGCCTGGGACGTGCGATCTGATGGCCGGCGAGCAGAAGTTTGAATGCGGCGACCTGGCAGCAATGTACGAGGGCAAGGACAAGCCCGTGTACCTGCAGGTGCGCGCAGGCGGCAGGTGCAACGACAATCCCGAGGTCATCGACGACCCGCACTTCACTGGCGCGCACGGCACGCACTTCGACTTCAACGGCCGCCCCGACAAGGCGTTCTGCCTGCTGACGGATAAGAACGTTCACGTGAACATGCTGCTGAGGGGATACTATGACGACCGTACCGAGGGTGCGGCTCTTGTTGTCGACGGGAAGGCCGTTCACACGTGGATCAAGTAAGCGCCGAACCACTTTCGACAGGTTTTTATTTTCGGTTTGTTCCTCAGGTTCTTCCACATCTCCTAACGGTTGCCCATTTATACTTGGTTATTGTTTGTTATTTCAGGGAGCTGGGTATTGTGTGGTACGCGGACGGTGGGGACCACCGTCTCCGTTTGGTTGCCCGCAACGGCAAGCAGCAGGAGCGCGGCACTGGTTACATGAAGGCCATCGAGGTTGACGGTACCGTGATCCAACGTCTGAATCTCGGCGATGAATTCCACGGTGACGGTGGCCTCACGATCGCCCTCCGTGCGTACGAGAAGCACGGCCCGTATGACGTGGATTACTACACCGTTTCGATCGAGGGTATCATCTCGTTCGACATCCGCCTGCGTGTGGCTCACCCGAAACTCCAGACCCCCAGCGACGCCGAGGTTCACATCAACGTGGCCGTCACATCTTTCGACTACACGGAGAACGTTCACGGCGTGCTGGGTCAGACGTACAGGGAGGACCATATCGACCGTGCGATTGATTTCCAGCAGCTCGTGTCGTCGCTTCACCGCCCGGTCTCTGCTGACGGGGAGCTCGGCGCGGGATTCCTGGATGGAACCCCGCGAGCTTACGAGGCCGCCTCTGTCCTCGGCGTGGATTGCGCCATGACAGCGTACCACCGTGCCATGCACGTGAGCGTCGCTTCGAACTAAGCCTCTTCGCGAGGCTTGTCTTGGTATTGGGTTTTCTGTCTTCCTATCGTTCTTCCCCATACAATTTCTCAGGTAGCAACGAGAACCGAGCCCCTAATGTAATTTTATTTGGCTGCTCCGATGTTTGTAGGATATTTCGGATAAAGCATGTCTTGTATGCTAAACTGCAAATGCAAATTATTTTTTAATTTGATTCATTTACGCTCAAGATGGAAATCCAGAGACCAGTAAAGATGTGCATGCCACATTGCTCCGCCGTCGGTATCCGATGCATCAGCTCCGACGTGTATCCCCGAGGCAGTCCAGCCAGTGCAATATTTCCTCGTTGGGATCTGATATCGCGTACACTGCGTCCACCGTCACCTGCACCATCAATCCGTGTCGCCCTCGAATGCACATTCGCCCACAGAACCCGACACCAGAAAGATCACGAAATAGCTGCTCTCATCCAGAACAGAATCAACTACTCTTAGAATTCTATCATAAATCCACCCTTTTTGCCAAGCAGGTCGCCCCATGCTCACACGTCTCCTGCCATTCCCGCCAATACCCCAAATTCTCTGCTGATGCTCAAAACCCCATTCCCATCCGAGGCTTACCTGCCTCCGTCCATTGAACACCGTCACTTTCCCCCGCACGCCCACCAGCGCGCCCACGTGGACACACGTGGCTGCCTGCAGCATCGCCACGTGGCGCTCCGCGTGATCGCGACTGTTTAGCCACAGCACACATGGCACTGCGCGCACAGGCCGCGTGGCACAGACGGTGGGCAATTGCAGTGCGGCGGCTGGCAACGCACCCGTACGTCGCGCTGGGGGTGTCGCAATAGCCGAAGGGGCGGAGACACGGGCGGAGGCGGTGGGCGGAGGCGCGGGAGACGAAGTGGGGGAAGCGGCGGGGCGAGGGCCGGAGACGGCGGTCATGCTGCCGTCATCTAAGGCGAATCGGACGAACTTAAAAGGGAGCTTATCCACGTCGACTATAACGCCCACTAAGCACACGTGGCGCAACCGCGTCTCCCACCCCACGCCGTGCTGCTGCTGGTCTGCCGGCGGGAGAAATGCGGAGCCGAGCACTCGCCGGTAGACGGGAAGATTCGCGTCCCGCGATTGCATAGCGACGCGAAAGCTATCCTTCTCTTCCTATTTGAAGTCCCCTCGGTTGCTCATAACGAACGACAGCGCAGGACGAAACATTGGTGGTTCCACTGATCTACTATCGCGTGAGGGCGGAAGAAGTGGAGCGCGACGAGAAAATGCGGAAGTCGACTTGTTGGGAAAGGGTGCTTGGACTTGTTTCGGTAAAAGATGGCGCAATTCCTCCTCGATTCCTCACAATAAAACCTTCCGCTTTGACTAGCGCAGCACATAAACATCAGCTTATGGAAAAGAAGGCCGTACACGCATGTTGAACCGAGTGATCGAGGTTTGCAGACATTCAAACCAGGCCAAATGTACAAAACGAAAAATCCTATGCCATACAATAATAAATATAGCTCCAATTGAACAATTCACCAGATCAGACAAGGTTGTTGTCACGAGGACCACGTGTACATATTAGGTGCACACTACTCACGAAAACCCTCACCATCGGTTGTGGCCATAATCTCTTCTCATAATCCAGATCCACAAAGGGCATCAAATACTGCTCATGGCTCTCCTCGTGGCTCAAACTGCTCGTCTGCTGTCCTCACCCCCATGCCACCTGCTGCTGCCACCTTGCGAGAGCCCGAAACCTTGCCCAGCCTCTTCTTACTACATCACGACACTGGCTCCCTGTCATGTCATCACAGCCCTCATTTTCCGACCGTAAGCCTTGCCTCCCTTGTTTGTCACTTCACCCCCTTGCATCCCCCTTAGGGTGCTTCTGCTTGTCCTTTCTGTGCTGCAGCCACCCCACCAAGGACGGCAGAGATGACAGCTCAAACTGCTCTTCTGCTGCCGCCCCCACCGCCACTGCCTGCCTTGTCGTGCCTGCACCTGCCGCCTTGTGAGACCCGAGGCCGACGCCCTCATGAGATTGCTGGTGCTGCTGAGACTCGTTAGACTGCTGAGAATCGTTAGAGTGGTGAGACCGGTTGGACTCGAGCGAGTGGTGAGGCTTGTGGTGGTGTGCCTCTGGCGTTTGCTGGCGCGGTCCTCTTGATTCGCTTGGGACGGGGTTGACCCTCGCTGTGGCGAGTGGCTCGGAAGGTGCACTGGAGTGCGGATCAGCTTTTGCAGCACTGGAGGTAGCTGAAGCAGCCGCTGTTTTGGTTGCAGGAGCAGCAGCATTGGCCATACCAGGGATGTCAGTCGGAGCAGCGGATGAGGTAGCAAGATTCGCAGCAGCTGGCTTTGTAGCAGCAGCAGAATGGTTGTCCGCTGTGTGTCCGTTTGCTTCCCCTCCATTTTCCCCTCCCTCACCGCCTCTCCGGTGTCCCCACGGCAGGAAATCCACGAGGTTGAATACCACCGAGGGAATGTGAGCCGCTGCGCCGCCCACATGCGATGCTGCCGCCCCAACATGCGACGCTGCCGCCCCAACTGTGCCGCCCACGTGAGATGCTGCCGCCCCGACCGTGCCGCCCACATGAGACACTGTAGATCCGACTGTGGAGGCGGCAGCGCCAACCGCACCGGCAGCAGAGGAGAAGAGGGGGCTTACAACGCGGATGGGGATCGCTGTGGCGTCCTTGAGAGCGTCTGAGAGGAGGGGGGAGCAAGGGAGGGGGAGTGTGTGAGGGAGGTGATGTGATTGGTGAGGAGGGAAGGGGGGAGTGCGGGTAGGGGTGCACGTGAGATCTAAGTTCTCAACGAACTGAAAGAGAGGAGGAAGGAGCGAAGGCTCACCAGAAGGATGGGAACTATGAGAATTCTCAAGAACTCTCACGGTGTATTTGGAAGTGCCTGTAAAGCAAGCAGCGTTTGGTGCGTGCACAGGTCCGAACTGGTCACTACACGGGAACAGCACATAGTTACCTGGTTACCAGCACTTTCCAAAGCTCACCAGCAGTGTTTTGCTCCTTGTCCCTGGCGCAACTGGTCACTATTTGTTACCAGCACTCACCAGCAGTATGCTGCTCCTTGGCCCTGGCGCTGCTGGAGCTGGCGGCAAGGCGGGATGCCCGTGCAGGGCTGCGCACTCCCTGGGAGATCTCGTGGCTGCACAGGCAGATGCACGGGAGGAGATGGAGTGGTGAAGAAAGAGAGATGGGGAGGAGACTGTTTTTGAGTCCACTTAAAAGAAGACGGGAGGCCCGTGCAGGGCTGCGCACCCCCTGGGAGATCTCATGGCTGGTCGGGTGAGCATATGTTTGTGGGGAGAGACGGAACGATGTTTAGTAATAGAGATGAGGAGATGAACGACGGGAGGCATTGGGAGGGAGAGATAGAGACGCGGGGAGTTGTACTGGTGTGTATATGACATGATCGAGGTATCTGAAATTTCACCTGAGTATTGGCTGAGTCTATCTGAAATGCACCTGAGCTGTATGACAGCCTTACAGGTGCCATGGTCCTCGGCGGCTCCAGCCACTACCCGAGACGGCAGTCGAAATTATCCAAGACTCAAACTCACCTGAAAAAACACCTGAGGAATCACCTGAGGTCGCTGAGCTCCATGGTGAGGTCGCTGATCTCCATGTCTGACAGCCGCACCGCTGCCACGGTCCCCAGCAGCTCCTCTCCACTACCTCGTACACTGTTGAAACCACCTGAGGATTCACCTGAGGTCGCTGAGCTCCATAGTGAGGTCGCTGATCTCCATCCCTGACAGCCGCACCGCCGCCATGGTCCCCGGCAGCTCCTCCCTCGCCGTCGTTGCCAGCCGCTCCACTGCCTGCGCTGCCCTCCTCACAGCCTGGTGGTGGGAACGAGGAGGGGAGAACGCGAGAATGGTGAACGGACGAGAGGCATGCGGGGGGGGTTATGCGTGGGAGGATTGCGAGGCGCAACAGAGATACTGGCGCGAGGAACGCGAGAAAACACATTAGGAGGGTCGGGATGGAGACCTGGCTAGTGTGGTAGGACGTACCAGGAGCGCGGGAATCGCGGCGAAGATTATGCCGGAGAGCGCCGCGGAGATCTGCATGCGAAGCAAAAAGGACCGTTAGAGTCATTAGAAGCGGCAAGAACCAGTTTATAGGGTCAAAAGAAGGGGGTGAGGAAAAGGCGCGAGAGAGGAGACTAAAAGGAGCGGTAATAGAAGAAGCAGAATAGGAGGCACAGAAATACGTGCTCGTTACAAGAAGTCTCGAAACTCATTCCAATCCACGAATGGAGGGTTCGCGTACCGAGCATGCGACGAAGCCGAGGGTCAGAACAGGCACGTCTCGCGGCGACACGTGGAGAAGACCCGGTGGTTGTGGTGCCGACGACACGGATGCGACCATGTGCGACGCGTCCATGCGACTGCCGCATGTCGCACACTGCATGTGGTCTGCGAATCCGGAAGCGCCGCCTTTCTCGCCCTCTGCGACATGCGTGGTCGCTGTGTGCCATCGCACAGCGTCGCTTGCAATCGCTTTCGCGTCGCTTGGTTGCGCGTCGTTGGACCGTGCGACGCGTCGGGAAATCCATCCCGGGATCAACGTTGTCGCAGACGAGGGATTTGCGCCTGCCTCCTCGCCCCGCACATGTCTCACTTCTATTGGTTTAAACCGTTTTCCTTGCGTGAGCTCCGTTGAATGCGCTAGGGGAGTCAAGCCGAGCCGAGGCGAGGGGCGGGAGAGACTAAATGGCGGGTTTTGAGGCGCCTCGAAAACGGATGTAAAAGCAGCCCTGAGAGGAGATCTGATTCTCGGCGGGACTCGCGTAGGGAGTAACGGCGACGCGTGCTTTGGTGCGCGCTTTGCCAGTCGGCAACATGCTCCGTTACTGGCTGAATCCGTTATACGCGTTATGGCGCTCGACATCGCACCACAGGCAACACCTGTTTATGACAAAACGCCAGTAATAAATAAGCGGTTTCTTGGTCGCGTCGCACGCACCTTTGATTCCTACTCGTCTTCCTTTCTGAGTCGTATCCTAGCAACAGTTACGAAGCGGGAAAACAACAAGCAGACTGGAAGCGAATCAGAACGGTCGTACAAGTTTCCAGAAGCAAGGACCCTCGTGACTGCCCAGCTATAAAAGGGAGAGGCAAGGATTGGAATAGAAGCTAGTGTGCAGCAAGTTTGAGGGAGGGAGTGTGGTGGTGGAGCAAATGAACTCACGCTTGAATGTTCCGCTTGAATCCCACGCTGTGGCAGACTGAGTCGGTTTTAAAACGTTACGATACGTTAAAGAACGGTTGTTAAAGATTGCTGTAATGCTGAAAGCAGCTCGAGTTCACTCTGACTTGGTTTGTCAGGCGCTCGCGCGGGTCAGGGAGGGTGGTGAGGTCTGGTAGTGCTGCGGAAAAGAAACACTGACACGCGAGGTTTTCATGAAGGTTACATTCGGTGAGAAACGTTTTGAAATGGTAAATAGCCTTCCCAGACGGTGTGACGATGGGGTGAGTAAGTGGATGAACGCTGCTCAGCGGCACTGGGGCAAGAATCGACCCGACAGTGAATCTGAGCCGTGCGGGATAGGTCAAGAACCGAGCGTCGCGTCACGATGACCAGTCGAGCGATATCTTGACACGAAACCATGGTGTCGGATCAGAGTCAGCATCACGCTAGACACACTGCTGGATTGGCTGATGCCACATCACAGCCTTCTGGATCACTCGCCGTGCTTCAACGCACGTACCCGTTAGAGATATGATGCAGCTTTCGCGGACAGCATAGAGCTGTTTCATCCAACATCTCGAGTCGCTTCAACCCTATAAGGTAACATACCTAAACACCCCTAAACATGACCTAATAATTCCTACAACTGTGTATTCAATAATCAAAATACCTAAGGCTCCATCATGTCTCCAGTCTTATCCCGCGCAGCAGAAGCCCACGTGCGGTTACTCCAGCTTCTTGTCAAGTTGTGCCCTCCATGCCTGTGCTTATGATCCACTGGCCGTGCATCGTCAGGCATCGCCGGCACATTGGATGCTCCGGGTGCTGACGTGGCAGCAGCGGACTGGCTGACGCGCATGAAGGTGGGCTGGGAGGTGGAGGAGAGGAGTCGTGCCCACATGCGATCAGTGAGGGCCACTGACTTGGGGGCCGTCACTCGCTGTGCGTGTGGGGGAGGAGAGTGGGAAAGAGGGAGTGAGAGGGGAGTGAGAAACAGCGGGATGTGAGTGCGGCTCACAGACTTGTAGAGAGGTGGTGAAGGGGAAAGGGGTTTTGGGAAGTGGGGGAGAAAGTTGAAGGGCAAATGGGAGCGAAGGCAGGATGTGAGATGGGAGTGAAGTGGATAGTAGAGCCATGGAAGTAAGCGAGAAAAACCGAGGCAACAGCATGGCACGTAAACTGACAGGGATGTAGCACTGCGTGCCGTTGACAGGCCCCACCATGAAGCCCGAGTAGCCAGCCATGGCGCCGTGGATGGCCTTGTGTGCCAGCAGCGTGTGTGTGGAGGGTAACAACTGAAAGCATTTGGAACGGCGATTCCAGCAACGTACATTGACAGGGATGTAGCACTGTGTGCCGTTGACCGGTCCCACCACGAAGCCCGAGTAGCCAGCCATGGCGCCGTGGATGGCCCCGTGTGCCAGCAGCGTGCAGTAGATGTTATCTCCAGCATTGGCTGGGATGGCCCGGATCATGTATGTGGGGTCTGGGGAGTGGGAGAGGGGTGGGGGAGGGGGTGGGGAGGGGGGAAAGGGAGTGCAAACGTCGGCCAAATCAGAAGAAGCTCATCAAGGCACTCGAGGCGAAAATCATGGTTCCTGTTATCGTTCGAACGGCAACCGTACAAGAAAAAAACAAAAGGGATTCTCAATAAAACAAAGAGGACACTGACCAATGTACTTGAGGCTGATCTCGCTCTTCTTGTCCACGCTGAAGTGCTCCTGATGGTGGGACGGTGCATGGGGGAGGGCGCATGGGGGCAAGCAGTGCATGAGACGGGGTATGAGTCTTTTTTTTTAGAGTTTATGGGGGAGGGCGCATGGTGGAACGGTGCATGGGGGAGGGCGCATGGGGGCAAGCAGTGCATGAGACGAGTATGAGGCGACTTTTGAGTCGATTTATCGACATTGCCAAGCAATGCATGAAAGGCTGTCGGTTTGGGTAAGGTGATATCCACCTTTATCCACACTCACAGCAAAAGCCCCACGTCCAGCAGCGCGTTCCCTGACTAATTCGTGCCCGCCGCTACTGACAGTCTCTGCCCCATTGACACCATCCACACACATGTACCTTGAAGCGCCCCCATCCACATTCTCTCACCTTGATGCGCTCTCACAGCCACAGCCCCACGTCCAGTAACAGAGCATTCCCTGACTTGTCCGTGCCCGCCCCTCCAGGCAGGCCCTGAGCCACGAGGCTCTGCCTCGCACCCATGCGCACCCATGCGCACACATGCACATCACCACAGGCGCACACCACCAAACCCACCTTGTTGCGTTCGGCGAGCCACAGCCCCACGTCCAGCAACAGTGCATTCCCCAACTTGTCTGTGCCCGCGCCCCCCCGGCAAGCTCTGCGCCGACTTTTGAGGCGCCTCAAAAGTCGGCAAGCTCTGTGGCACGAGGCTCTGCCCCGCAAGCACCTTATACGCACCTCTTTCGATTCATCCTCGCACACTCTCTCTCACCTTGATGCGTTCGGAGAGCCACAGCCCCACGTCTAGCAGCAGCGCGTTACCCGACTTGTCCGTGCCGGCGCCCCCCGGCAAGCTCTGCGCCACAAGGCTCTGCCCTGCCCCCTCAGCCACAACGATGACGCAGTGGTCGTTCTCGTAAAGCTTCCTCTCCATGAACTCAAACAGGCCTCCTTCGCCCTCCAAGTGGAAAGGGACTTCTGGTATGAGGCAACAGTCCTGGTGGAACAGCGGGGATGGGGGGAGGGGGGGGGGGGCAACATGCTCTGCCCTGCCCCCTCAGCCACAACGATAACGCAGTGGTCGTTCTCATACAGCTTCCTCTCCATGAACTCAAACAGACCCCCTCGCCTTCTAGATGGAAAGGGACTTCGGGGATAAGACAGCAGTCCTGGTAGGGAGGAGAGGGGGTGGGGGAGACAGAGGGGAGAGGGGAGGGGAAGGATGGGCACTACCACAACCACAAGCACAGACGGAGCAAGAAGCACTAGGCTCTGCCCTGTGCCCTCAGCCACAACGATAACGCAGTGGTCGCTCTCATACAGCTTCCTCTCCATCAACTCAAACAGACCCCCCTCGCCGTGCAGGTGAACGAGCACCTCGGGGATGAGGCAGCAGTCCTGGTGGTCAAGAGAAGAGGGTGTGAGGGAGATGCGGGGACGAGGAGAGGGGAATGAACCACAACAAGTACCAGAGGCAGAGCCAGAGCTACAAGGCTCAGGCTCAGCCCTGCTCCCTCAGCCACAACGACAACGCAGTGGTCGCTCTCGTAGAGCTTGCGCTCCATGAACTCACAGCGCCCGCTCTCGCCCTCCAGATGGTAGAGGTTGAAGGACAAGCCTCAGCCCCAGTCCCACACCTGGGACTGCAGCTCCAGTCCCCAAGCTGGGACTGCAGCTCCAGTCCCCAAGCTGGGACTGCAGCTCCAGTCCCCAAGCTGGGACTGCAGCTCCAGTCCCAAAACTGGGACTGCAGCTCCAGTCCCGCAGCTGGGACTGCAGCTCAAGTCCCGCAGCTGGGGTCAGGTTTGAGGTCAGGTTTGAGGTCAGGTTTGAGGTCAGGTTTGAGGTCAGGTTTGAGGTCAGGTTTGACGTCAGGTTTGAGGTCAGGTTTGAGGTCAGGTTTGACGTCAGGTTTGAGGTCAGGTTTGAGGTCAGGTTTGAGGTCAGGTTTGACGTCAGGTTTGACGTCAGGTTTGACGTCAGGTTTGAGGTCAGGTTTGAGGTCAGGTTTGACGTCAGGTTTGAGGTCAGGTTTGAGGTCAGGTTTGAGGTCAGGTTTGAGGTCAGGTTTGACGTCAGGTTTGACGTCAGGTTTGACGTCAGGTTTGACGTCAGGTTTGACGTCAGGTTTGAGGTCAGGTTTGACGTCAGGTTTGACGTCAGGTTTGAGGTCAGGTTTGAGGTCAGGTTTGAGGTCAGGTTTGACGTCAGGTTTGACGTCAGGTTTGACGTCAGGTTTGAGGTCAGGTTTGAGGTCAGGTTTGACGTCAGGTTTGACGTCAGGTTTGACGTCTGGTTTGAGGTCAGGTTTGACTTCAGGTTTGACGTCAGGTTTGGAGTCAGGTTTGACGTCAGGTTTGAGGTCAGGTTTGAGGTCAGGTTTGACGTCAGGTTTGAGGTCAGGTTTGACGTCAGGTTTGAGGTCAGGTTTGAGGTCAGGTTTGAGGTCAGGTTTGAGGTCAGGTTTGACGTCAGGTTTGAGGTCAGGTTTGAGGTCAGGTTTGACGTCAGGTTTGACGTCAGGTTTGACGTCAGGTTTGAGGTCAGGTTTGAGGTCAGGTTTGAGGTCAGGTTTGACGTCAGGTTTGACGTCAGGTTTGAGGTCAGGTTTGAGGTCAGGTTTGACGTCAGGTTTGAGGTCAGGTTTGAGGTCAGGTTTGAGGTCAGGTTTGAGGTCAGGTTTGAGGTCAGGTCAGCTTTAAGGTCAGGTTTGAGGTCAGGTTTGAGGTCAGGTTTGAGGTCAGGTTTGAGGTCAGGTTTGACGTCAGGTTTGAGGTCAGGTTTGACGTCAGGTTTGACGTCAGGTTTGACGTCAGGTTTGACGTCAGGTTTGACGTCAGGTTTGACGTCAGGTTTGACGTCAGGTTTGACGTCAGGTTTGAGGTCAGGTTTGAGGTCAGGTTTGAGGTCAGGTTTGACGTCAGGTTTGAGGTCAGGTTTGAGGTCAGGTTTGAGGTCAGGTTTGAGGTCAGGTTTGACGTCAGGTTTGACGTCAGGTTTGACGTCTGGTTTGAGGTCAGGTTTGACTTCAGGTTTGACGTCAGGTTTGGAGTCAGGTTTGACGTCAGGTTTGAGGTCAGGTTTGAGGTCAGGTTTGACGTCAGGTTTGAGGTCAGGTTTGAGGTCAGGTTTGAGGTCAGGTTTGAGGTCAGGTTTGAGGTCAGGTTTGACGTCAGGTTTGACGTCAGGTTTGACGTCAGGTTTGAGGTCAGGTTTGACGTCAGGTTTGAGGTCAGGTTTGACGTCAGGTTTGACGTCAGGTTTGAGGTCAGGTTTGACGTCAGGTTTGAGGTCAGGTTTGAGGTCAGGTTTGACGTCAGGTTTGACGTCAGGTTTGACTTCAGGTTTGACGTCAGGTTTGGAGTCAGGTTTGACGTCAGGTTTGAGGTCAGGTTTGAGGTCAGGTTTGAGGTCAGGTTTGAGGTCAGGTTTGACGTCAGGTTTGACGTCAGGTTTGAGGTCAGGTTTGAGGTCAGGTTTGGAGTCAGGTTTGACGTCAGGTTTGAGGTCAGGTTTGAGGTCAGGTTTGAGGTCAGGTTTGACGTCAGGTTTGAGGTCAGGTTTGAGGTCAGGTCTGATGTCAGGTTTGACGTCAGGTTTGACGTCAGGTTTGACGTCAGGTTTGACGTCAGGTTTGAGGTCAGGTTTGAGGTCAGGTTTGACGTCAGGTTTGAGGTCAGGTTTGAGGTCAGGTTTGAGGTCAGGTTTGAGGTCAGGTTTGAGGTCAGGTTTGAGGTCAGGTTTGAGGTCAGGTTTGAGGTCAGGTTTGAGGTCAGGTTTGAGGTCAGGTTTGAGGTCAGGTTTGAGGTCAGGTTTGAGGTCAGGTTTGAGGTCAGGTTTGAGGTCAGGTTTGAGGTCAGGTTTGAGGTCAGGTTTGAGGTCAGGTTTGAGGTCAGGTTTGAGGTCAGGTTTGAGGTCAGGTTTGAGGTCAGGTTTGAGGTCAGGTTTGAGGTCAGGTTTGAGGTCAGGTTTGAGGTCAGGTTTGAGGTCAGGTTTGAGGTCAGGTTTGAGGTCAGGTTTGAGGTCAGGTTTGAGGTCAGGTTTGAGGTCAGGTTTGAGGTCAGGTTTGAGGTCAGGTTTGAGGTCAGGTTTGAGGTCAGGTTTGAGGTCAGGTTTGAGGTCAGGTTTGAGGTCAGGTTTGAGGTCAGGTTTGAGGTCAGGTTTGAGGTCAGGTTTGAGGTCAGGTTTGAGGTCAGGTTTGAGGTCAGGTTTGAGGTCAGGTTTGAGGTCAGGTTTGAGGTCAGGTTTGAGGTCAGGTTTGAGGTCAGGTTTGACGTCAGGTTTGACGTCAGGTTTGACGTCAGGTTTGACGTCAGGTTTGACGTCAGGTTTGAGGTCAGGTTTGAGGTCAGGTTTGAGGTCAGGTTTGACGTCAGGTTTGAGGTCAGGTTTGAGGTCAGGTTTGAGGTCAAGTTTGAGGTCAGGTTGGAGGTCAGGTCAGGTTTGAGGTCAGGTTTGAGGTCAGGTTTGACGTCAGGTTTGACGTCAGGTTTGACGTCAGGTTTGACGTCAGGTTTGACGTCAGGTTTGACGTCAGGTTTGAGGTCAGGTTTGAGGTCAGGTTTGAGGTCAGGTTTGAGGTCAGGTTTGAGGTCAGGTTTGACGTCAGGTTTGAGGTCAGGTTTGAGGTCAGGTTTGAGGTCAGGTTTGACGTCAGGTTTGACGTCAGGTTTGAGGTCAGGTTTGAGGTCAGGTTTGAGGTCAGGTTTGAGGTCAGGTTTGAGGTCAGGTTTGAGGTCAGGTTTGAGGTCAGGTTTGAGGTCAGGTTTGAGGTCAGGTTTGAGGTCAGGTTTGAGGTCAGGTTTGAGGTCAGGTTTGAGGTCAGGTTTGAGGTCAGGTTTGAGGTCAGGTTTGAGGTCAGGTTTGAGGTCAGGTTTGAGGTCAGGTTTGAGGTCAGGTTTGAGGTCAGGTTTGAGGTCAGGTTTGAGGTCAGGCTAAGTTGCGGAAGACGCGTCTAGCGTCTTAGACGCGTCCGTCTAGATGCAGCGTCTAAGACGCCTGACGCTAGGCAGCATGGATTAGACGCAGTATTAGACGAAAACTCGGGCAGGCCTAAAAAAATTGTTCGGGCAGACCAAAAAAAGTTCTAAGGGGGATGGGGAGGGTGGGGAACATGCACCTCTGTCACAATGGGGTGCATTTTTCCCCGTGCCATATTTTTTTACCCATTTTTAGACTTCACAAAAAAGTTCACATATCATCTTTTAGGTAAACCCTAAGGGTTTTCGAGGGAGATTTGTAGGAAATGAAGGTTGGGGAGCACAAATGAGAGATTTGTGCTTCCCAACCTCTTGGTGGTTAACCATGGAGGTTGGATTTCCTAAATAATATGCGGTGAAGTGTGGTATGTGTTCAATTTTGGTTGGGGGGGATTCAAAATTGCTTGGGGGGCTGGTTTATGTGGTCGAAATGGGTGGGAAGGGGTTTGAATGGCGCGAAAATGAATTTCGCGTCGAAATGGCGAATTTCAATTTCGCGCGCGGGTAATTTTTTTTCGGGCTGCCCGAAAATTTTTTGGCCAAGCGTCTTGCGTCTAAATGTGCGTCTTGCGTCTTCCGCAACTTAGAGGTCAGGTTTGAGGTCAGGTTTGACGTCAGGTTTGACGTCAGGTTTGACGCCTGGTTTGAGGTCAGGTTTGACGTCAGGTTTGACGTCAAGTTTGGAGTCAGGTTTGACGTCAGGTTTGAGGTCAGGTTTGAGGTCAGGTTTGAGGTCAGGTTTGAGGTCAGGTTTGACGTCAGGTTTGAGGTCAGGTTTGAGGTCAGGTTTGAGGTCAGGTTTGACGTCAGGTTTGACGTCAGGTTTGAGGTCAGGTTTGAGGTCAGGTTTGAGGTCAGGTTTGAGGTCAGGTTTGACGTCAGGTTTGACGTCAGGTTTGACGTCAGGTTTGAGGTCAGGTTTGACGTCAGGTTTGAGGTCAGGTTTGAGGTCAGGTTTGAGGTCAGGTTTGAGGTCAGGTTTGACGTCAGGTTTGAGGTCAGGTTTGAGGGCATGTTTGACGTCAGGTTTGACTTCAGGTTTGACGTCAGGTTTGGAGTCAGGTTTGACGTCAGGTTTGAGGTCAGGTTTGAGGTCAGGTTTGAGGTCAGGTTTGAGGTCAGGTTTGACGTCAGGTTTGAGGTCAGGTTTGAGGTCAGGTTTGACGTCAGGTTTGACGTCAGGTTTGAGGTCAGGTTTGACGTCAGGTTTGACGTCAGGTTTGACGTCAGGTTTGAGGTCAGGTTTGAGGTCAGGTTTGACGTCAGGTTTGACGTCAGGTTTGACGTCAGGTTTGAGGTCAGGTTTGACGTCAGGTTTGACGTCAGGTTTGGAGTCAGGTTTGACGTCAGGTTTGAGGTCAGGTTTGAGGTCAGGTTTGAGGTCAGGTTTGAGGTCAGGTTTGACGTCAGGTTTGAGGTCAGGTTTGAGGTCAGGTTTGAGGGCAGGTTTGACGTCAGGTTTGACTTCAGGTTTGACGTCAGGTTTGGAGTCAGGTTTGACGTCAGGTTTGAGGTCAGGTTTGAGGTCAGGTTTGAGGTCAGGTTTGAGGTCAGGTTTGACGTCAGGTTTGAGGTCAGGTTTGAGGTCAGGTTTGACGTCAGGTTTGACGTCAGGTTTGAGGTCAGGTTTGACGTCAGGTTTGACGTCAGGTTTGACGTCAGGTTTGAGGTCAGGTTTGAGGTCAGGTTTGAGGTCAGGTTTGAGGTCAGGTTTGAGGTCAGGTTTGAGGTCAGGTTTGAGGTCAGGTTTGACGTCAGGTTTGACGTCAGGTTTGAGGTCAGGTTTGAGGTCAGGTTTGAGGTCAGGTTTGACGTCAGGTTTGACGTCAGGTTTGACGTCAGGTTTGACGTCAGGTTTGACGTCAGGTTTGAGGTCAGGTTTGAGGTCAGGTTTGAGGTCAGGTTTGAGGTCAGGTTTGAGGTCAGGTTTGAGGTCAGGTTTGACGTCAGGTTTGACGTCAGGTTTGACGTCAGGTTTGACGTCAGGTTTGAGGTCAGGTTTGACGTCAGGTTTGACGTCAGGTTTGACGTCAGGTTTGAGGTCAGGTTTGAGGTCAGGTTTGAGGTCAGGTTTGACGTCAGGTTTGACGTCAGGTTTGAGGTCAGGTTTGACGTCAGGTTTGACGTCAGGTTTGACGTCAGGTTTGAGGTCAGGTTTGAGGTCAGGTTTGAGGTCAGGTTTGAGGTCAGGTTTGAGGTCAGGTTTGAGGTCAGGTTTGAGGTCAGGTTTGACGTCAGGTTTGACGTCAGGTTTGAGGTCAGGTTTGAGGTCAGGTTTGAGGTCAGGTTTGACGTCAGGTTTGACGTCAGGTTTGACGTCAGGTTTGACGTCAGGTTTGACGTCAGGTTTGAGGTCAGGTTTGAGGTCAGGTTTGAGGTCAGGTTTGAGGTCAGGTTTGAGGTCAGGTTTGAGGTCAGGTTTGAGGTCAGGTTTGAGGTCAGGTTTGAGGTCAGGTTTGAGGTCAGGTTTGAGGTCAGGTTTGAGGTCAGGTTTGAGGTCAGGTTTGAGGTCAGGCTAAGTTGCGGAAGACGCGTCTAGCGTCTTAGACGCGTCCGTCTAGATGCAGCGTCTAAGACGCCTGACGCTAGGCAGCATGGATTAGACGCAGTATTAGACGAAAACTCGGGCAGGCCTAAAAAAATTGTTCGGGCAGACCAAAAAAAGTTCTAAGGGGGATGGGGAGGGTGGGGAACATGCACCTCTGTCACAATGGGGTGCATTTTTCCCCGTGCCATATTTTTTTACCCATTTTTAGACTTCACAAAAAAGTTCACATATCATCTTTTAGGTAAACCCTAAGGGTTTTCGAGGGAGATTTGTAGGAAATGAAGGTTGGGGAGCACAAATGAGAGATTTGTGCTTCCCAACCTCTTGGTGGTTAACCATGGAGGTTGGATTTCCTAAATAATATGCGGTGAAGTGTGGTATGTGTTCAATTTTGGTTGGGGGGGATTCAAAATTGCTTGGGGGGCTGGTTTATGTGGTCGAAATGGGTGGGAAGGGGTTTGAATGGCGCGAAAATGAATTTCGCGTCGAAATGGCGAATTTCAATTTCGCGCGCGGGTAATTTTTTTTCGGGCTGCCCGAAAATTTTTTGGCCAAGCGTCTTGCGTCTAAATGTGCGTCTTGCGTCTTCCGCAACTTAGAGGTCAGGTTTGAGGTCAGGTTTGACGTCAGGTTTGACGTCAGGTTTGACGCCTGGTTTGAGGTCAGGTTTGACGTCAGGTTTGACGTCAAGTTTGGAGTCAGGTTTGACGTCAGGTTTGAGGTCAGGTTTGAGGTCAGGTTTGAGGTCAGGTTTGAGGTCAGGTTTGACGTCAGGTTTGAGGTCAGGTTTGAGGTCAGGTTTGAGGTCAGGTTTGACGTCAGGTTTGACGTCAGGTTTGAGGTCAGGTTTGAGGTCAGGTTTGAGGTCAGGTTTGAGGTCAGGTTTGACGTCAGGTTTGACGTCAGGTTTGACGTCAGGTTTGAGGTCAGGTTTGACGTCAGGTTTGAGGTCAGGTTTGAGGTCAGGTTTGAGGTCAGGTTTGAGGTCAGGTTTGACGTCAGGTTTGAGGTCAGGTTTGAGGGCATGTTTGACGTCAGGTTTGACTTCAGGTTTGACGTCAGGTTTGGAGTCAGGTTTGACGTCAGGTTTGAGGTCAGGTTTGAGGTCAGGTTTGAGGTCAGGTTTGAGGTCAGGTTTGACGTCAGGTTTGAGGTCAGGTTTGAGGTCAGGTTTGACGTCAGGTTTGACGTCAGGTTTGAGGTCAGGTTTGACGTCAGGTTTGACGTCAGGTTTGACGTCAGGTTTGAGGTCAGGTTTGAGGTCAGGTTTGACGTCAGGTTTGACGTCAGGTTTGACGTCAGGTTTGAGGTCAGGTTTGACGTCAGGTTTGACGTCAGGTTTGGAGTCAGGTTTGACGTCAGGTTTGAGGTCAGGTTTGAGGTCAGGTTTGAGGTCAGGTTTGAGGTCAGGTTTGACGTCAGGTTTGAGGTCAGGTTTGAGGTCAGGTTTGAGGGCAGGTTTGACGTCAGGTTTGACTTCAGGTTTGACGTCAGGTTTGGAGTCAGGTTTGACGTCAGGTTTGAGGTCAGGTTTGAGGTCAGGTTTGAGGTCAGGTTTGAGGTCAGGTTTGACGTCAGGTTTGAGGTCAGGTTTGAGGTCAGGTTTGACGTCAGGTTTGACGTCAGGTTTGAGGTCAGGTTTGACGTCAGGTTTGACGTCAGGTTTGACGTCAGGTTTGAGGTCAGGTTTGAGGTCAGGTTTGAGGTCAGGTTTGAGGTCAGGTTTGAGGTCAGGTTTGAGGTCAGGTTTGAGGTCAGGTTTGACGTCAGGTTTGACGTCAGGTTTGAGGTCAGGTTTGAGGTCAGGTTTGAGGTCAGGTTTGACGTCAGGTTTGACGTCAGGTTTGACGTCAGGTTTGACGTCAGGTTTGACGTCAGGTTTGAGGTCAGGTTTGAGGTCAGGTTTGAGGTCAGGTTTGAGGTCAGGTTTGAGGTCAGGTTTGAGGTCAGGTTTGACGTCAGGTTTGACGTCAGGTTTGACGTCAGGTTTGACGTCAGGTTTGAGGTCAGGTTTGACGTCAGGTTTGACGTCAGGTTTGACGTCAGGTTTGAGGTCAGGTTTGAGGTCAGGTTTGAGGTCAGGTTTGACGTCAGGTTTGAGGTCAGGTTTGAGGTCAGGTTTGACGTCAGGTTTGACGTCAGGTTTGAGGTCAGGGGGATAGGGGGAGGAGAGGGGGAGGATAGGGGGAGGAGAGGGGGGAGAATAGGGGGAGGAGGGGGAGGAGAGGGGGAGGAGAGGGGGACGAAAGGGGGTTTGACCCTAGTCTCTTGACCCTAGTCTAGTGCCTGCCAACCAACTTCTTCCGCCCTCATTAACCGCCCCCCGCATTTCCCCCCATCCCCGTCCCTTCCTTCTTACCACATCGCGGCTGGCAAGAGTGGCGTGCATGGCGATTTGACCTGATATAAGGGTGGGCGGAGCGGGGTGGGGTGGGGCGGGCGAGGTTGAGTGGTGTGGGGTGGGGTGGGTTGGAGTGGGTGTGGGGTTGGAAGTGTGAGTGGGAGTGGGAGAGAAAGTGGGAGCGAGAATGGGAGTGCGGGTGGGAGTTAAAATGGGAGAGGGAGGGAGTGGGAGCGGGAGCAGGAGCGGTGATGGGAACAGAAGTGGGAACGGGAGACCGGGATCAGGGTTTGATGACAGAGAGACAAGGGAGCAGAGCAGATGATGCGAGCCAAATGCAGCAGGACAGTGGCGCAGAGGTGACACCATGCAGCAGGACAGTGGCGCAGAGGTGACACCATGCAGCACCATCCCTTCAACCTTTACTCAATTCAGCACCGTCAATTGACCCGTGCACTCACCGCAGTATCTGCCCCATTACTCACCAGCCCCACGCCCCGGTGCGTGCTCGTGACCTCCACCCTCGCAGCGCTGACGGCCCTCTGAACCCCTTCCACCTCTCAAGGCACGCCACCACCACCAGCAGTTCCCTCCCACTAACCTTCCTATCATTGCACCACCGCCCCAACACCAACCACTCGCACCACAGCACCTTCCCTCAACCCATTACTCACCGCAGTACCGGCCCATCAGTTTCACGAGCCCCACGCCCCGGTGAGTGCTCGTGACCTCCACCCTCGCAGCGCTGATGGCCCGCTGAGCCTCCTCCACAGCCGAGTCAAACCCAAACGACCGGTCGATCACTGCAATGTCGTTGTCTATCGTCTTGGGAATACCCGCCACCGCCACCTTCAGTCCCCGTCGTCTGGTTTCCTGTGAATGGGCAATAGAGTGCAGTATTCAGGAATGTTCAAAACCCAAACGACCGGTCGATCACTGCAATGTCGTTGTCTATGGTCTTGATAATACCCGCTACCGCCACTTTGAGTCCCCGCCGCCTGGTTTCCTGTGCATGAACCAAGGCGGGTGCAAGGGGATGCTCTGAGATATTCCTCCCAAGGCAATGAGGACCAACGAGGAGGATTTTGGGAATTATTATTAAAAAAAAAAAAAAAAAAACATCTTTCAACAACAAAGACTCTGAGGGCGTATCTCAGTTCGGGTCATGAGCACGCTACTGTTCACGCTACTGTTTGGGTCATGCGGAAATTGCGCATGACCCGAAGTGGGCTGCCGAGCCGCGCGCGGCCCCAGCTTTGGGTCAATGTGCAGGTGTTGGGCGACTGACGTGCACGACCCACCCTCAACCAATCAGCAGGTTGCACGATTTTGGTCTTACTGCCATATTTTAGACGGTCATCAGTTCATTGTCATATGTGGGCAATGTCCTATGTCCTACACCTCTGCACCCAACCACTCGGCAAATTGACCCCAGTGACCCTCGATGTGTCCAAAATTTCCGGCGGCGCGCTCCCAACATTTGGGGATTCACGCCGGGAATTTTGACGATTGTGTTTTTTTCGGTGGGTGTCGCGTGGTTTTGCGTGGGTGTCGCTCATGATCTTGCGAACTGTTCTGGCTTCCCGCCATTGGAGGCGACTGGTCTTTGGCGGGCGATTTCGCATAACGACGCTGCGCGGCACTCTGAGGGTCGCAGGAGATCGGATGACCCAAGGTGGCGTTTTATGTTGTTTGGGTCATCCGGAATTCACGCACGCCCCAAAGTGGCCTTATGACCCGAACTGAGATACGCCCTTAGATATTTCTCCGGCAGAGAGGATCAATGAGGAAGAGAGCACAAGACATTCCACACGACCTGCATTATTCCGCTATCAATCACCCCACCCCACCCTATCTGGTCCATTTGCCCAACCCTTCCCATCGCACGGCACCGCATACCACCCATGCCCACCATGCTCCCCATGCCCACCATGCTCCCCACGCCCACGATGCTCCCCATGCCCACCATGCTCCCCATGCCCACCATGCTCCCCATGCCCACCATGCTCCCCATGCCCACCATGCTCCCCATGCCCACCATGCTCCCCATGCCCACCATGCTCCCCATGCCCACCATGCTCCCCATGCCCACCATGCTCCCCATGCCCACCATGCTCCCCATGCCCACCATGCTCCCCATGCCCACCATGCTCCCCATGCCCACCATGCTCCCCACGCCCTCCCCACGCCCCACGCACCTCATAGATGATCTCTGCGCCACGCTGCGTGCCGTCCCCTCCTATGATGTACAGCTGGCATGGTGGGCGAGAGGACATTGTGGAGAGGGAGTGGGAAGGGGAAGCACAAACAAGGCGCTGTTTAAAAGATGTCCGCACCGCTTGCCTTCATATCATGTACCAGTAAACTAACCTGTAAATTCTCCTGGAGCGTCACCTGAGAGTTCCTCTGCCTGCCATCACCTGGTTGATTCCTCACCTACTTGCCACCTCACCTGGTTGATGCCTCACCGCACCGCACCACACCCCACCTGGTCGATGCCTCACCGCACCGCACCGCACCTGGTTGATGCCGCGGTCTTCAATGGAGTTGACGATCTTGGTGGAGTCGTGCCCGCCTCTGGAAGTACCCAGGAAGGTTCCTCCGCGCTTGTGGATGTCGTTCACCTTCCACGGGTCCAGTTGCAACAGGTTGCGGCTGTAGAAGCCTCGGTACCCGCCCTGGTGAGAAAGAAGGAGGTGTGAAGTGAGGGGAGGAGGGGAAAACAAAGGGCTTTAAAGTCCTTCCTGCCTATGCCCCTATACTATACCCCTCCCCCATCCTTCCTACGAGAACGCACATCAATGCCGGGGATGCTCCTGACGCCGTAGCGGAACAAGAGCGCCCACACAAGCTAGCGGAACCACCGTGTTGAGCCCGGGACACAGCCCGCCGCACGTCACTATGGCCACACCAGCTCGTGAATAACCGTGTAACGGCGCTCGTGCCCCCATCTACCTACACTTGTCCCCCCCCCCACCCCCCTTCCCCCCTCCCCCACCTCCCCAAGGTAGGAAACGCACATCAATGCCGGAGATACTTCTGTTGCCATAGCGGAACCAGAGCGCCCACACGAGCTCACACCAACAGTGTCACTCCCACCCCCATGTACCGGCAATGCACCCACCCCACCCCACTCTTACGCTCATCAATGCCGGAGATACTACGCACGCCATAGCGGAACCAGAGAGCCCACACGAGCTCAAACCAACAGTGTAGCTCTCAACCCCATGTACCCACAATGCCCCCTCCCCCAACTCTTACGCACATCAATGCCGGAGATACTACGCACGCCGTAGCGGAACCACAGCGCCCAGACGAGCTCGCGGATGACCGTGTTGAGCCCGGGACACAGCCCGCCGCATGTGACAATGGCCGCTCGCACGTCCTGCGGCTGGAAGGCCACCTGAAAGAGGTGGGGAAGAGGGAGGAGGGGATGAGGAGGGGGGAATGCAAGGGAGGGAGGGATGATGGTGTTAAGCCCGGGGCACAGCCCGCCACTCGTCACTATGGCTGCTCGCACGTCCTGCGGCTGGAAGGCAACCTCAAGTGGTGGGAGGCGGGGGGGGAGAGGGGGAACACGGGAGAAAGGAATGATGGTGGTGGCACAGAACCGGCTCGCGACGATGGATGCTCGTACGCCAGTAGGGAGGGAAGGAGGGAGGCATGTGCGTAGGCGTGTCTTGAGACGTCTTAAGACATGGAGAGAAATGTGGTTTCACTAGCTTCCCCGCCGGTTTGCTAATCCCCTGGCCGCCTTGCGTCCCCCGCGCCGCTTGCTAACCCCCTAATTGTCCTGCTAGCCTTCTAGAAGGTGATCACCTTCTTCCTCCCTCCCCCACCCTCCCCTTCCCTCACCTGTTCACGTGGCCCCGAGCGTCTGAAGACTCGAATGTCGCCCACACTGCCCGTCTTGATGAGCGCCTGGGGGAGACACGGGGCAGTTGAGGGGTGGGGGAGACGTGGGGAAGATGTGCGGGCGTTGTGGGGGGGACAAATGGGGAGGGGGCAATGGGGGTCGTAAGAACGTCGAAAGACTCGAATGTCGTCCACGCTGCCCGTTTTGATGAGCGCCTGGGGGAGACAGGGAGCAGTTGTAGGGTGGGGAGGTGGTGCGCGAGTTGGTGGGAGGAAGGGGCTCTTGAGAGGCTGTGGGAAGATGGGGAGTTCGTCCACAGTGCCGGCAGTGGAAAGACGCAGGGCGAAGGCGAGAGGGACAGGAGACAGGAAACGGGAAACGGGAGACGGGAGATGACGACGGGAGATGTGCGACAGGATGCGGGAGACAGGAGAGGGGGGACGGGAGACGGGCGACAGGAGAGGGGGGACGGGAGACGGGCGACAGGAGAGGGGGGACGAGGTGACTTTTGAGTCGACTCAAAAGTCTGCGGGAGACAGGAGAGGGGGGACGGGAGACGGGCGACGGGCGACGGGAGACGAGCAGGCAGGTGGAGCAAAGATGAAGCGAGCAGGAAGAAAGGAGAGAAACGGAGAGGAAGGATGCACGGGGGAATGGGAGAGAAATGGGGAGAGACGTGTGAAGGGGGGAATGGAGAGGTAGATAGCGCACCTTCTGGCAGACAACGTCCTCACTGTCCACGAAGTAGTTCCTGGTGGTGGTGATGGGTGCAGATGGGCGAGGAGAGGTGCAGATGGGCGAGCAGCGGCGAGGAATGGAGAGAGATGGGAGGAGAGGAGGGGAATGATGAGGAGAGGAGGGAGGAGAGGGAGAGAGGAGAATGGAGGGTCATATAAGGAGTGCAGAGGAGTGAAAATAGCAAACAGAGGAGCCCAGTCACAGCACAGCGCACTTCAACAAAGAATGTCACAATGCGATCTGTGTTTATGCACTCTCGTGCAGAACAGCAGCATGGAAGGGTATGGAAGGGTATGGGATCGTAATGCTTACTCAGGTCGATTAGGGCTTCGAAGTAGCGGATTATTGTACATCTGAACGAGAGATGACACAGACCAAGAGACAGACACAGAACGAGAAAGAGAGACAAAGATAAGAGACGGACGGATGGTAAGTAAGCCCACGCAGTCGTCCATTCCGAGTTTGCGGACCAGTCTAATCTGAACAGTGAAACACCGGCATTGGAAAAATGCGCACCTGAAGGCCAGGAATCCATTCGGAAATGTGCGGAACGTCGTCGAGAATCACGGCGGACCGGATCACTCTATCTTGCTTCCGGTTTCGCCTCGCAAAGCGACTGGAATCGAAGCAGTCTATACCGCGTCCGTTTAGACGGCGCGACGACCGTAGATTCGCCGCTCCTTGACTCCATCCTCCCGCGCGGCTCCACGCGATCTGATTCGCTATAGGATGACTCGAGTTGGAATCTGTTATTGGGTTCCTGGAGGAGCTAGTATGGAGAGCAGGATGGTGGAAGGCGCTGTGGCGTAGCGCTGAAGCGCTGCAAGAAGCCATGGCTGGGTGCAGTAAAGTTGGAAAAAAGAGAAGGAGAAAAAGAACTGATTTTTTTGCAGTGGTCTAGGAGCTGCGCCAGTCACAGTGAACCCTAATGCAGTGGTGATAACGTGCTCCGCGAATATCTCGCCTGAAGTTCCAACCGAGCACGTCCTATCAGTCAAGCGATTTGCCACAATGTGTCCGGCAGTCACAACGAATGACCACAGATATGGCAGTCACAAAAGACTCGTTGGTATTCCCAAGGCTCAAGGGGCACTGATACTGTCTAACAAGGTCGAGTCGCCAAAGCCTGACTGTTGTGCCCCATTTTTAGCTAAAAGCTGTTGCTACACTGTGGATAGGGTCACTTGAGTCACAATGATTCGCTGGTATTCCCAAGGTTTCAGGAGGGAGATCTGACAGGGGACGGGTTTCTTGCGGGGAACTCTCTTCGTGGCAATAACGCGTCGCGCATTACTGAACATCTTGAATTGAAAATTTAACACCACAATATAGCTGAACAAATATAATCACGCGCATGAAATCAAATGTGGGCCAATTTTGGCCAGTGGTGTTTGAAACGACGTGCAATAAACACGTTGTATGCTAGAGACTACCAAGCGAGGATGAGTGGCAATTGAAGATCACGCTTCTACAAGGACGGTCGAGCACAATTCAAGCAACAGGGAGTACAGCAGCTTTTTCAGGCAGCCACCTGGGCGGCAGCAGAGACTGGGAGGGATGCAACAGCAGCAAAAACTTCCTTGGCACTGATACCAGCAAGACTGCCGGTTGCAGATGCGACGACTGTGCAATTGCGGTCAGCAGCATTGGGGACGAACCGATCAGCCTTGTCCGACGAACCAAAGAGAGCCACACTGGAGAAATGAAAACGCCAGACAAAACATAGGGGAAAAAACACTAAAAATTAAATTCTGTAGCTCGGGTTCTATTTAGAGAAGGCTTGCTACAGTAAGCCTGGCAGGTGTCATCAGCCATGCTTGCAAAACACTTGGAAACTGACCTTGGCTTTCTGAGAGCGGTGGCGAGTTGCACGGCAGCAGTGTTGGTTGTGACGACCGCAGCCGCATCGTCAATGGCAGCAGCAAGCTGGATCCGGGGGGGTGGACGTCAAGGGGGGAGTGAAGAGTCTCAAGGGTGAGAACAGTGAGATGAAGGAGAAAGAGAGCACTAAATGCAACAGTAAACCTACACCTTTGTTTGAGTTTGAAATGGCATCTACTGCTGCTGAAAGCGCAGCACGTGGTGAGTTATCAATCTGATATGAGATTAAAAGGTGCACTGTTTTGCACAAGACACTGTTTCCACATTTTCCTTCCATTCATTGCCATTTCGTTCTGAATACTGAAGTCTCCATACCCCATGCACACCATGCCTCATGCACACCATGCTCCCATGTGCGTGCCACACCCCCTCCTCTCGCCCCCTGCGTGACATACCCCATACGCATCATCGCGAACCACTGCCATACCTGGCCCGGAGTGGTGATTTTGACGATCTTGGCCGAGGGCACAGCGCTCTGCACCTTGCCTTGATCCGCATCATTGGGCACCACCACCAGCAGGTCGCCGCTGGGGTGAGGTAAAAGCAGCAAGAGGGGCGGAGATGGAAGGAGTGAGAAGGGGATAGGGTAGTGGGAGGGAGTGAATCAGTGATTCGGCACAGTGCTTTTCACCTTGCCTTGATCCGCGTCATTGGGCACCACCACCAGCAGGTCGCCACTGAATGACGGCGAGGCGAGAAGAGGGGAGATGGGAGGAGAGGGTAGTGAGAGGGGGAGAATGAGTGACTCGGCACAGCGCTCTGCACCTTGCCTTCATCCGCATCATTGGGCACCACCACCAGCAGGTCGCCACAGGGGTGGGGGAGAAACGAGGGGAGGGAAAGAAAGGAGAGGGGACGAGAAGAGGGAGGAGTGGGTCGGGGAGAGAGAAAGGGGTAAGGAAGTGGGAGGGAGAGAAATCATGTTTCAGCACAGCGCTCTCCTCCTTGCCTTCATCTGCATCATTGGGTACTACCACCGGCAGGTCGCCACTGGTGGAGGAGATGGAGTGGGTAAGAGAGAAGGAATGAGAGTGGGAGGGGTGAGAGGGGACGCGATGTGAAAGTTGGTTTGGGCGGAGACGCACGTTGGCTTGATGAGCAGCGTGGAAGCTCATCCTTCCCCCTTCCCAGCGTTCAGAGCACAAACCTTTACCAAAAAGCACAGCCCTCCCACGCATCTCACGCTCTTGTGGATCTCAGCAAGCAGCGTGAGGGAGAGCGCGCTGTCAGCGTCTCCGCGCGAGCGTATGGAGGCGGCGGCGGAGGACTCCCCGCCGTGCACTAGAGTGTACGCGCCCGCCGCCACCCGTCCCTCCCTCACTGTGCTTAGCGCCCACACACACCCACCACTGCCTACCTACAGCCCGCCCTCCCACTCCCACCACTCACCTCACGCTCTTGGCGATTTCGGCAAGCAGAGCCAGAGACAGCGCGCTGTCGGTGTCTCCACGTGAGCGCATGGAGGCGGCGGAAGAGGAGTCCACGCCGTGCACCAGCGTGTACGCGCCCGGCGCCACCCCCGCCGCGGCCGTCTTCTCGCGCGTCACCTCGCGCACCTTGCGCGGCAGGTTCACCTGCAGGGGCGGCAGGTGCAGTGCTGGCCCACCACGCACGGGCTCCAAAAGGAGGTCCACCAAATCCTTGTACCTGGTGGGTGAGAACGGATGGGGGAGAGGGGGAAAGGGAGAAGCGGGGGATAGAGTGCGCGGAGATCCCTTGGAGGGAGTGCATGGTAGGTAGCGGATGGGAGAAATGCTACCGGCTTTAGAAGGTAGCTTGTGCCAGGTCCTTGTAATCGAGGGGGTGAGGGTTGGATGGAGGTGTGACGCTTGATTGATGAGAGCATACACAGTGTGTTGTGACACCATGCGTGGTAATCCCCTACCCCTTATGACACCGTGCATTGCAACAAAATGCATCGCGACGTCATGCATAGCGACAACGGCGCAACTCGCATTCGACACCACACCGGGTGATTCGCCATCCGATCCCCATCATCAGCGGATCACGTGTGACAAGGTCACCCTCTTCGCGTTTGTCTCACTCCCCATCCCATTCCCAATCCCATCCCCATCCCCATCCCCATCCCCATCCCCATCCCCATCCCCATCCCCATCCCCATCCCCATCCCCATCCCCCTGACTCGTGCCTAACTATCCCTTACACGAATTGAGGGCATTCCGCTGACTTTCCCTCAGCGTCACCCACAACCGATACCGCCCATAGGCACGGTCCTATTCAATCCTGACAATCTCCTCTCATTGTGCCCCGCCATGTCAAATGTACCCTCCCAGCCCCTCTCGCCCGCGCATCCGCGCCAGCCGCTTTCGCCCGTGAATCTGCGCCTTTGCAGCCCACTCACATGTGGCAGCCGTCCTCCGCGAGGTTCTCCTTCTCCGTGCGCACGGCGGTCGAGAGGAACACGCCCGCGCCCGCGCCGCTGGCGTTGGGGTTCACGTACGACACGCGCTGGCGCGCGTCCGACAGGAAGAGGAACATCGCGTGGCCCAGCCCGGCCAGTCTGGTTGACAGCACCAGGTCGTACGCCTCGTTCTGGCGGGGAAAGGCGGTCCAGAATGGGAGAATGAGAGAGGGAATGGGAGGAGAGGGGCGACGAGTGAGTGGGACGCGAAGGTGGCAGGAAGAGGAACATCGCGTGGCCCAGCCCCGCCAGTCTGGTTGACAGCACCAGGTCGTACGCCTCGTTCTGCACGGGAAAAAACAGCCAGGGAAATGCAGGACCAGGAACGGGAGATTGTTTATCAGAGGGCGCTGGCACGCGTCCGACAGGAAGAGGAACATGGCGTGGCCCAGCCCCGCCAGTCTTGTCGACAGGACAGGTCATATGCCTCGTTCTGATGGGGGGAGAAAAAGGGAATGAGGAGACGCGGGATGTGGGAAAGGAAAAATGGGGAATGCGGAAAAGGGAAAATGGGGAAGACAAAAGACGCGTGAGAGGGGCGTGAAGGCGAGTGTCGGAGTGGAGAGGAACATGGCTTGGCCCACCCGACCGGTGGTGTGGACACTGGATAGCACCATGTCATACGCCTCGCGCTCTAAGAGCGCGGACCAAGCGGGTTCGAGTGGGAAAGACAAGGAGAAGACGAGAAGGGGACAGGGAGGGGCAATGTAGCCGCGTCAGGCTGGTGTTCAGCGCTGCATCGTTCAGCCTCGCTGCGACGCGATAGAGGGGAAGGGTATATGGAGAGGGGTCGGAGGGTGGAGGCCGGAGAGGATGAGAATGTGAAAGGAAACGGAACAATGAGGTCGAGAAAAGGCAACTCCCAGAAAGGGCATTGCTGCGAGGTGAAGGCTCTGTCCGAGAAATAAACACCGCGCAGACTAGCGCCGAGAATGGAAACTCCTGATTGAACTCGCAATAAACACGCAATGCGGCAAGCGGTAGAGCACGAGCCACTACTGATGCATATCACCATCTGGTTTCGTTTCAGCCAATCTCTCTGAGAGTCAGCACTTCTGAAAAATTGTTCGCACCTTGAGCTTGCCGAGGAACTCGGTGTACTCGGCGGGAGTCACAAACGGATCTTCAGGGTCGTACACCCACGCGCGCCGTACGTTCTTGTTGATCTCGTACGTCTGCTTGCCACGTGGCGGAGCCGCCACGTCGATCTTCACGCCAGGGTACTTCTCCTTCAGCAGCGAAATCACCGGGAAAAATAAAAGGTTCTCGTACACGCCGCCGGCGACAAGGATCGCACAGCTTCGCACATCATCGCGAATGTACAACCCGAGCGACGCAATCTCCGGGTTGTGGCCAGACGGGAACTTGAGCCAGCCTTCGTTGGAGGTGGTATCGGTCGGGGGACGAGGGTCGACGGCGTCTTGCTTGCCTGACGACAGCAGATCGCCGTACTCCATATCTGGATCCTCGCCGTAATCGAACGGATCGTCGAACATTCTCTTGCGAGAGTGCGCGACGACGTTGCGACGCGCGGACGACGTCGCTCGGCTGCTCTTGCTGGTTAGGCTAGCCCTCGCAGTCACGGGACCGGTCTGTACCCTGCACGAGATTTTAACCGTTCCTTCGCAGCCCGCCTGAATGGGAGCGGCTGGACTGGACGAGGAAAGGACGGGAGATCCGAGCAGCTCTGATTGCAACGGTCCATGGCTCCCCTGCTTAGCCACCGCATTTCCCGCGAGGGAAAGGTTGGCCAACGGACGCGTCAACGCAGCCATTTCTACGAGCAGCTAGAATGTAGCTTCTAATCTGCCGCTGCTGCTATTGATTTTATCCTAGCAAGGGTCAGTGCTGGCTGGAACAGCAGCAGCCCTGGCAGGGCAAACAAGCCTGAACAAAAATACGTCACTTGGTCTAAAACAAAGAAATAGGTTCCTGCTATCTTGCCAGGGGGGAAAGGAAAGGAGATCCCTGTGATTGCTTTCTGGTCAGAAGAATGGATGGACGGATGGGTCTTGCTCGTGCTGCTCAAATCTGGAAATTTGGATGGGGGGAAACCCTAGAGCCTGTCTCGTAAACGGGCAGAAGCCTTGAGATTGGTATTCGTTAGTTCGTCAACGCTGTTCTGCCGTTAGCGAGGCTAGATCAGCCGCTTTGCGAAAACTGGGCTGGCTTTTAGCACGGTCAAACATCTTGGCGAAACGGCAGTGGTCGCTGAAGTGCTGACGTGGGTAACTCGACGTCAGACTCAGCTTTGTCTTGTGAAAGATCGCACGGGAGCGACCCACAAGTGGTGGGAACTGGGAAGTGGGAGCAGGTGATGGATGAGAGTCGGATTTGGCGAAGGGCTGAGAGAAGGGAAACCAGCCCGTCTGGTGATTTCGCGTGGAATGAATGTGGGCGAAATTGCAGCCAGGGCGGTGGATAAATCCACGTGGCAAACTCATCTCCAGGATTTGTGGCTTTGACGGCCTTGCTTTCAGGTACACCCAGCCTTATGATGCATGCTCGATATGGAGAAGATTGAAGGGCAATTTACGCAACATACAACTGCACAACACTCGCGTTTGACAACTATGTCGGTTTAGAATGACTAATGATAAAGCATGGAGCATCCAACCACACTCATTGATGTTTTGCAGCACGATACTATACTCCACTCCAGAAAACATTCAGAATTTTACAACCCCCATGTATATCCATGTTACGAATAGTAATACTTGATATTACTGTGCACTCCTCACCGCAGCAAAGAGGCATGCAGTATCGAGAACGAATGCGAGGAGTCAGAGTTGACTCGAAGCGTCAGACGGTTAGGGTGGATCTAGACCGTCGGAGAAAAACGGCATCGGGCAGCTGCAGGGACGATGAATCTGGCGGGAACAGTTTCGTAACTGCTCGGGCCGCACGGTTGGTTTGAATTCGAATAAGGGAATGTACCCCTTAGAGTATATGGCTAGCCAGGTCGCTTCGTATTCCCCTGTACTCATATTTATATCGTTGTATTTGCATGTTCTATCTATCTCAAAGCATTTTACATTCACTCTGCTATTGAGGTCAAGGGCCCACCAAACTATCTCACTACGTGCGAACCTTCCTGGGTAGATCCTGGGCTACGATCAACTTCTGATCTCAGCATGGTATGAGAGCGGCTCAGGAATCCTTCGCACTGCCACTCCCGAAAATTGCGACATTCGGAAAGTGGCGTCCGGCACACGCTCACGAGTGAAGATGGCCGGAGGATCTGGTGGTCAGACCAATCTAACGGCTGAAGCGCAACCCAACCCGGCTGCGACAAGCGAAAACACGACGACGATCGGCACCGAAGTTCTCGCACAACTTCTTCAGCGACTCACCAGCCTGGAGCAAGGACTCCAAACATTGCGGAACGGCGATGCGGGAACATCCTCGCAACCATCCCAACCGGCCCCAACTGGCCAGAACGCCGCCCCGCACACATTCTCTCTCGACACCAATGGCTCAACCCCCAAGGCTCCCCGTCCCAGTGAAGAGGCAATTCTCTCTGCTCAATCAAAGTTTCTGAGCATATCAAAAATAAAGACAAGTACTTGTTTTGACGGCAGAGACTTCTATACCTGGAGCTTCGAGTTGGAGCTCTTGCTGCAGAACGCCCAAATCTTTCACTATTTCGACGGGAGCTACGCGGAGCCTGCCGACGACACGGACGACGCCAGGACCCGCTACTACAACGAGTCCCTAATGGCGTACGGGGTGCTCCTGCGGAACATGGCACCGACGGAGCAACTGAGCATACGCTCATACAAGACTTCGGCCGCCCCAGCCCTTGAAGCCTGGCGACACCTCAACGGTGTGTATCAGCCGAAGGACTCCGTCTCCTCGAGCCGGCTGCTTCAGCAGCTACTGGAAACAAAAATGGCCCCAGGGGAGAAGGCCAATAGCTACATCAATCGCTGTCGAAGCCTTCGCGATCAAATCGCGAAGCTGGGAAGCTCGATTTCGGAAGAAATCTTCGTGAATATCGTGCTTCAAGGGCTCGGCCCAGAGTGGCGGCCCTGCAAGGCGCTTCTTCGACAGCAGGGGGTCATCTCGGAGGCCGCCCTTTGCGCCGCCCTTCTCGTCGAACAGAGGGATATGGATCAGCAGCGACCTGCGCCGCGACGAGAACGCGAAAGGCTCGCCTTCTACGCCGACAACACCGAAGAGCGAAAGCCACGGCGCCTCTACTGCAAAATCTGCAGAAATTTCGGGCATCTGGCGGATCGATGCAAGAACCGATCCCGCCCTCGCCAGACCAATCCGAGCACCTGGTCCGGCCGTCAAGACGCACGAGGCGACGCGCGTCATGCCCAGGGGTATCAGCCCCCTTCCGCGCGCAACCTGAACCCAGCGGTTCAGCATCAGCAGCAGCAGCCGTCACCGACTGCCCCAGCTCGCAACGTCATGAGCAACATGGCCATGACCAGCGAATCGCGTCGTCGCCGTGCCCGCTCGCCTTCACCCGAGCCGGCACCGCACCCCATTGGCGCGTTCACCAACAACAACCCGTTCAACCCGCGCCACGATTTCACCGACGACGACGACCAAGACTGGAACCTTCCAGTCCCGCTGCTTGAAAGTCCCCCGCACGTACCTGATATGCGGGTGGCGCCAATTGATTGGCTCTCGCGCGAGCAATTTTTGAAGTTCGACACTCCGCACATCGTCACACCGCGACTGGCGCCGCTCGCCCGTGACGACAACAAGCGCTACAACACCTGGTACCTGGACAGCTGCTGCGGCCAGCATATGGTGGGCTCCGAGCGTTACATATCCAACGCCATCCCCACTCCTACCGCCACCTATGTCACTGTGGCGAACAACACGCGCCTGCGCGCAAGCGCGCAAGGCATCGTCGTGCTCAAAGCACGCGGGAGCCGCACGCACATCACGCTCAACGATGTGCTGATCGTCCAGAACCTGCGCTTCAACCTCCTGTCCGCCGCACAGCTCATGGATTGCGGCGTCGAACTCAGCACGGACCGCGCGACGCGCGATATTTTGTTGCACTACGAAGCGCGCAACTTCCCCCGCCGGCAGATCGGACGAGCACACTCCGACAATGGGGTGTACGTCCTAGACTTTGACATCCCCGACTGCAGCGGCGACTCGCACGAACTAATCGATCTCGTGCCACTACGCTTCGAGCACATCCACCGCAGGGACTGGAAGCACCCTGACGGGAGACCGTGGGTGCCACATCATCCACACCCACGAGAAACAGCGCTGCACGACCCTGACGCAGACGGCATGTGCAAAGACTGCCACACGCCGACGACGTCAACTAGCGCCATTGCCGGCCGCGGACTCGCCGCCATCGCCGAAGCAGAACATCACGCGCCACCAGAAGAAGGCTTGTCGCAATTGGAACTTGAAGTCACCACGCATGGCGTCTTCGGCACGCCTAAGTACCCTCTTGCCGGTCCGCCCTCTCAACACCTTCGAGGGATGCTCCGCGGAACTGGCGTCGGCACCTTCGATGCGCATGGCGTGCCGCGACCCTACTCCCGCGAAGATTTTCAAAAGATTTACCCCCATTGGCGCGACCACACGGCCGAAATCGCCGTGGAACAGGAGGAAGAACTGGCGCGCCGCGAAGCCGAGGAGCTTCGCCAGCAAAGCCTCGCGGAAGCACGCGGGACCTTCGCTTGCACCGCCTGGGGAGCTGAGGAAGAAGCAAGCGCCTCCAATGAAGGGGGGTGGGGAAGCGCTGGTGGATGGGGGACCAGTGATACTGGCGGATGGGGTGACACCGGCGGCACCTGGGCCAACGCGAGCGGCGGATGGGGCGCCGCATCTGGCGCCGACAATAGCGGCTGGGGCACTTCCCGCGAAGAACGAAGGGGGGGAGAGGAAGAAGCCGCGGAGACCGAAGCAGCACCTGCAGTCGTTCCTCTCGGTCGTCCCCCGCGCCGCATTCCCCTCGCACCACCTCCTGCAGACATTCCCCCGCATCGCGACCCGTGGGACACCATTACCTGGGGCAACGAGCCGTCAACCCCGCGTCGCACTATCTACGGACCTGCCCCTGAACCACGCCAACCTACCCTTGTCCCTGGAACCATCCCTGGGACCAACATCCCGCTCTCTGAAATTCGCGACAGAGAGTTCTTGGCGTTGATGCTGACCACCGCGGCAGAAGAAGAAGCAGAAGAAGTAGCAGCAGAACCTGCTCCTGTACCTGACGAAGACCCCGAGGAAGCGCGCGCGCGCTATATGCGCACCTCCGGCTTTCGCGCTGATGATGCACTCTGGCACCAGCGCCTCGGACACCCTTCCCGCGCGACGCTCAAAAACTGCATCGACGCTGGCGTCTTCGCTCCTGGCGCACTCCTGCGCCCTGATGGCTCCGAAGTGAGTGGCGCGACACATCCGCGCAACTGCACCGTCTGCCCCGAAGCTGCGCTGAGCCACCAACCGTTCCCGCTGCTCGAACCTGGAACCAACCGATACCCCAAGCTGCACAAGGTGTACAGCGATTTCCTGAACGTGGGGCATTGCGGAATCGAAGACGAACTCTACACGCTTACCTTCATCGACGCAGGAACACGCTATGTATGGGTCGTGAACGTGGAGACGCGCGACAGAGCCTACGAGGTGTTCCGCCTCTGGCTAGCACATGCGGAGCGGCAATCTGGAAAGAAGCTCAAGATCTGGCAGTCCGACGGCGCGGCAGAATTCAGGAGCAATCAGATGCAGACATTCCTGACGCAAAAGGGGATCGAGCATCACATCTCCCTCCCCTACGCACACCAGCAACAGGGCGTAGCTGAGCGGACGAACCGCACGCTGATGACGAAGGTGCGCGCGCTGATGAAGCAATCAAAGCTGCCGCCGATCTACTGGACTTACGCGATGCACCACGCCGTGCGGGTGCACAACCTGCTTTCGACCACCGCAATTACCGGCAACCTGTCCCCGCACGTCAAGTGGACTGGGACAAAGGGGGACACATCGATGCTGCGCGTCTGGGGGTGCATGGTGCAGTACCGACCGCCGACATCAACCATCGGCAAATTCACCAGTCGCGCGCGCTGGGGAATTCACCTCGGCATTAGCCACGAGCACAAGGCGTGGATCGTGCTGGACCTTCTGAGTCAGAAGACCGCCCATGCCCGCGACGTAATCTTCTACGAGCGTCTCTTCCTCGACCAATTCCGCGATGACGAACAGAGAAACGCAGATCGCGTCTACGCGAACAACGGACACAGCTACGCAACGCCCGAAGACGAAGCCGCTGCAGCACTCCTGGAGCAAGACACCAGGGCCGAGTTCGCATGGGAGGATCGGCACAGCAGCGACGACGACGACGATGATTCCTCAGGAGGAGGAATGGGCGGAACAGGAACAGGCGGAAGCGGCAGAGGCGCAGAACCACCAGCACCACCTGAACCAGAAAGTGATGACGACGACGTGCAGGAAGTCATCCCGCAACGCCGCCACGACAGCACCGTTTCGGGGCTGCAACTGCTCGGGCTTCACGCTGCTACCTCGAAAGCGCCGCGCATCATCGAGCCCCGAAACCCGCGCGAGGCTCTCTCTGGACCACACAGCAAGGAGTGGCGTGAGGCGATGGACGCGGAAATTAAGGCACTGGAGTCACGTAACACCTGGGTGCTCGTCGACCGCGCAGCAATCAAGGGCGCAAGAATTCTCTCGGGGAAGTGGGTCTTCCGCGTGAAGACCGCAGCGGATGGGACGATCGAGCGCTTTAAGGCGCGATGGGTGGTTCGCGGCTATGACCAGAGGCACGGGATCGACTTCGATCAAACGTTCGCCCCAGTTAGCCGTCACACCTCCGTCCGCATCCTGCTAGCCATCGCAGCCGCAAGGCATCTGCCACTCCGCCAAATCGACGTAAAGAACGCGTTCCTGTACGCGTTAGTAGACGCCGTGATCTATGTGGAGCAGCCGCACACCTATGGCGAAGGGGACGCGCGCGTGTGTCAGCTGCGAAAATCGCTCTACGGCATCAAACAGGCACCGAGACTGTGGCAGCAGTACCTGCACAACATCCTGCTTGAAATCGGGTTCAAGCAGATGCCGCACGACCCAGGAATGTACCGCCGCGACTTCCGCGGGGAATACATTCTCCTCACGGTGTACGTCGACGACCTGCTTTACACAGGCTCGAGCAACGAGCTTCTCGAGCAGTTCGAGAAGGCCTTGGCAGGGCGCATTGACATCACGTGCAACTACGAGGTGAAGCAGTTCCTGGGCCTTAACATCTCCTATGCTCCTGAGGCCATTCACCTTTCAGCGGCTAAGTATGCAGAGGAGTTAGGGAAGCGGTTCAACATTTCACCGGCATCTCTCTCAACTCCCTATCGAACCCCCGGACCGAACCACAAACCTGACAACAAAGCCTTACCCCCATGCTGGGATTCAGACTTACCAGCAGCAGTTGGGATGTCTTCTCTTCGCCTCTGTCACCTGCAGACCAGATCTGTCCTACATCGCGAGTCAGCTCGCGCAGTACTCACGGAAACCAATGGCCGAGAATCTCCTGGACCTGCAGCGTGCCCTTCAGTTCTTTGTTTCAACGCCCAAGATTGGGCTATGCTACTCAACTGTGCCGACTCCATCTTTCAACCTCATCGGCTACGTGGACGCCGATCACGCAGCAGACCCCGACAATCGACGGTCCAGGACCGGCTTCCTGTTCCGACTCGAGCCATCGGGACCAATCTCCTGGAATTCACAGAAGCAGGAATTGGTTGCCCTGTCGTCAGCCGAAGCGGAATTCATCGCAGCAACCGCAGCAGTTCGCGAAGGCCTCTACCTGCAGGAGCTTCTGCAAGAAGCGAAAATTCCAACTTCGCCAACCTTCCGCCTTCACTGCGACAACCAGAGCGCGATTCGCATCGCGAACAAACCTGGTTTCGTCAACCGCACCAAGCACATCGCGCTGCGGTACTTCTTCGTGAAGGACGAGGTGGACAAAGGCAAGGTCAACTTAACCTACTGCCCGACCGGTGACATGGCAGCAGACTTCCTCACGAAGCGACTGCCACGCCAGCAGTATCAGCACTGCTCCGAACTCAGCGGCGTGGTCAAGCAGGTCAAGTCGAGCTACGGCCAGGAGTGAAGGGGGGTGTTACGAATAGTAATACTTGATATTACTGTGCACTCCTCACCGCAGCAAAGAGGCATGCAGTATCGAGAACGAATGCGAGGAGTCAGAGTTGACTCGAAGCGTCAGACGGTTAGGGTGGATCTAGACCGTCGGAGAAAAACGGCATCGGGCAGCTGCAGGGACGATGAATCTGGCGGGAACAGTTTCGTAACTGCTCGGGCCGCACGGTTGGTTTGAATTCGAATAAGGGAATGTACCCCTTAGAGTATATGGCTAGCCAGGTCGCTTCGTATTCCCCTGTACTCATATTTATATCGTTGTATTTGCATGTTCTATCTATCTCAAAGCATTTTACATTCACTCTGCTATTGAGGTCAAGGGCCCACCAAACTATCTCACTACGTGCGAACCTTCCTGGGTAGATCCTCGGCTACGATCAACCTCTGATCTCAGCAATCCACTCGCATGACATAAAAATTAGAATGGCAGCCATGCCAGCCAAGGCCTAAGCTGAAAATGACCTCTTCTATTCACCCCAATATGGTATAGCTCACAGGCTTTGCAATATAAACATGTACACCTCTCGCTAAATGCAGATCAATCATCAATGTACTCTCACCTAACAAAATGCTCGCTCCCCACTCTCTGCAACCCGCTTTTGAGCCTATCAGGCCTGAACTCTTCACTCGCCAGCTTCCAACTTCCAAACACCAACGCCTTAACTACCCCGAAAGACACACCTAGCTCCTGAGACCTGCTCCCCCTACCCCCAGCCACTTCCACTCTGCCATAACTATCAACAGTCTGTTGATGTTGAAACGAGCTAGTACTTCCAGCTCTCCCTTGCAGCACTTGCACATCCATTCCTTCCTGCTACCATCCATCCATGTTTTCTTCAGCCACCGCTCCTGCTGAATCCCCTTCCCAGGATTACGCACAATTGAACCCCAGCCCAGGTATTGAGGTGCCTAGACAACCCCCCACGACCTGAACTGCAGAGTGCATCCAGCACCTAATTTTGGTCTTGGCCCCCCAAGATCACATAACAAGCACTCCGCACAGTGCTCATGCGACGGACACTCGCTCAGGAACTGGGCACGGATATGGAGAGGCCACTGATGGATGGGCTCCTGCAACGCACTCACATCACCAAGTCACTGCTGTTATCCGGAGTCACCGCCTACAATGCTTAGGCACTTCTGCTGCTGCATTCAGTCATTTACTGTGACGCTGTTCCAGTCTTGGATCATGGCACGCATACCATGCGCCCCCGCCCCCCTCCTTCCCCCGCACCTCCCATTCCTCCTCCACCCCTCCTTCCCCCTTCCACCCCCAGTGCACGTCTTGGATCCTTAGCCGTTGTGCTGCCGCCAGTCTTGAATCATGGAGCGCACTGCATTCCCCCGACCCCCCCACCCCTATTCTCTCCACCCTCCTCCACCTCTTCTACATCTCTAGCACAGTCCTTAGCTGTTAAGCTGGCGCCATTCTTGGATCGTGGAGAGCACGGCACCCCCCCTGCCCCCCTTCCCACCCCTCCACCCTAGTGCACTTTTTGGAGCCTAAGCCGTTGCGCTGCCGCCAGTCTTGAACCATGGAGCGCACGGCATGCACATCCCTCCACCCTGCCCCCATCTGCCTGCCTCCAACACAGTCCTTAGCCGTTGCGCTGGCGCCAGTCTTGGATCATGGAGCGCACAGCGTGGTTAGGCACAAGGTCCTTGCTTGGCAGCTTCTGATTGGTCATTGGTGACATGTCACTCGTCTCCAGCCACGACTTGATTGCCTCCTGCTCGTACGTGTGCCCGTCTGCTGCCAGTACAGGGTTCACCATCATCTCCTGTGGGGGAGAGTCGTGAGCAAAGGAGAGAAAGTAAGTAACAATGAGATGGAGAGTGGGTGGCATGACACTCGTCTCCAACCATGATTTGATCGCCTCCTGCTCGTACATGTAGCCATCTGCTGCCAGCACCGGGTTCACCATCATCTCCTGTTGGGGGCAGTGGTAGTATTAGAAAGGAGCAAGTAGCAATGAGAAGGAGAGTGGGTGACATCTCTCCAGCCACCACCTGATTGCCTCCTGCTCATACGCGTGGCCGTCTGCTGCCAGCACAGGGTTCGCCATCATCTCCTGTGGGGACCAGAAAGGAAAAAGAAAGGAATGAGAGAGGAAGAGGCGATGAGAAGGAGAGCAGTTGACGTGCTTCCAGTCTCCAGCCACGATTCCATTGCCTCCTGCTTGTACGTGTGCTCGTCTGCTGCCACCACACCACCGGGTTCACCATCATCTCCTGTGGGGGCTGGCCAGCGGTCGCATGGGGAGACAGATATAAACGTTACGGCATGTAATAAACCATTCATGGAATTCGATGTGTCAATGCATGGGAAAGACGAAAGAGGAAACTACAATGAGAAAACTCACCATCCCCCCACCTTCACACACCTCATCCACTCTCGCTGATTCAAACTCTACTTACCATCACACAAACAAACAAACAGAATGAAAAAAAAAAAAAAAAAAAAAGAAAGAAAAAAAACAAACACACACACACACACACACACACACACACACACACACACACACACACACACACACACACACACACACACACACACACACACAACAAACTTTTTTCTTACTCGTCCAACCCACCCACCCATCCCCACGCACCTGAGTGATGGGGCAGAACAGCACACTCGGAGCCTCCCCCATCGGCCGCCGGCTCGGGGCCTTCCGAGCCTCCTCCTCAGCCTTGGCAGCGCGCGCCCTGGCTCGGTCCAGCACCGGCATGACCTGCTTCTCCAAATCCGGGCGCTTCTTTCTCCTCATTTCCGAACACTTCACTGCAATCCGCGCCACCTCCATCACCATATCCAGTGGCCAGTCCCCCGCCTTCTCATCTAAAAACTCCTTCAATTCGTTCTCGTCCCCGTCGTCTACGGCCTCTTCTAACCCTTCATACACGTTGGGTTTCCGGCCAGTGAGCAAATCCAGAAGCACGATCCCCAGCGCGTAGACATCAGATTTCGGCCCGAACTCTCCCGTTCGCTGAAACTCCGGGTCGACGTATGCGAATGTACCCACAGGGACCGACTCCCGCATGTATGTCTGATCCATGGATAGTCCAGGCATGAGCTTTGCCAGCCCAACGTCCCCTAGCTTCGCCACGAAGTTCTTATCCAAGAGGATATTCCCGGGCTTTAAGTCCCGGTGGACGATGGGCACGGGGCGCGTGTGGAGGATGAGGAGCGCGGAGGCGATTTCGGCAGCGACGCGCATGCGGATGTACCAGGGGAGAGGGGGCGTGTTGTTGGCGCAGAGCAGGCGGTCCTCGAGGGAGCCGTTGGCCATGAACTCGTAGACGAGGCAGTACTTGCTGGGGCAGCAGCCCAGCAGCATCACCACGTGCGGGTGCTGAATCTGACTCAGCACCTCCACCTGGAGGGGAGGGGTGGGGAGGCAGCGGGGGGGAGGAAAAGGGTGGAGCAAGGGTGGGAGGAGAGGGAGATTGGGGGGAGAAAGGGCAAGAGTTGGGAGAGAGATTGGGTGAGAGGAGGGGGATGGGAGAAGGAAGGGGGGAAGAAGGGGGAAGGGTTGGGAGCAAGGGGTGGAGCAAAGGTGGGAGGAGAGACAAAACGGCTGGAGCCTACAGTATAAAGCCTGTCAGAGCAGCAAAGACCCACCTGCTGCAATTCACACGGCAGGCAAACTCACCTCCTGTTGGAATTCGTTGGCGGCCTGCATGGCGTCCGCGTTCTTGAGCACCTTGACAGCAACGGGCGTGTGGTGCAGCGTGCCTGAAAACACCGTGCCAAACCCGCCCTCGCCCAGCTTGCGCTCCGGCTTGAAGTTCTCCGTTGCCATCTGATCCATGAGTTGAAGGGAGGTGGAGTAGAGGGTAAGAAGGGGAAAGAGGGTTGGGATATCCAGCTCAACACAAGAGCACTAAGAGCACTCAGCTCAACACAATCTCGCCCACAAACCCGCCCAAAATCCCACCCACACCACACGCACACCCCACCCACCACTATGTCCTCGTAGGTGTATTCCCTGTGATTCGCCGCCATGCTAGCGCTGCCCCTCTCACACTGCAAGCCCAGTCAACACATTCTGGGCCCTGGCACAAGCACCCACCCCACCCACCACACTACGCTCACACCCCACCCACCACTATGTCCTCGTAGGTGTATTCCCTGTAATTCGCTGCCATGTGCGCGCTGCCCCTGTAATGCTACAAGTTCACTCAACACAATCCCTGGACCTGCTGCAACCACCCCACCCACCACAATATCCTCGTAGGTGTATTCCCTGTAATTCGCCGCCATGCGTGCGCTGCCCCTCTCCCCCTTCGCCTTCAGCTCCACTGCCGCCCGCTTCTGCGCCTCCATCTCCAGCGCCGCCCGGGTCATCGCCGCCTGTTTCATCGCCACTTCCGTCTTTTGCGCCTCAAGCCCAGCCTGCTTCCGCGCCTCCTCCGCCGCAGCAAGCGCCCGAGACGCCTCCTGGGACGCCATTTCGATGCGCACGGCGGTTTCGAGCTCCCGGCGCTTGTTCTGCGCCTCCACCTCGCGGAGGGAGCGGTCAGCCTCAGATAGGGCGCGCTGGGCGCGCTGCTCCGCCTCCAGGCGCGCCTGCTCCGCCTCTGCTGCCCGCTGCCGCATCAGCTCCAGCTCCCTCCGCAGGTCGATCTGGTGGAGGTGCGGTTGTGTGGGTGGGGACGGGGTGGGGGGGGAAGGGAGCGGAGGGGAGAGAGGAGGGGCGGGAAGAGGGGGATGGAGGGAAGAAACGAGGAACAGGGAAACGGTGGGGTTGGTGCGTGCAGGGCGTGGGCGGGGTTGGGGGACGAGGGGGGGAGAGGAGGCACGAGGGTAAGGGAGAAGGGAGAGGAGAGGGGAGGGGAGAGGGGAAGTGGATGGTAAGTAGAACGAGAGCAGGGATGGGCGCAGGGATGGATGCAAGGAGCATCAGCCACTTCTTGCTGCTTATCACCACGCCCAGCATCACCATTCCCCGCACCATCATTCCGCATCCCCTTTTTCCCCAGTCACCATTCCCCCCATCACCATTTCCCACGGAAAGGAAAAGCGTCTGACCTCATTCGCGCTCTGCCCGCCGCTGCCGCCAGCCGCAGGTCCGTCCGGGATGGGCGCGGGGACAGGAGCAGGGTACATCGGCCGCGCCTGCATCTCCCCGGACCCAGCCCCCGCCCCTCCCCCCGCCCCCGCTGGCGACCCCGTTCCGCTCCCCCCGTCCCCCCCGAGCTGCAGCCCCGCGAGCGCCGCGCGCGCCTTGGCCATGCGCGCCTGGAGGTCAGACATGAAGTCCTGCTGCTGCTGGTACGTGGCCGCCTGGTTCGACTGCTTCCACGCGTCAAACTCCGCCATGTAATCCGACTGCAGCCGCTGCCCCTCCTGGCTGTTCGCCGCCTGCGACCACGCCAGCGCCGACAGCGCCGCTGCCTGCTGGATGTCATTCGGCCCGCCCGGGCCCTTCTGCGCGGCGCCCCCGGAGCCTCCGCCCCCGCCCCCGCCTGCTCCGACCCCCCACTGCCCGTCCGCCCCGCCGTCCATGGAGAAGCGGGTGCCAGTGGGAGCAAGCCCGCCGCTTCCCCCGCTGCCGGGCGCAGGGTTGCCGTAAACGGGCTGGAGAGTGCCTGATCCCGACGGGCTAGTCTCGTTGCTTCCGTACCCTCTCCTGCCCCCTGGCGCATACCCCCCCGCTCCGCGCATGCCCGCCTGCCCCTGCATGCCCATGTCCCCGTAGCCCCCGCCTCCGCCCCCCCACCCGCCAGGCTGCTGCCCGCCAGATCCGCGCATAGGGTACTGCTGCTGCTGTTGCTGCGCGTATTGATGCTGCTGTGGGTATTGCCCATACATCTGCGCCTGCTGCTCCCCGCTCCCGCCGCCGCCGCCGTAGGGGGTGTAGCCTCTGGGCGGATAGCCGTTGTCATACTCCCCGCCTGAGAAAGGGCATCGTGAACGGACTCTTATCGCGTCAGACTGAGCCCTGAAGACAGAGAAAGTCATCGCAAATGGACTCTTATCACGTACACCGACATGCCCATGCCCCCTATGCCCCGCCATGCCCCTGCTCATGTCCCGCAACCTCACCCTGCTCGCTGAACGCCCCGCTGTAGGTGGGTTCGAGCGTTCCCGAGCCCGTTCCCCCCGGCGGGGCGGGGCGCGGCATCATGGGGCCGGAGCCCGCGGGGCTGTCGGTGGAGGAGGAGACGGGCGACCCCTCCGACTCCTTGTACAGAATCACCTTGTCGCGCTGAATCACGTACACCGATATGCCCGGCGGCTTGTAGCGCACGCAGTACGCGCCCGTGCTCGAGGACTTGCCGCGCCTGAAGGGGGTGTGGTTCGGTCATGAGAAAGTGAGGATTCGTAAAAAACACCTCAGAAGTCTGAGTAAACGCCTGCAACGAACTGGGCTTGTAGCGCACGCAGCAGGCACCCGTGTTGGAGGACTTGCCGCGCCTGGGGGGATTGAGGTGAGGCGCGCGGAGACAAGGGACGGGTTTACGCGTCGAGAATGCATGTGCAACGGAGGGGCTTGGCATGTTTAGTGAGGACCAATGGTGGCCAAATGTTTGAGAATGCATGCAGTTCCTTAAGGCGGGATGCGAGCGCGCGAGCGAGCGCCAAGGAGTGTGCTGGTGCGAAGAAAGGTTGGTAGCTATTTGTAGCTAATTAGCTGGCCGCTGGGTCCTTGGTACTGGTACATTGTAGGTGACCGTTTAGAGACTGTTTTCGAAGTGATTGATCCCCGGGGTACTTACATGCTGAACATGCCTCTGGCGTTGGTTCCAATAACGAGCGACGTCGCTTTAAGCTTCTTCGATTCCTCCACAATGCCCTTCTCTCGAGAGTTGTTCCGACCGACCTTCAGCTCCAGCTTGATCTGGCGCGGGCAGTAAGGAAAGGAATTAAAACAGCAATTTGGTTCAAGAGACTGACTTCGTGAAAACTCTAAGTGACAGCATCATGGGCTGCGCGACTAACCTTGGGATCGACGACCTTCTTGAGCGACAGCATCATGGGCTGCACGATGGTGCGCACGTAGTGCACGAACATGGTGTTGTTGACCTCGCTCTGGTACATCTCCGCGCCTGCACCGTGCAATGGCGAGAACAGAAAATGCCAAATGAATCTGAGGAACAGCAGCTCGACAACATCACCGGACATCAAGCTAACATCACCAGCCATTTCCAGTGCTGCTTGAATAGGTTGCAGAAGAAAACAATGTAGGAAACGAGACGAGAGGGGAGCGAGTGAAAGGAGACGCCCGGAAGAAGGAGAAGACCGTGACAGCGCGGAGTTTAGGGTTCGAGTTTGTTACACACCTGCTCCACCGCGAGCCCCGCTTCCATACGTTCCCATGCCTGTCAGGACAATCAAGGGAATGAGGACGAGCACGACAATCATGGCAATCACCGTGCCAGCATTGTTGCTTGAAAATCACATTGTCCGTCATGAAATTGAATCGTCCATTCTTGGCATTTGATAAATCGCAATGGCAACGCCCGGAGAAATATTGCTTTAGCAAAGAAAGCACATGTCCAGGAGCAGGGAAAACACCGCCGAATACGACACAGGATAAGAGCACCACTCACTCGGGCTTGGAATCTTAGTGACCACGTGAAGCAGAATAAGGATGTCATCGGGACTGCGTAGCTTATTCGTGATGGCCCACTTAATCGCGTCCTTACACGAGGGGTCTTTGCTCACACCTACGACTACTCTCTCGCCGCTAAACTCGAACCCATCCCCCGGAGCCATTGCAGTATAAAGCACACGGGCAGAACTACGGTTCTACGTGAAACGACTAGGAGCTCTGCATCTAGATATGGATATAGAGAAGTAAATTAAACGATGCTTACCCCAGAAGGCACACTCAGAAACTAATGATTGAATAATTAAACTGTTTTAAGCTAAGACGAGAGGCAAAAGCACAACATCTCGCAAAAGACAGCAAAAGGACGATCGCTAAAGTCCGCGAGGGAAGCTACTGCAGCGTACTAAAGGTTTCTGCTTTAGCCTGGTGGTGATCGATGAGCATCAATGGATCATATCAGTTGGTGAGAGAGGAGCGAGAAATGGATGATGGTGAAAAGGCAACACGGCTCTCTCTTTGCTGAGAAGGAATCAGGGTGCCTGGTGGTGGGATGCAGTGAGATGGGATTGGACCACTCAGTGGAGGGTCATTGGGGTTGGCTTCTTGCTTGTTTCCGCGACCAGCACTTATTGGTGCTGGATGGCACTTTATCGAGGGATCTCCCCTCCCCACCGCCCTACCAAGCTACAGAATGCTCCCGCCGTGCGTCATCAGTTTCGTTCCGGATGATGGTTGCAGCCGTGTGATTCGTGGAATTGGATCTTTGACCAGTCAGAGTGTCCGAAGGACAGGTACGAAATATCTTACTCCAGAGGGGTGGTGGTCGGTAAGCACACGCCTTTTCAAACTGCCCCGCAAAAAATCATGGCCACGTGTTTGTTCCGAAGTGGCTGCACAATAGAAAACTGTTGCTTTGGATTTCGTTGCATACAACACCAAATGCTTACCAGCAGAAGCGATGCTATATATTTTTAATGATTTTCGTGTAGTGAAGCTTTCAAAAGGGATTGATGTTAATTCCGAAGACGATTTGAACCACACCGAAGTCCCGATGCCCAAGTGATGACTCTGATATGCTCTGCGAGAATTCAAATTTGTCCGTTGGATCACGGGCTGCGTTCTGCAGGCGCATCAGCCCGCTCAATGTGCAATGCTACATTTTACGAAGGTTCCATGATTCTTCTGCAATAACCTGCCGACAGGTTACCCAGACTCGCGATAAGCGCATGGCTGCCGAGGCATACCAAACCCGAATGCCTGCAGAACGGCCTTCTCACCCCTCAAAATTTCCAATGTGACCGCGCTCCAAGAAGCTTCGTCTCCTAGCAATCGGGCGCATCACTGATGCGCGCATCATGCAAATTTCAAAAATCGGATCATGCACGCATCAGCTGATGTGCTGCAACCTCATTGGCCAATGATTTTGGCAACTCAAATTTTTTCGCGACACGCAACTTCCGAGAAACCTGTAACATTCAGAATGTTGAAATTCGTCAGGAAATTGAATGTCCAATTTCGTGACTCTCAATTCAAATTCGTTCGATTTTCTAAACCTCAATCCGAAATGTCCGAACCTGAATTTCGCAATTTCCAAATCGGCATTTCCGAACCTAAGTTTCTCAAAGCGCGCATCAAGCCGAGCCTCAGACGCATCAGAGCTGATGCGCATGCAGAACGCAGCCACAATGATCTCTACTGCAATGCTGTGGGATGTCAGATCAGAACTTTCATGCACTTCTGCAATCTTCCTGTTAGAGTATTGACACTTCCCCCCAATTGCTCCGGCCGCAGCCAACCCGTTGGAGCAACAGCCCAGCCGCCTCCGCAACACCCCCGAATTCGCGCACATTCAGTGGTGTGTCAGGCTTTTGGGGGGGCGTGTCCACAAGTTTGTGGAATCCCCATCCAGAACCGTTAACTTAGACGTGAACGGCGATACTCGCGAAACTCAGAAGCCTATCGTTCCGTAGCAATACTGCTTCGTTCTCACGAGCAAAACAACCAACACTTAACCAATGTTATTTCGCATGACGGACCTGCATGTCGTCAGTGGACCGTTTGTCTGAAATCATGCGCGCTCGCGGAAAAGCGCGGGCACGAATCTTATGGGCGGTGCTTCCTCCTCCGCCGCTTGGCCCACCTCGGGATTGGTAGCGATAACTCCGGGCAGTGCTGAACCCTTCCTGGGGCGACCCTGTGGAAATTAGGAGATACCAGACTGATAACATATCCAAACCCATTCAGGAACCATCTCAACCGCACTCAACGTGGTTAACGAGCACGTTGGTCGATTGCATATACCTTAGTGGGGTCGACGGAGGGTCGAAAGGGGCTGCACCTCCATTAGTGGGTGAGTGGAAGGGAAAAGGGCGGAATCCTTTGGGCGGGTGTGTTGAAAGACAGGGCCTGAAACCCCGTGGGTGGGTGTTTAATAAGAAAGGGGGCCAAAATCGCAAGGTGGTTGAGTGAGTGGGAAAAGGGCGCCTGGAGTGTGGTTGAGTGGAAGGGCATGGGGCTGAAACCCCGTTGGTGGCTGAGTGGAAGGGAGGGGGGCTAAACCCTTTTGGGTGGGTGAGTGGAGTGGGAGGGGGCTGAACCCCCTTGGGTGGTTGAGTGGAGGGGAAGGGGGCCGAAACCCCTTGTGTGACTGGGGCTGAAAAGCGGGGCTGAAACCCCTGGTGTGTGTGGGTGGAATAGAAGGGGGCTGAAACCCCCCTTGGGTTGAAACCCCCCTTGTGTGTGTGGGCGGAAAAGAAAGGGACCGAAACCCCAAGGGTGGTGAGTGAAAAAGAAAGAGGCTGAAACCCCCAAGGTTGGGTGAGTGGAAGAGCAGGGGGGCTGAAATCCCATGGGAGAGTGACAGGGGAGGGGCGGACCCCCAGGGTGGGTGGCTGGAGCAGAATGGGGTTGAAACCCCTTGGGTGTGTGAGTGGAAGGTAAGGGGGGTGGAAATCCCAAGAGTGGGTGAGTGAGAGGGAAAGTGGGTGAGTCTTCAAGGGTGGGTAAGTGTGAGGTAAGGGGGCTGAAATCCAAAGGGCGGGTGAGTGGGAGATAAGCTGTGATGGTGGTGAGGGGGTGGGTGAGTGAGTGTGTGGGTTGGTGGTGTGTGGGAAGGATGGGAGGTTTTGGGTAAGTTGGGTGTATGGCTGGGTGGGTGGATTGTGGGTTGGTGGGTGTATGGTTCGGTGGATGGTTTGAGTGTTGGTCGGAGGGGTGGTTTGGTTGGTGGATTTGTGGTTCGGGGTTAGGGGTTGGTTGTTTGCTAATGGTGTTCTATGTTGTATGGTCTGGTTTGGTGTGGTACTAAGTATGGTATGGTGTACGCTCTGTTGTTTGGTGTACAGTTTGGTATGGTTTGCAGTGTACCGTACTCTGTAACTCTGGTATGATATGGTATGGTGTGGTTTCTCATAACGTTGTATGATTTGGTACGATGTTATGGTGTCTGGTTTGGTATGATGTGCCCCAACAAAAGGACCTGGGCCAGCACAATTTCTGGGCCAATAGAAATCCTCCTGGGCCAACAGAGACCTTGGCCAACAGAGACCTGGGCCAACAGAGACCTGGGCCAACAGAGTTTTGTAGCTGCCTTGCTGCTTGGGCGTCTGCTGTGAATTGATTTCCCATTTGTACTTTCTGTCAAGAACAGAATGATGTTTGACTAAGGTTGGTTGGGGTATATAAACTTAACCCTAACTGCTGTACCCCACATGACATGCCTCACTACAGGCTACAATATTTGACACACCCCCATAGCCTAAGTGAGGGGTGCCATGCACCAAATAAACAGTACGGTCACAAGACCAGTCTCAAAGAAGCAAAGCTCAGGGTGGATCACAACGTCACCACACACTCTGAGCACAAGCAAAAGAGCCACAAAGCTAGTCCAAGAGTTCAGAAAGGTATATACAAAGCATACAAACAAAGCAAGTAGAGAACACAAGACTACGCAAGACGAGAACCTGTGTTAACGAGACCTGACTGCACTGAACACCTCTGGTGGTCACAAGGCGGAAGAGCCTTGGTGAAGATGTCTGCAGTGTTGGCCTCGGACTCCACAAACTCAAAGCGAGTTGTCCACGCCTCTGCAACTCTCGCAGAAGAGAGTACCCGACCTTGATATGCTTCACTCTGCTCTCCAGTCGCGGCTCACAACAGAGGCAAATCGACGCCTTGTTGTCAGTGAACAAGGTCGGTGCAGAGCTCGGCCGCTCACCAAGGTCAGTGAGCAAGAACGTCAACCAGTGCAACTCCTGTGCAGCCATGGCTCCAACATAGATCTCAGCCTCAGCAGTGAACAGGACGGTGTCTCCCTGGCGCAACAAAGCGAGCAAGGATGCTGAGAGGGAAGGTGAGGTCCGGGCGAGTACAAGTCATCAGGTACATGAGGCAGCCCACCAGCTCTGCGTAGGGACCACTAGGCTCAAACGGCTCGTCAAGAAAGGGTCCAGTGAGTCTGTGGTCAACAGCAAGAGGTGTGCGCTGTACTGTGGAGTGTTGAAGCTCGAACCGCTGAAGGACCTGCTGCACCATGTGAGACTGGGAGAGTGTAATGGTGCAAACGACTCTGTCCCTGGTGATCTGCAGGCCAAGGTAGTGGCGCAGCTCACCAAGGTCAGTGCACATGTGTCTCTTCTGCAGTTCGGACTTCACGTCAGCCAAAGCAACCCTGTCAGCAGTGGCGAAAACCAGGTCGTCGACGTAGACCAGTACAAAGAACGGTGTGGAGCCACGACGAACGAACAGCGACGGGTCGGCAGAAGACGGCTGGAAACCGAGGTCAGACAGGGTAGAACGAAGGGTGTCATGCCACTCACGAGGAGCCTGACGGAGACCGTAGACCGGTCGCCTCAGCCTCCACTAGGTCCCAGGAGGGAAAGTGCCAGTGAAGGCAGAGGGATGATGCAGCCACACCTCCTTGTGTACGCTACCCTGAAGGAAGGCAGTGGAGAAGTCAAGAGAGTGTAACTCGTAGTCTCTCTGTGCTGCTATGTGCAGTAAAACCCATCCGAAGAGTAGTCATCTTCGGGGTAGGCGCGAAGGTCT